TGGAGGAGAAGCAGTGGTCAGAGTGTACAGGCTCGACCCTGGCCGACGTGTAAACGTAGCCAGGTGACGACCTGTATCCGCCTCCGTGCAGTGGGTCACCCGCTGACGAGCAGGGGTGAACTGGTGGACACCCGCATCCTGGAGGTCAGCACCACTCACCAAGTTCGTAGAGAACGAGGGGAGGTAGAGACCAGTCAGGGTGCCAGAGGGGGCCGCCGGACACGGGAGGACAGTGGAGAAGCGAGACAGGACAGGTCCCCCAGAGGGGTCAGCCAGGGACACCGCAACCGGCCGACTCAGCGGCGTGAGAGTGGTGCGGTCCCTAAAGAAGGAGCGAGACGCTCCAGAGTCAAGGGTGAAGGTGTGAGAGGCCAAAGCCGACACAGTACCTGAGAGGGCGGACTCACCAGCACCTGAGAGCAGAGACGCACTGGCACCTAGAGCAGCAGCCTCACTAGTACCTGACGCGGCAGTACCAATGCCCGGGTCGGGCGGGAAACACCGGTAACAGTCATCCTCATCACTACCAGTCACAGCATACATAGCAGAGAGAATAGCATCAAAATCAAGATCATAAATAGCTACACCAGCCCTAGACAGCTCTCCCCAGCGGGGGATCTCAGCGGCCTCTGGAAACTGCTGACGCCAGGCGTCGGTCAGGCGGCCAAAGCAGCGACGGGCTGTGTGGGCGCCTCCACACCTCTCCCCTGCACGGTCACCGGTGCGAAGAACGTAGGGGCAGGGACCAAGCGCACCACCACGCTGACGCTGCAAGTACCACTCACGAAGCTGCTGAGGGCCGGGGACGGTGCGAGAGCGCTGCTGCTGCTATGGCTGCTGCTGCGGCTGCTGCTGCTGCTGCTGCTGCTGGCGCTGACCACCCCCAGAGCTGCTCCGCTGGGACGAGCCACTCCGACCCCCGCCTCCACCGCCACCCCCGCCTCCACCGCCACCCCCGTCTCCACCGCCACCTCCTCCACCAGGACCGTCGCTCCCACCGCTCCCACCGCCTCCTCCGCCACCACCCCCGCCGCCACCTCCGCCTCCACCGCCGCCACCAGTACCTCCACTCCCGCCACCACCCCCACCGCCACCCCCACTCCCTCCGCCACCCCCACCGCCTCCTCCACCGCCCCCTCTAGCTCCACCCGCTCCCTTGCCCCCCTTGCTCTTGCCAGAGCGGCGTCTGCCGCTGGGGGCAGACGCCGCGCCGACCGACTCAAAACCAGCGAGGTCGGCCGCAGCGGCAGAGGCGACAGAGGGCAGCAGGGGGGAAGGACCACACCCCTCAAAGATGGGGGTGCGAGGGTCACCCCGAGAGGCCCCTACAGCGACAATACTCTTCTCGGCCGCTAGCAGGGACTCCTCAAGGAGGTCGACAGTGAGAGTGGAGGGACAGACAGAGAGAAACTGGTCCCTAACGACACGAAGGGACTCAGGGAGACGGGTGACGAGAAAGTAGAGAGCGATGTACATGGGAGGAGGGTTCGCAGCGCGGAACTCAGCAGGAAGGGCAGCGCGGTAGCGGGTGTCACTAGCACGGAGGTGGGTAACTAGGTCAGCAACAGTGGGAAAGGAAGCGAGGTCAGGGAAGAGAAACGGTAGCATGAGGCGGCTAAGGGTAGCGGAGGAAGGGGAGGAGTAGCGTGCAACTACAGCGTCGTACAAGGCCTGAGCGGTCTTGCACTGGCTAAAGTGGGCACGCTCAGAGGAAGGGAGGTGGCGACGCACAGCAAGACGTGCAGCAGCATCGCGAGTCGCCCACTTGGAGTGAACAGCAGAGTCAGCATCAGCAGGCGGGGCAGGGACAGCGCCAGAGACAAAGTCAAAGAGAGAGACCTCATCTATCGCATCACACAGTAAGTACAGCTGCAGGTCTTCAATCCAGACGGCAAAGTCAATGGCCCTCCCCTCAGCGTCAAAAGTAAGAACATTGGGGGTAGCCATTGCAGCAGCCGAAAGTCTCACCGGGCTGGGAGAGTCGGGTAGGTCAGCAGCAGAGGAACACAGCTCAGGGACAGCAGCACGGCTCCTCAGGTGGCACAGGCGGCTCGGGCTGCCTGGGCGGCTCGGGCGGCTCGGGCGGCTCGGGCGGCTCGGGCGGCTCGGGCGGCTCACGCGGCTCGGGTGACGCAGGGGCTCGCGGGCGGCGCGGGCTGCTGGGGCTGGTCACGGGCAGCACATCGGGCTGCAACAGGGGCCGGCGGTGGGCTGTGGCGGGGCCGACGGCGGGCCGGCGGCGGGCTGTAGTGGGGGCCAGCGGCGGGCTGTAGTAGGGGCCGGCGGCGGGCTGTAGCAGGGGCCGGCGGCGGGCTGTAGCAGGGGCCGGCGGCGGGCCGACGGCTGGCTGTAGCAGGGGCCGGCGGCGAGCTATAAGCAGGGGCCGGCGGCGGGTTGTAGCAGGGGCCAGTGGCGGGCTGTAGTAGGGGCCAGCGGCGGGCCGACGGCGGGCTGTAAGCAGGGGCCTGCGGCGGGCTGTAGCAGGGGCCGGTGGCGGGCCTAAGCGGGGCCAGCGCGGGGCCGAAAGGGTCTAGGCGGGGCCGACGCGGGGCCGAACCGGGGCCTAAGTGGGGCCGACGGAGCCTACGCGGGGCCGACACGGGGCCGAAACGGGGCCTGGGCGGGGCCGACGCGGGGCCTAAGCGGGGCCGACGGGGCCTACGTGGGGTCGACGAGGGGCCGACGGGGACTAGGCGGGCCGACGCGGGGCTACGCGGGGCCGACGAGGGGCCTAAGCGGGGGCCGACGAGGGGCCTAAGCGGGAGCACGACGGGAGGGGCGACACGGAGGGTCGCTAAAAAAATTGCGCGCCTCGGGGCGCGCTTCGGTGGGCCCTAGGAACAGGCCCTAGGAAGGGACCTGCTCTGATTCCATGAGAAAGTATGAACAAGAAGTGAATGACTATGAAATGAAGTGAGTACAAATAGGAAACCCTAATTGGGTTGTACCCCCTATGGGATACCCCACTATAGCCTACAGAAACAAGTAAGCTATATGTTCTGACACTTAGTGCGTTTCTGTAGTATCGAACCTCACCCGATACTGAAGCACAACAAAAGGGGTACGAAGTCGAAAGGGCGCGTACCACATCAAACCGCAACTGGAGGTTGCGAGCTGTAACCGCTTGGAGGTTACGTAACAGCAAGCGACGCTTCAGTGAACAGTAACCGCCTCGATAGTCGAAGCGTTACGCGTCTCGATAAACATAACCGCTTCCTGTAATCTATCTTTCCTATATATCCCTGTGTGCTCTTTGCTTTAATCAATTACTTGTTCTCACACACCAGCACAAGTACATTCACTCAAGTCTTCCACTGTGCTACTCTAGCACCTACTAGCCTTTTCTCTGCAAAGATCCTAAGGCTGAAATTCTCAGCCCAACAGATTTGAATTAGAGTCGTTGAGGGGTCAAGTGATGACTACAAAAGTGCCTCGAATTTGGGGGAGATGATGCTAGGAGGATGGGTATGTCCCGAATTTAGTGTTCTCCGAAGTAGGGATGATACCAGTAGGTGCACTTCATGTGACATAGGGTAGTTCACGGGACACAGCACACTTACCGATGTGGTCAGTGTAGATTAGTCAGCACACTCAGATGTGACTAGGCATACACTTGCACAAATTGCTGGCATACATTTGCACAAATTGCTTGGTGCTACTTTCATATTTATTTCCCTAAATACGTACACCCGTATATCACTCTCAGCTTACCGTAACTGCTAACACATCTTTGGTCGCACGAATAAATCAATTGGCTGCCAAAAACCTGTGTACAAACACGTTCTTCTTTTGAACCACTGCCTCAATCTTGCCGGCCAAGGATGATTGCCTTCTATTACCTAGTATATCCTGTACATGCCCCTTCCATACTCATGCGCTTGCAACCATAGCTGTTTTTATGAACTCGTAACGAGTTATTTCCTGACCATAGTGTCAGTCCGCGGCGGGCACAGCATGGCTTTAACTCGCTTCACGGGCGGCAACGCGAACAACTCGTCGCACGCGCCGCTCCCGGCGAGAGTGCCGGCGCAGGAGACGGCGGTGGAGAGGAGGAAGAAGGACGCGCAGATGACGTTGAAGATAGACGTTCCTCCCATCACCATGGCGCGACGGCGATTGAGGGAAGGCGGATTGGTGGAGTCCGGCGCGCAGGTTCGACAAGTGACTTTTTTAAGTCGACTCAAAAGTCACCGCGAGGGAACGGCGGATAGCGGATCAGACCGACGCGCGGGGATGCCTAGTCTGCTGCGAAAGATGTAACCCTTAAGTTGTTACCCGAGGATGTCGGTAATGTCATAAACGACTTGACAGGACGGTAATGTCGAAGAGTGCTAGAGAGAAGAGCTCTGATATTGAAAGCCGAAACGGCCGGCAGATGTCGCGAGTGCAGACGGTATGCTCGTGGAGGCGACTAGCCGTCGACTGCGGAGGGAAAGTGATTAATTAAGCATTGACAACTGGACTGACAGAAAGCGAAGAGTTGCAGTGTGAGGGATCAGCAATCCGTGGCAACTACATAGGAGCATATGCACCCGCCAAAGGCGGGAGATTTGGCTACCTGAGTTTCCTTCCGAGCATCCAAGATCTGGTCTGGGTTCAGGTTGGTTCTGGAATTTGGATATCTCCCCCATCTCTGCATTTGAAAGTTTCAAGGTTTGGCTTGTGCATTTGTTTCATCGATTCTTACATTTCGGCGGTTTCATACAAACGCGGTCCTTTAAAAGCTGAATATTTGCGGCATCCACAGGGTGCCACATACACACAACGCGTGTGTTTCTAGCCCTACCGGAACCAACCTCGACGTGCCATTTCAGACAGCGAGATGACCCGTGGTTAGCCAGGTCAGCCTCGACATTTCCGGCAAACCAAACCCAATCCAATTCCTGGTTTCCCATTTCGATCACTTCACAAGGCGAATTCATACTTGACCTCTATTCATTGTCTTGTCATTTCCCGCTTCTTGCTTTCCCTCAAGCTCTCACCTCGTCGTATCCTGTCGCATGCCGATTCGGCTTATGGCGGCGTCGCTTCTTGCTCCCGTCAGCTCTCGCCTCGTGGTATCCTGTCGCACGCCCTGTCGCGCATCTGTCGCTAATGCGGCTGAATGGGGACGACGAGAGTTGAACACGCGACGTCGCCTCGTTTTCTGCTCAGCTCAACCGCCCGCAAGCAACGCAGAGAACGACAAGGATAAAAACGACAAAAGCCAAGAACAACAGCCCTACCCAGAACCCATCGCCCCGCCTCCCGCAGCGTCATTCGCGGCGTCTCCTGAGGGGCGCGATGCGATAATGGCGGAGCTGGATCGCGCGTTGAGCGGCGAGGAGTCGAAGGCGCTCTGGGCGGACCTCGAGTCAGCCGCGCTGCGCGTTTCCCGCGCGCGCGCGTCGTACGAGGAGATGGAGAAGAAGGAGAAGGAGCTGCTCGCGCTCAAGGCGGAACTGGAAGCCGCCGCGCTGATGGAGGCGGAACTCGCGCAGGCGGACGCGCAGGTGAGCGGAAGATATCAGAGCCGGCGCAAGCGGGAACCAGGGGGCATGAGGGAAGATTTGGGGGGGGTTGGGGGGGGGGAAGAGGAGGGAGAATAAACAAGCGCCCTAAAAACAACTCTCTAGAGGGCTAAAACCCGCCCTTGAGTCCACCACCTGCGCATAGATATCACACTGGAAAGGCGATGAGGCAACTCCGGAACCGAAGTCTGATCGCCCCTTGCAGGCGATCACACAACTCTAAATCCTGATCCAGGGTCTCCCCCTGCAGGTCCTGCATGGTCCCGCATGGCCCCCCTACATCCCTCCACACTATCCCCCACACTACCCGCGAAACCATCCCCTCAACCCCATTGTCTTGCTCTCCTCCGCTTCCAATACTTGCTCTCCGTCTTTCTCCATGTCCGCTTAATTGTCACTCTTCCCCTCCCATTCACCCCCTCCCTCTGCCATCCTCATTCCCCCCATCCTGCTGCCATCCTCATTCCCCCCATCCTTCTGCCATCCTCATTCCCCCCATCCTGCTGCCATCCTCATTCCCCCCATCCTGCTGCCATCCTCATTCCCCCCATCCTGCTGCCATCCTCATTCCCCCCATCCTGCTGCCATCCTCATTCCCCCCATCCTGCTGCCATCCTCATTCCCCCCATCCTGCTGCCATCCTCATTCTACCCATCCTGCTGCCATCCTCATTCCCCCCATCCTGCTGCCATCCTCATTCCCCCCATCCTGCTGCCATCCTCATCGCTCCCCAATCCTTCCGCCATCCGCACTTCTCCCCATGTTATGCCCCTCTGTCACCCCCCCTCCTCCCCCCCCTCCCTTCCCCTCCGCCGCTAAACTCTGCAATGGCAGCAGCTATGACAGCCTTCCCTTTCTCCCCTCCTACCTTCAAGAACTTTAGGAAGGGAGCTTTGAGCGAAGATTAAACATGACATCTTAAGACTAGTTTGTGGAGGCTAAATCGCCATCTGGACACCTCCCTCCCTGTCGCTTTGTACCCTTTAGGTGGAGAAGCTCGAAGCTGAGGTGGCCGCAGCAGAGCAGGCAGCCAGGGCTGCCGGAGCAGCCCTCATCGAGGCTCGGGCAGGCGGCGGCTTCCGAACCAGCAGCGCAGGCTCGGGGGAACAAACAGCCGGAAAATGGGCGGTGAGCACCGGCACAATCGATGACGACAAAGAACGAGTGGAATCAGCCAAGGCGGCCACTGTAGCAGCTGTAGCTGGCACTGTAGCAGGCCTGCCATTCCTGCTGAGTCAGCGAGCACAGGAAGGAGGGACGGGATTGAGTTTCCTGGTGGCAGCGGCGGCGCTAGCAGCAACATGTGCTCTGTTCGGTGTAACCTACCGGTACATAGTCCGGAAAGACATGGGAAACATTCATCTTAAAGCCGGGGCGGTGGGTGCTTTCGGGCTAGCGAGAGGGCTGGCTCAAGTGGACTCCACATTCTCTCTTGTGAGCGCGGGGTCTGCAAATAATGGTCTCTCGGATGACGTCATGGGTAGTATGACGGATGGTGCCTTGGTGCCGGTGGCACTATCGTTGCTGGAGGCAGGGGAGGGGGTGCTGGTGCTGGCCCTCACTGCCACTGTGCTTGAATACTGCCTGCAAACGGGATTCCTGTCCACGTTCCCTGCTGCATCCTCCGCATCTGATTCATCTCCAAAATAAGAGGTTCATTTCATATTAAATTCTAATGGAAAAGAAGACATGTATGGTAGTTCCGAGATATAAATTACTACTCAAAATGTTGGGTAGTAGTTCTGTATGTACTGTAGGGTTGTGCAAGCCTTGTTGGTTTAGCCCATGGGTGTTCTAAAAAGGTCCTATTTCTCAGGAGTCCAGCAAGGGAAACGAGTTGTCCAGATTATAATAAGACGTCTTCATTTTCAATGCAATTTAGTGATCAAATTCCTGCCACCTAAATCAGAGTAGGTCAATGCTTTCTGGGAGAATGAAGGTAATGGATTTCCGTAATTGAGTAGGACAATTTCAGTATTCCATGTAAGAGTTGTATAAAGCTGTGACGACTACTCGATACAAGACACGGTCTTTCGGCAATCCCAAGGCCAACCACCCGCCGTCGGCTAATAATCTCCATTTCTTCCTCCACCTTCTCATCTCTGCTCGGTCGTTTCTATCTTCTAGTGACCAATGACCATTCCCGCCATGACCATGACTTTTCGTGGTCAGATGGCTAAGTCTAGTTGACCTGTCTTTCAAATCAACATTGGCCTCGCATTGGCTTTGTTCTCTCTCTTACGCGACTCGTAAGAGTTTTTCTTTTTGGGTTAGGTGCTTACATCCCGCCGACGTCCTAGGTTGAATCCTATGTGGCTTGCATTAGTCAGTGCAGTTGCTTCATTGACAATAATATTTTAAGCAATTGACGCATGTCAAATCGAGCGTATCTCACTTATTCTGCTTTCTCTTCGCAATCGCCGAGAGAATCTTAAGATTTCCCAACAACCTCCATTTAGCACCTTATTCTCCTCGGACACCTTAAGCGATAACTGGTGCCTTGCGATTCTCGCTCCGCAGCCTTATGCCTGTACCGCACTCGCTGCTGATACTAGGTAATGCAAAGCTCCTTTCATCGAAACCCTAGCGACTTGAGGGAGGAGAGCACGAAGCGACTGCGCACCGAACGGGCAGAAGCACCATCAGCAGCATCTGCAGCTGCAGCAGCGACATCAGAAACCCTAATCGTCGGCATTCCTGTTTCCCACCCGCCTGCGCATTCTATCTTCGCTAACGAGGTGTCCGGTATAAACATTCCCGATACAGCGAAACATCTGGGTTCGGGAATGTCAACCCCAACCAGGGGCGGTCCCCCCGCCCCTGGAACCGAACCCCACCCCGCGACAAATCACCAAAATTCCCATCCTCACGCTCAGCATGCTTCACCGCACCAGCAGCACCGAGGCAGCGGATTGCCGGGCGACAAAGACGAACTCTCGCGAAACTTCCCCGTCGACGACATTGTGCAGCATCCGTTACCCGGTTACGTTTCCCCGTCCGCGATCGCGTTTAGTCCCGACGATCAAATGATCTCTTACCTGTTCAGCGAAGAGGGTACCCTCACGAGGAAGCTATTCGCGTACGAGTTAAAGACGGGTCAGCAGAGGCTATTAGTGGCTCCCCCGGGCGGCGGAGTCGACGAGGATAATCTCTCCATGGAAGAGAAATTAAGGCGCGAGAGGCAGCGGGAGCGCGGCTTGGGAATCACGCGCTACGATTGGTCCAAGAACGTGGCGGTTCCGCGCATCATGATACCGCTGCCAGATGGCGTGAGTTCATTGGCCCGCTGCTACCTGTGCTACCGCTGCAATTTGTGCCGTCGTTCCCCTAACAAGCAGGTTTTTTTTTTCCCGCGACTGTACATTGAAAAACCTTCTTGCCTTTCCCCCCCTACCCCCCTTCCCCGGCCTCTCCCTTCTTACGACCCCAGCAATGATCTCCCCCCTGCTTTTTGCGCTCACCCTATCTCCCCCCCAAACCCCCCCCCCCTTCCTTCTCCCTCCTCCCCCGTGTCCCCCTCCTCCCCACCTTCCCCCTCTCCCCCCCCCCCTCTCCCCCCTCCTCAACCCGCGCTTTGCAGGTGTATGTGCAGGACGGCATGGGCGCGGATCTGCGCCTGCGCATCCCGGGGGGCGCGTCCCCCATCCTGGACCCGCAGATCTCCCCCGACGGCTCCGCCATCGCCTTCGTGCGCGACGACGAGCTCTTCGTCGTCTCCACCACCGCCGGCGCGCCCCGCCAGCTCACCTTCGGCGCAAAGGAGGCCAACAAGGTGTGGCTGAGGGGCAAAGATTGAGTTCGGGGTTGGAGGTGGGATAGAGTGAGGACTCGACACAACGATGAGCTCTTGGTCGTCAACGATGAGGACTCCACCACCGCAGGCACACCCAGGCAGCTCAGCTGCGGCGCCAAAGAGGCTAATAAGGTGCGGTTCAGTGCGAACATTGAACATCTGGGTGTGGTGGGAGTGGTATTAGCGTGAGGGCTTGATCCACGGAAGCACGGACGAGCTCTTCGTCGTCTCGTCTCGTCTCCGCAACCGCCGGCGCGCCGCAGCAGCTCACGTTTGGCGCAAAGGAATCCAACAAGGTGCGGTTGAGCACTGGAAAGGAAATTGAGTTCGAGGGTAGAGTGCTTGGGTGGAGAGCCGGGGTGGTAGATAAGAAGAGTAGAATGAGGACCCGACACGCACCTCGCGATGCGCCTAACCCCTCGCCTCTCGTTTGCCTGCATGTGTTTGGATGTGCGCGTGTGTCTGTGCTCCCCCGCTCGTGTGCCCCCATGCGTGTGCCTGTGTGCCCCCATGCGTGTGCCTGTGTGCCCCCATGCGTGCGTGATGTTTCGACTACGCAGGTCCATGGCTTGGCAGAGTATATCGCACAGGTAAGCGCGTCCCTTTTCATCCCACATGACTTGAAATCCGATATACCACCACCCACGTGCACCCAACCCAAACCCTCACCAGTATACCTCTCTTCAAATTTACTTGCCACCCTTCGGTTGATGTACTGAATGCGTGCTTGCTGCTTCATTATGTGCTGCAGCAAGCACGCATCCACGTTACTGCTGCTCGTGCTCGATGCCCCACGTTGGGCTCGTTCTATGCTTTATTGTGGCAACGAACCCAACGGTCGTTCTACAAGCCTACCCACCATTCAGAGTCGACGTGGTGCTCATCAAATCCATCTCATTCCCTCACTCAACCCTTCAAACCCCCACCCCTCCCCCTCTCCTCTCCCTGTCCCCCTTTTCTTCCCGCCTTCCCCGCTCCCCCTTCTGCATTCTCCCCCCTTCCCCCGCGCCTTCTCCTTCTTTGTCCAACCCGCCCCCTCCCCTTTCCTGCCCGCCCACCCCCTTCTCCCTCTCCTTCTCCCTTCGCCCACCCACTTCTCCCCCTCCCACCTCCCCTCCTATTCGCCCTCTCTCCCCCCCCCTTGGCGAGTGCAGGAGGAGATGGAGAGGCGAAGTGGCTTCTGGTGGGCGCATGACAGCACGCGCATCGCCTTCACCCAGAGCGACCCCCCCTCACCCTGCCCACCTCCTGTCCAAACCCTGTCTCCAACCCCCCCCGCCCCCCTCCCCCCTCCCTCCCCCGCATCTGCTCGCATTCACCCTCATCCTGCTCTCCCTCTGGCCCCAACAGGAGGAGATGGAGAGGCGAAGTGGCTTCTGGTGGGCGCATGACAGCACGCGCATCGCCTTCACGCAGACACATGAAGACCCTGCCCACCTCCCTGTCCAAACCCCCATTCTTCCCCCATCCACTCCCATTCCCCCCCATTCCCCCCCTGTAATGCCCCCTTCCCAGGAGGAGATGGAGAGGCGAAGTGGCTTCTGGTGGGCGCATGACAGCACGCGCATCGCCTTCACGCAGACAGACGCCTCTGCTGTACCGCTCTTCCGCATCCCCCACTGCACTCGCCCGCCCGTGGGGGCGGACTCGGAGGAGGAACATGCATATCCCTTCGCAGGTAGTTTACTTGATATGTGCCTGATTGAATAGGTGCCTTAAGCATAGGTTCCTCCGCTTCCCCCACTGCACTCGCCCACCCATGGGGGAGGACTCGGGCGAGGAGCATGCATACCCCTTCGCAGGTACTTCATTTCATACTTAAGTAGCGCTTTTTAGGGGGTATAGAGATAGGCTAGGCTTTTCCGCTTCCCCCACTGCACTAGCCCGCCTGTGGGGGCGGATTCCGAGGAGGAACACGCCTGCCCACTTGCAGGTACAAGTAAGGTGCCAGGTTCGGGTCTCAGGTATGGTTTGCCATTGCCAGACTTGGAAGGAGCTTGGAGGACGAGGTTAAGCAGCAAGAAACTGTCAGCTTGATTTGGCTCCCCAATTATTAGGTCCTTCCTCCTTCCCTGTTCTTGAGACCCCCCTGTTTCAGCCACGTCCTTTCACCTTTCTCCCTTTTTCTGTTGTGTTCGCCATTTCAACCGTCCTCGTCCCTTCGTTCTTCCCTTTCCAGGCCAGGCGAACGTGAGCGTAAGGCTCGGGGTCGTTCCCGTGGCTGGCGGCGAGGTTCGGTGGATGGATCTGCATTGCGGCTTGGCAGGCAGCAGCTTTGGTAAAACAAAAAGCAGCAGCAGAAGTGGCGGAATCAACAGCAGCAGTGGGGTTAGAAACGCTGGTGCGGGTAATGATGGCAACGGCGGCAATGATGGTGGTAATGGCGTTGGTGATGGTGATGGTGTACGGATAGGAGGAGGCACAGGGCAGGTGGTGGCACAAGACAGTGGGGTGTTTCAGCAGGGAGAAGCAGCAAGGACAGTGGGTAGCACACACGAGGGTGATGCAGGGAACCTACCTGGAAGGGACGCTGGGGAACCAGCACTGCCTGAGAAGGAAGCGAGTGCGATTGCGACTGCTGGCAGTAGTGGCAGTGGCAATGGCACTGCCGCAGCTGCTACAGCCGCAGCTGCTACAGCCGCTACAGCTGCTGTAGACGATGATGATGACGATGAGGAATACCTAGCACGCGTGTCATGGCTCCCAGATGGGCGTCTGTCCGCGCAGGTACAGAACCGCAGGCAGACGCGCCTCAAACTCCTCCGCTTCGACCCCACCACAGGCAGCAGAGACCTCGTTCTCACTGAAACCAACCCCCTCTGGGTGAACCTGCACGACTGCTTCACCCCCCTGGTGAAATCCGGAGGGGAGCTGCGCGGGGGGTTTCTGTGGGCGAGTGAGCGCACGGGGTTCCGGCACTTGTACTTGTATGCGGGGTCGGGGCGGTGTGTGGGGGCGGTGACGGCGGGGGAGTGGATGGTGGAGCAGGTAGCTGGGCTGGATGAGGGCGCTGGGTTGGTGTATTTCACTGGGACCATGGATAGCGCGTTGGAGAGTCATTTGTATGTGACAAGTCTGTTTGGGGGCGTGGAGGGGGCAGGAGGGGGTGCTGGTTTGGGGCCTGCGTTGGGGGCAGACAAGCGTGATGCGTTTTCTCGTTATGAGCAGCAGCAGCAGCAGCAGCAGCAACAGATGGTGCCGATGGTGTTATATTCGGTGCAACCTACCGCAACTTCATCACCATCATCAACAGGAGCAGCAGCAGGAGTAGCTTCACCAGGTCTACCTGGCTCCAACCCATCAGCACCACCACCAGCACCACCCGCAGCAGCAACAGCACTCCACGCACCCTCCTCCTCCCTCGCCCCCACCGCCCCCTCCTCTCTGCCGCCCGCCCGCCCCATCCGGCTGACCCAGGGCCCCGGGCGGCACCTGGTGGTCCTGGACCACAGCCTGCAGCGGTTCGTTGACCTGGTTGACTCGCTTGACTCGCCGCCCGCCGTGCGCCTCTGCTGCCTGGCGTCGGGGCGGGTGCTGGCGGTGATCTTCCAGCAGCACTCGCCCAACCCCCGCGTGCAGCGCCTGCAGCTGCGGCCGCCTGAGCTTGTGGAGGTGACTGCTGCTGATGGTACCACCCTGCACGGGGCCATTTACCGGTGAGTGCTGGCATAGGGAAACCCTCTCCTTCGGGGCGAGTGCTGGCGGTGATCTTCCAGCAGCACTCGGCCAACCCCCGCGTGCAGCGCCTGCAGCTGCGACCTCCCGACCTCGTGGAAGTGACTGCTGCTGACGGCACCACCCTGCACGGGGCCATCTACCGGTGAGTGTGGGCTCTGGGCTCTGGGCTCCCCTCCCTCGGGGCGAGTGCTGGCTGTGATCTACCGGTGAGTACCGTCTTCGGACACTCTTTGGGGCGAGTACAGCCACTGGGGAACCCTCCCTCAGGGCGAATGCTGGCGGTGATCTTCCAGCAGCACTCGCCCAACCCCAGAATGCAGTGCCTGCAGCTCCGGCTGCCAGAGTTGGTACAGGTGACTGCTGCTGACGGCACCACCCTGCACGGGGCCATTTACCGGTGAGTGTGTATGGGGGGATTGCAGGATCATTCTCTGGGTGTTGACTTTTGAGGCGCCTCAAAGGTATCACGGGACCACAGGATCATCCTCTGGGTGCTGGTATGTGGGGGTGGCATGTGCAGCAGTCTCGTCCCGCCTGAGCTCATGCAGCTCACTGCTGCAGATGGCACCGCACTGCTCGGGGCCATCAGCAGCAGCAGAATCCACTGGTGAGTCTGTATGGGGGGGTTGCAGGAGCATACCTTGCCTGTGTGCAACACTTTATCCCCCCTGGCCCCCAGTTCTCCCCTCCCCCCTTGCGTGCTGTGGTGAGTATGTCACCTTATCCCCGCTCTCCCCACCCTCTCTTCCACACCCACCCTCTCTCCCCATCCTCTCTTCCACCACCCTCCCCTCTCCCCCACTTTCCAGCCTGATCCGGCCATCTTTGGTCCACCACCCCACCGCTTGGTGGTGAGTGTATACAGGAGACCACATGTGCAGGTGGCGTGTATGGCACCTTATCTCTTCCCTCCCACCCTTTCTCTCTCCCACCCTCTCTCTCTCTCTCTCTCTCTGTCTCTCTCTCTCTCTCTCTCTCTCTCTCTCTCTCTCTCTCTCTCTCTCTCTCTCTCTCTCTCTCTCTCTCTCTCTCCCCGTGCAGCCCTGACCTGGCCATATTTGGTCCGCCTCCCTATCGCACAGTGGTGAGTGTGTACGGGGGGCCGCACGTGCGGACGGTGTGCATGACACCTCATCTCCTCTCTCCCATCCTCTCTTCACCTCTCTCTCTCCCGTGCAGCCCTGACCCGGCCATCTTTGGCCCGCCTCCCTACCGCACGGTGGTGAGCGTCTACGGGGGCCCGCACGTGCAGACAGTGTGCGAGTCGTGGCTATCCACAGTGGACATGCGCGCCCAGTTCCTGCGTGCTCGAGGCATGCTGGTGTGGAAGGTGTGCACCAGAGACACATGCTCACACACACTCGCACACTGAGAGACACACAGACACACTCAGACAGGCCGACTGTCAGACACACAGGCAGACACATGCACATCGAGACAGAGACACGGACAGACCAGCACGCATGCAGGTGGTGTGCGAGTCGTGGCTGTCGACGGTGGACATGCGCGCTCAGTTCCTGCGTGCTTGAGGCATGCTGGTGTGGAAGGTGAGCACAAAGCACCGAGTTCGTACGGGACAGAGAAGCACTCACACACGCACATTAACCGAGACTAACATAGCCAGGGTCGTCTCATGATGAGTCCTTGCATTCAACCTCCCAAGCGTTGATGGGTCCAACAACGTCCTTGTCCAACGTCCCATATCTGCATGCATCCCTCTTCCCCTTGCATCTCACCTTCAACTTCTCCCCAGCTTGACAACCGGGGCAGCAGTCGCCGTGGGCTGGCCTTTGAAGGAGCCATCAAGTGCAACATGGGCGGCATTGATGCTGACGACCAAGCGGCCGGCGTCCGTTGGCTTATCCAGCAGGGCCTCGCCGACCCAAACCGGATCGGGATTTACGGGTGGAGCTACGGGGGGTACCTCTCAGCCATGTGCTTGGCTCGGTACCCAAGCCTATTTCGCTGTGCCATTTCTGGAGCTCCGGTAACCGCGTGGGACGGTTACGACACACATTACACAGAGCGTTACATGGGTCTGCCTGCAGAGCAGCCCACAGCATATGACCGGAGCTCTGTAATGCGGCATGTGGGTGGGATTCGAGGGAAGCTGCTGCTGGTGCATGGGATGATAGACGAAAATGTGCATTTCAGGCACTCGGTGCGGCTGGTGCAGGCACTTACTACTGCTGCTAAGCAGTATGAGCTGCTGCTTTTTCCCGAAGAACGGCACATGCCGAGGGGTCTCCGTGACCGGACGTATATGGAGGAGAGGATTTACGAGTTTTTGACTAGATGCTTGTCGTGATCCGTGGTGGCATGCCGAAAGCTGGCACACCTGTGGCAGCCTTGAAGATAATACTATCTATTTTCTAGATTGTTGCCTGATATCTTGTTTCATGTAGCTTGATACACATTTCAGAGGTAGTTCTCCACGAGCACTGGGTTGTATCTCTGCAAGGCTTCCAAGATTATTGTGTTGTCCCCTTGGGCCACTGATGAAGGGCTTCCATAGTTATCACCCTGTCACGGGTGCAATGAATCGAAGTAGCGAGAGTTGCACTAAGGTGTCAAACGAGTACAAAAATGTGAGTGAAGGCATGAGCGAACATTTATATGCAAAACATGCAAACGGTAACGTGGTGCGTGCGAGCTAGCTAGTGCTACGCTGGAGCGAGGCTCGGGCTAGTCCCGAAGCGTAGGCCGACACGGCCAGGCCAGCAGTGCGAGGTTTGGTGAAACAGTGCGCGCGAAGTCGGCAAAACCCCGTTAGCAGTAACGGGCGAACAACGGCTGTTGCTGTACGCAATGTAGTCGGGCTCCGTAAGGAATGCCGAGAAAATTCCTTACACTCCCTCTCTCTATATGTAAGAAGCTTTAAAATATGTGTGATTACTGTTACGAGGAGGTTTACACTCCACGTTCCGGTCAGCCCAAATCCGTGTGATCTTGCCAATTGAAAAACAAGATCAATCCAGATCCAGCTCCACACGTCTCCTCAGCAGGCATCACATGCTCTGTTCAACTTGTGCCCGACCAGCATTGTGCCGTGCATCTCTCCCTGCACTGCTGGCGGATAAGGAACTTGTGCCCGACCAGCATTGTGCCGTGCATCTCTCCCTGCACTGCTGGCGGATAAGGTGTAAATTTGGAGAACTGTACCTTGACCGTCTCTCAACTCCATGTCCACCCATCGCTCAACCAATCGATGAACAAATTGAAAGCATGCGTGATTCGTGATGCTTGTAATATCGGCGAGCGATGTCGACGTGGCTCAGATTTCTGGTCAGAATTAATATATTTCCAAAGCAGCTGGAAGGCTTTTCGTGCACTGCATTCGAAAATTCTGAAATTGCAGGCTACATGCATCCACAACCTTCTAGAACCTTCGCCCACATTCTAGAGACAAGGGCAGCAAAACTGCTTGCCAGGTGGGCATCGATAAAAAAGGTCTTCGGATATTCCTCAGGACACCTCATGCTGTGCCTTTTTCTCCTAACCCTCGCACTGCTGGCGTTTACTTTTTCTTCTCATTGACAGGTGTGAATTGGAGCGGGCTGCAGCAGAATGGAGGGGCAGATAAAGGAGTTACGGATTCGCCATTGCCAGGATGTCGTTTCGCGCCCAAAACAATGGACAGGGCACACATGGTCCATCCCGGAACTACTGTTCACTGTCGCATCAGCTGAACCTATCACTCTTTGGAATAAATCACGAGAGTTTCCCCAGTTACGACTGCCGATGTATTGTGCACTTATAGTACCTTTCTTAAAACAGAGTACGAGAGTTTCCAAGAATGGAACTTTGAGAATTTTCTCCCATAACTAAATACAATATCTCTCATGGAGGGGTACAGCCGACACTAGTGCTCGAAAGAAACCGTGGAGAAAAACGTCGGCAGCCATTAAGTGGTGAGTACATAAAGACGTAGCAGACCGAGTCAGCAGGGTAAACTTTGATTTTGGAACGTTGCCCGTTTGGAATTCCTTTCGCTTTGCCCTCATCTCTTGTCACCCCAAGAGACGTCCTTCCTGGCTCGGTGTCGTGTTGTGGGAGGAGGTTGAGGTATGGAGGAAGCTCTTGGTGGTCCGTGCTTCAAGAGCAACCAACCATCCGCTGAACCCCGATCTTTTCGTCATCCCCTCACGTGCTCCCCGTACCTGGAGGGTTGCTACGGTAATCCTCCTCAGCAGCAGCTTGGTGGCTGACGTGTTAAAATATCAACCAACGCTCCAGTGCGCGAGGTGCCTCTCGTTCCTCCCGTGCGCGAACTACAGTGTTCATTAATGACAGTTCTTGCCCCCTTCCTGTCATTGCTGCCTGTGGGCACCTAGTGGCAGCAAGCGGAGCATGGCCCCAGTGTACACCACCGCGGAGAGCTGCCCAGCGCCCTAGCGGAAAAACAAATATCTTGCGAAAGCCGGCTCCACATTACACTTTCGTTCAGAAAAGGGGGCGCGAGTTTTCCTTTCCCACTGCGCACAGAAATTTCCCAGCCCTTGTTCGAGTTCCATCCGGACCGCTATGATTGCATTTTATCCTTCTTCGTAAACCTGTACGCGCACAGAAGGATAACAGAGGCTGGCTGTTAACGCTACAGAGCAAGCACAGCCTTCCCGCGCGTTACGAACGTTGTCTTGAAAGTCTGCTAGAACTGGCGGGTCTTCCGACCAGAAAAGGAGTGACGTGTCCTCCTCATTCCGAGGCGAGAAGCCAACTAAGCCCTAACGCTTCTCGCAGCGCAAGCGTTGAACTGTAACTCCCATAGTCAGAGGCTAGAAGCCTTGTTTTATCAGGTGAGATTTGGGAAACACATGGTGCTTGCCGCAGATTCACGACCGCAACTCTTTTTCAAGTCACAGAGGAGCCCGGGGACACTACCGACTTCAAGGATTATCGAACGACGAGACTGAAAAATCACGCAACCTCTGACTCAGCGTCGAAGGACGCCTCCTTGCCAGGGCCTTGATTATCCTGACGAGAAATCCACTCACACGCGTCATTCGCTGTCAAAATTCGTTGCGACTCACTGGTCGACTCGATTCGAATTCGCCCTCCATTGTCATGTGTCAACCCGTCGCTCCATTCACGGCGGAGATTCTCCTCCGCCTCGGTCCCGCCGATACCGCCATTGGCTTCGAAGAGCGCGCCACACGCGCTTCCGCCACTGTAATGGCGACTGCGGGTCCCGCAGATCGCGGCGCGTCTTCTGGTCCAGCTGGATCGAGTCAGCAGGCGCTGAGTCACCGCGACGCATCTGTCGGTTGGCCCGCTGCGACGCCGCCGAGCCGGCGTGCCACGTCACGCTCAGAAGCCGCACATACCTCTCCCGTAACGTCGAAACGTGTGGCGCCGTGTTTAAACACTCCTCAGAACTCTCTCGGGAAAGTACAATGCGGCGCGGTCCCGCCACGTAGTCCGCTGGCCGTGACTCCAACGGTCACCCCGGCGAACCATCGCATGCGGCCAATCACACTCCAAGAGCTCAAGGAAAGCTTTCACCTGCCCATCAGCGAAGCCGCCCGAAAGGTACTTGACCTTTTGCTTTTCTTTCCCCGCGCTTCGGCTAGATCGATAAATGCAAAGCGTTGCATCAATTTGGCAGCCGCTTGCGCGCTGGCCCTTGCTGCTCTTTGCCGCTCCCTTCCGCTCATCCTCGTCGTCCCCCTCTTCCCCGCCCCATTCGCGTGTGCAGCTCGGCGTGTGTGTGACGGTTCTGAAGCAGCAGTGCCGCGAGCATGGCGTCGCCCGATGGCCGTTCCGCAAGGTACGCCGTGACGAGCAGCTGTGCGTTTTTTCGTTTGTTTTTTTTTTTGCGAAATTTCTCTGGCATTTAAACGAAATGTACCCAGTCTGCGAATCCGGACTTGCTGCTTGCGTCACTCTCGCCCTCGCCTATTCAGATCTACGCAATGGCCCTTCCTTGACTCCAACCCTTTTTCTCCTCTCCTCTCTCCTCCCATTATCCCCCATCAGATCCGCAAGCTCGATCACATGCTGTGCGCGCTCGAGGGGGCCGTCAACCGCCCGGGGGCGGCGAGCAGCAGCCAGCCCGCGCTCACGGCGCAGCAGGCGCACACGAACCACCAGCGGAAGCGCAAGATTGGCGCGGTGAAGGAGACGCTGTCGGGGCTCTTGACGGATCCCAACTCCGCGGCGCACATGCGCCTCGGCAAGATTAAGTACAAGCGCTTCCGGCCGTTCCTCGCGGAAGATGATCGGAACATTCGCCCGCGGCCCCTGCACGCGTCGGCTCGACACGCTCACGCTCCCGCTGACGTTCCCGCCGACGCTGACATTGACGTTGACGTTGACGCTAACGTCAGTGGCTCCAACGCCGAGGCGCGCAATGCCGCTGGCGCTGGCACTTTCCATATGCCGGACTTTGACATGAACGAGCCGCCTTGCAGCGAGGTCGAATTCGACAGTTCCGCCGATTTAACCCGTTGCGCGGATGCCGTTGCTTGCGCGCGCGACATTGCGTGCGCGCGCGACATTGCGTGCGCGGACGGCATTGCTTGCGCGGGCAACGAAGCACGCGCGGACGACGTTGCTCGCGCGGACGGTATTGCGGCCGACTCGTCCTGTTTCACGACGCCTCTCCCCACGCCGCTGCCCACGCCGCTTTCCACGCCCACGTCCTCTCGTCGCCCGCCGCCCGCGCTTCCCCCTTTGTCCCTCGAGCCGTGCAGCGCGCTGGCATGCGCGCGCGCACTTCCCCGCTCCTTACTCTCCCCTATTGCCTCCGCTGGAAACGCGAATCCATTCACCTCGCCGCTGCACCTGCCATCACTCCCATCCCTTCCACTCGCGTCGCCGCTCTGCCTGGACGACGATGTACCAGCTGCGGTCACCGTGGCAGCGTGCCAACCGTTTTCTTCATCTCAACCCGCCGTCGCTACAACCCAACACCTAATACTATCTACGCCAAAGCTTTTTACTTCGTCGCAACCTCCGTCAGCATCCCTGCAGCTATCAGCAAGCCAACTGCCTGCCCCGAGCTCTACGCACAGCAGCGTCGTCACCAGCAGCAGCGGCAGCAGCAGCGCCACCACCACCAACGCGGTTTGCGCAACCCGCAGCAACGGCAGCAGCAGCAGCAGCACCGGCGGTTGCAGGCGCGTCGGCTCGACCACTCTCGCGTTCTCGTTTTGCGGCGATCCGATTCTGCCTGCCCTTACGAACGACACTGTTCTTCCTCGGAATGAACAAGCTACACTGATATTCTGTGGGTATAGAATCCCTAACACAGAACATCAAATGTTTTTGCAGAGGCATTGTCTATACAATGCATTCTAGGGGGCGAAACTCTTCTGTAATGATAAATTTGTATCCATAGCATAATGTACCGTAAGCAGATTGTGCCTGCTATGAATAATGGGCCCTACGTTTTATTCAGGAAAAAAATGCTATCATCCCTCCCATGCCATCCATCTTTGCAGCATGCGCGCATGACAACAGTGATTTGTTGTTCGGTAAGAGAGACCTCTTTCAGCACACTGTACCATGCATTGCTACCAATACAAGATGGCGTGGCACAGCATGTCACCACATCTCATCACTCACAACAAGTACCGTGCCATTACCATCAACATGTAATCCGACAAACCTCTCAGACTCGCCTCAGTGCGAGTTCGTTCGGATTCGATTCAGTGCACCAAGACACAAATCTGATTAGAGGTTGTGAATGGCAGTCACGCCACGCCACCCTTCCAAGATGCTCATGAGACCCCTACAGCGACGCACCACAAACGACTACACTACAGCCATGCATATCAGGACTCATGATTCACACACCCAGTGTGAGCTACATATTCATCGCAGCGAGCTGTATGATGCATACATCCATGCTTCCACTACAGAAGCCTAACCAGCGAGCCATGCATGCATATAACGATGCACAAACCTGCCCAGCGGTGCAAGCTTGATGTTCATCGTTGCCCAAGGCAGCTGAGCTCAGATGCGCCTCATGTTTACTTCCAGCCATCGACTCCCCCACAGCGACCTAAGAAATCATCGTGACGTGAAACACCGCAGTCCACACACCCAGTGTAAGCGTGATGTTCATTGCTGCCAGCTCAGCAGCCAGATACTTGAACACATACGGCATGGCCACTCGCACCACGCCCTTTCGAAGTAGACTCAGAAGTCACAGGCCTCACACACCCAGTGTGAGCTTGATGTTCATTGCTGCCAGCTCAGCAGCCAGATACTTGAACACATACGGCATGGCCACTCGCACCACGCCCTTTCGAAGTAGACTCAGAAGTCACAGGCCTCACACACCCAGTGTGAGCTTGATGTTCATTGCTGCCAGCTCAGCAGCCAGATACTTGAACACATACGGCATCGCCACTCGCACCACGCCCTTCCCCGTACCACACACACGACACACCATCTTCTTCTGTCGCAGCTCCCCCCCCACCGTCCCATACCCCACGCCAGCCCCCAGCCCCAGGCCTAGCGCCACAGCTGTGTCCGAACCTGCCGACCCGCCTCGGGGACGAGACAGCGCCGGAGCTAGCAGGGAGCCGCAGAGAGAGCAGACGTCAGTGGTGTGGTAGTCTGAGCACGAGTGTAGCCGGTCGTGTAAGAGAAACGCCGCGCCGTGGGACAGCATTGCATCGCGCTCCATCTCTCCGAACCGCACTCCACCGCCCTTCTTCCTCCCCTTCACCGGTTGCTGCGTGAGCGGGTTCACAGGCCCGGTAGACCGCACCTGGAATTTATCTGATACCATGTGCCGCAGCCGCTGATAATACACCACTCCTAGGTAAATTTCACACTCCATTTCGCACCCGTACACTCCGCTATACATGGTCTCTGTGCCATAGTAGCTGAATCCCTTTTCCACCAGTTGCCGCCCGAATGTGTCCACCAGATCCTCGCGATTCTGTGGCTGATTTGATTCTCCTGCCCTACCTGCTGCCGCCGGACCTGCAGCAGGTTTGGCAGCCAGGCCAGGCTTGGCAGATGAAGCAGGGGTTGGGAGATCCAAGGGTGTGAAACTTCCAGGCCCTTTCTCAGCACCACCAGCAGCAGCAGGAGTGGCAGGAGTAGCAGGGGTGGGGGGGGCACCAGATTTCTTGTGCAGTTTTGGGCGGGGTACAGGAGTGGAGAGACCAGGGGTACCAGCAGAGGAACGGGCCAATCGGGAGGCGCCACGTCGCGGGGCGGGCTGGCGAGACTTGAGGCTCATGGTGAGCGGCGGGGGGTTGGGCGTGGCAGGGCGGAACGGGGAAGCATCCACGAAGTTTCCGTGCAAGGCTCCACCCTGCCATGGAGGGGAGGAGGTTGGGATGATGCGGAAGGAAAGCAGAACAAACAAGTTTGAAAGGGTATACAAAGAGAGACAAGGGAACAGGGAGGGGGGGGGGGGGGTGAGGGAAATGGAAACATTAGAGGGTTGGGGCGAAATGGACTCAACCTAGCCACCACAGACCCAACGAGCAGGGCAACGCCAAGCCAAGCACATCTCATCTCAACTCACCTTGGCTGCAACTGATTCGACGAGCATGCCTATGGTCATGCGCGAGGGGAAGGCGTGGGGGTTGATGATGATGTCTGGACGCATGCCGGAGGAGGAGGCGAAGGGAGGAAGGGTATCGACTCAGGACACAAGTCACTCTGCACAGCAAACGCCTTTCTCTCACCTTAGCAGCAACTGACTCGACGAGCATGCCAATGGTCATGCGCGAGGGGAAGGCATGGGGGTTGATTATGATGTCTGGACGGATGCCGGAGGAGGAGGCGAAGGGCATGTCCACATCGGGCCAGAGCTGTGACAGCACTCCCTTCTGCCCGTGCCTGCTGCTGAACTTGTCTCCTATTTGTGGCAGGCGACCAAAGCGCATGCGCACGGATGCCTGCGGGGAAAGGAAGGAAAAAGGGGAATAGGGGGGTACAGATGGGTGCAGAAGGGTGCAGATGGGTACAACAGAGGTGGTGGGGAGGGGGATCCAGGGAGGGTGGCAGGTCGGCATTCTAACAGGGGAGGAGGAGGAGGCGAAGGGCATGTCCACATCGGGCCAGAGCTGTGACAGCACTCCCTTCTGCCCGTGCCTGCTGCTGAACTTGTCCCCTATCTGCGGCAAGCGCCCAAAGCACATGCGCGCGGAGGCCTGGAACAAGGTACGGGGTGGTACAGGAGTGGCCAAGGGAGAATGGTGGGTGAATCTCACTTCCCTGAGTACACACCCTTGTGCCCGTGGCGGCTGCTGAACTTGTCCCCTATTTGCAGCATGCGACCAGAGAGGAGCCGAACGGAAGCATGCAACGGCGGGAAGCAGGGGATGGCGATGCAGGGATACGGGGGAACAGGGACACAGAGATACAGAAGGGTTGTACTTTGGCACCTGCCTAAGCCACTGCCATGCCTGTTCTTTTCCTGCATCTACTGATCGCACCTTAGTGAGGGCTGTCTTGGGGCCGGTGCCGGTGAGTGTGGGTGACCCTATCCACCACCGCATCCTCCCACCCCTTCAGTTTCATCTCATCCGCTCATGATCAGAGTGAACCCTCCCCCCACGATCCCCCTGTGCCTACTCAGCTGAAAGTCCCTCATCTGAGCCTCCCACGCACCTTGGTGAGCGCTGTCTTGGGGCCGGTGCCGATAATCGTGACCCCATCCACCACCGCATCCTCCCACCCCTTCAACCCCTCCAGCCATCCTCCCCACCGTTGACGACCCCAATACCCCCCCACCTTTCCTGCACCTTCTATCAAACCTCACCACAGAGGTTCAGGGCCGCACCTTAGTGAGCGCTGTCTTAGCGCCGGTGCCGATGAGCGTGACCCCGTCCACCACCGCATCCTCTGACCCCTTGAGCTTGATCTCGTCCGCCTTGCCCGTCACCGTGTTCACCTTGCATGCATACACGTCGCCGCTCGTGATGTGCTGTTAAGGGGGTAGCGGAATGAAAGGGAGGGGGGGGGGGATGTGATTTAGATAGCACCAATTCTGTCGCCTCCGCCTTGGCCCCTTGCCAGCCGCCCCCCCATCATCCCCCTACCTCCCTCCCTCCGCGCCCCCTCCCCTCATAACAAACGCACCTCCCCGGGGCGGGGCAGCCCATCGGTGTCGATGGTCCACTTGTGCCCGCGCCTGTTCCCAGCCGCCCGCCCCAGCATCTGCACTGCCAGGCCAGCCCTTTGCCTCTCTCTCTCCCTCCCTCCCATTCGCCCACTTAATCCCTTGGTTCATTCACTCACGCACCTCCCCAGGGCGGGGCAGCCCATCAGTGTCAATGGTCCACTTGTGCCTGCGCTGGTTGCTAACAGGCCGCCCCAGAATCGGCACAGGCAAACCCTCTGCGCTCACCTCCCCAGGGCGGGGCAGCCCATCGGTGTCGATGGTCCACTTGTGTCCGCGCCGGTGACTGGCCGCCCGCCCCAGCATCTGCACGGGCAGCCCGGACGGCGTGAACTTGGCCACACGTGCCGCTGAGCCCTGGGTGGCCTCGATCACCTCGTTCTGTTACGGAGTGGGATCCGGGCGGCGGGCGGGCGGCAAGACAGAGATGTGGCAAAACAAAAGGAGGCTCATGAGGGTACAGGGCGTGGGTGGGTATCGAATTGGCTCAGGTGCATTGTAGAACTAACAGTACCATGTGGATGTAACCGTACCTTGTAGATGTAACCGTACATTGTAGATGTAACCGTACCTGGTAGATGTAACCGTACCTGGTAGATGTAACCGTACCTTATAGATGTAACCGTACATTGTAGATGTAACCGTACCTTGTATATGTAACCGTACCTTGTAGATGTAACCGTACATTGTAGATGTAGCCGTACCTTGTAGATGTAACCGTACATTGTAGATGTAACCGTACCTTGTAGATGTACCCGTACCTTGTAGATGTAACCGTACCTTGTAGATGTAACCGTGGCCAAAGCCCCTCTCCATGGACGACTTGTTGATGATCATCGCATCCTCCATGTCGTACCTGGTGCACGGGCAGGTGAACGGGCAGGTGCACGGGCAGGTGAACGGGCAGGTGCACGGGCAGGTGTACGGGCAGGTGTACGGGCAGGTGTACGGGCAGGTGAACGGGCAGATGAATGGCGAGTAACGGGCACACATGGCGTTGGAAGAAAACAAGCGAGTGGGACGTGTGAGATAGAGCAGACGCACAGCCATGGGAGTCGTACAACTATGAGGTGTACCCCTTACAGCAAACCCCACATACCTGGTATAAGCCAGCACGGGCACGGCCACCACAGCATTGGCTCCCGCTATACCTGTGCAAAGGGGCGAGCCGAGTAATGCTCGACTCCTCCCTAGCCTTGCTCGGCCGAGTACGAGCCCGAGTCGAGTAATACTCGGCCGAGCATTTTTCCCCCAAACAGATACTCGGTACTCGCCTTTTTAAAGGAAACTCGGGCGAGCATTTAGAAAAGCTCATCCGAGTACGAGTAATGCTCGGCCATGTGCCCTACTCCTGCATATAATGACTCTGTACGTTACATCTAGTGAAGGCCATTGGTACCACGGGAGTATTGGGGTTTCCAGGGCCGCCCAGGCAAACCCAAGGTGGTCCCAGGAAGCCTAGGGAAGCCCAGGAAAGCCCTGGGTTGCCCTGGGTAGCCCAGGGTAGACCTGGATAGGCGAGTACTCGTCGAGCAAAAAAAACTCGGCGAGTAAAACTCGGCTCGACTCGCCCGAGTAAAATTTACAAAAACCGAAACTCGTTACTCGCACCCAAACGAGTAACGCGGGCGATACCGAGCGAGTAACTCGTCTCGTTGCACAGGTATAGCTCCCACCGGGTGTTGATCCTTGGCATAGTCATCATACGCTGCCGTGCTGCTGCCCACTCACTCACCCATCCCCCTTGTAGCACACCCACATACTCAGTATAAGCCAGCACCGCAACGACAGCGTTGGCCCCAGTGGGGTAGTGGTCCATGGCATAGTCGTCATACGCTGCCGTGCTGCCCCCCCCTCTCCCATCCATGATCCATTCCCCCAATAGCACACCCCACATACCAGGTATAAGCACATACCCGGTATAAGCACATACCCGGTATAAGCCAGCACGGCCACGACCGCGTTGGCCCCAGTGGGGTAGTGGTCCATGGCATAGTCGTCATACGCTGCCGTGCGTGCGATGGGCGTCTGGGGCGTCTGTAGGCGGTACAGCTTGTTGTCGTTGCGGAAGGGGAACGAGTGCAGCGGCATGCCCATCGTTTGCTTCCCCATCTGTTGTATACAGACATATGAGACACATGCATGGTGGGCCAACACACACACACATCCATGTTGAGACGATGGGCAGTAAGAGCACATCAGCAGCACATGCTGACCTGGCACTGGTACATGCTGTGCTGACCCGACACTTGTACAAGCTGTGCTGACCTGTCAAGGGTACATGCTGTGCTGAACTGGCACTGGTACATATTGTGCTGACCTGGCACTGGTACATGTTGTGCTGACCTGGCACTGGTACATATTGTGCTGACCTGGCACTGGTACATATTGTGCTGACCTGGCACTGGTACATGTTGTGCTGACCTGGCACTGGTACATGTTGTGCTGACCTGGCACTGGTAAATATTGTGCTGACCTGGCACTGGTACATATTGTGCTGACCAGGCACTGGTACATCCTGTGCTGACCTGGCACTGGTACATGTGCTGACCTGGCACTGGTACATATTGTGCTGACCTGGCACTGGTACATATTGTGCTGACCTGGCACTGGTACATGTTGTGCTGACCTGGCACTGGTACATGTTGTGCTGACCTGGCACTGGTAAATATTGTGCTGACCTGGCACTGGTACATATTGTGCTGACCTGGCACTGGTACATCCTGTGCTGACCTGGCACTGGTACATCCTGTGCTGACCTGGCACTGGTACATGTTGCGGGGGCTCTGGTTGTAATCGGACCAAGGGGTCAGGCTCGCCATCACACTCAGGATATCCGTCGGCCGAACCTCCTCGTGCGTCGCCGAACCTGTCGCCGAGGCTTGGCCGGACGGGGCGGAAGGGGCCGACGAACCATCGGGGCAGAGCACGTCAAGAAAGACCTGCCGGGGGAGAAAGGCCGGGAAGGGGTGGGGAAGGAAGAGGACGGGGAGAGGGATTTTTGCGTCGACTTGAAATTCACGATGAGCATCCGGGCAGAGCACGTCGAGAAAGACCTGATAGGAAGGGAGGAAGAGGGGGATGAAGGAGAAGAGACGGAAAGGAGTAGGGGGGAAGGGGGAGACGGGGTACAAGAGAGAAAGGGGAAAAGTGGGAGAAGAAAGAAAGAGACATGGGAGAGTTGTAGTCCTGTGAGTGGATAGGGAGAGTACGCATGGTGGGCGTGGGCGAGTGAGAAGCAGAACCCAGCAGATGTAGCTCAGTGCTCTGCTCTGCTTCTCACATGCCCACGCCCACCACGTGTACTCTACCTACCTCGCTCCCATGCCGTTCTCGTTGCTACTACTGCTACTCCAGTGCCCACCTGCTCCAGTACCCACCTGCCCCAGTGCCCACCTGCTCCAGTGCCCACCTGCTCCAGTGCCCACCTGCCCCAGTGCCCACCTGCCCCAGTGCCCACCTGCCCCAGTGCTCACCTGCTCGAGGCTGCCAATGAGCTCGAAGGTGGGTGCAGCGGCGGCCCTGGGGTTGAGGGAGGGCAGCTGCCGCACAGGCCGAACGAAGCGAGCCGGCGCAGAGAAGAGGAAAATGCCCGGGAAGGTTCCTTGCTGGGAGAAGGGGATGAAGGCGACCTCTAGGTCCCGAGGGATCTGCGAGCAGAGGGGGGAGGTTTGGGTGCGGGGGGGTGGAAGAAGGGAAACATGGGTTGGAGTGGAAAAAGGGGAAAGGTGGAGGTAATGGTATTGGTATTGGTGATAGTTATGGTAGTGGTAATGGTAATAATAATGGTAATGCTAATGGTAATGGTGATGGTAATGGTAATGGGAACGGTGATGGTAATGATAACGGTGATGGTAATGTTAATGGTAATGGTAACGGTGATGGTAATGGTAACGGTGACGGTGATGGTAATTGCAATGGTAACCGTGATGGTGATGGTAATGGTAATGGTGACGGTGATGGTAATTGTAATGGTAACGGTGATGGTAATGGTAATGGTAATGATGACGGTGATGGTAATTGTAATGGTAACGGTGATGGCAATGGTAATGGTGACGGTGATGGTAATTGTAATGGTAACGGTGATGGTAATGGTAATGGTAATGGTGACGGTGATGGTAATTGTAATGGTAACGGTGATGGTAATGGTAATGGTGACGGTGATGGTAATTGTAATGGTAACGGTGATGGTAATTGTAATGGTGACGGTGATGGTAATTGTAATGGTGACGGTGATGGTAATTGTAATGGTAACAGTGATGGTAATTGTAATGGTGACGGTGATGGTAATTGTAATGGTGACGGTGATGGTAATTGTAATGGTAACAGTGATGGTAATTGTAATGGTAACGGTGATGGTTATGGTAATGGTGACGGTGATGGTAATTGTGATGGTAACGGTGATGGTAATGATAATGGTGTCCAAACCACACCCCAACCATAGAAACACACATTTAGAGCCACTCGGATGCTTCACCCCAGCCGGTGCCATCTCGGAATGAATGTGCCCCATCACACACCCATCCACCATCACCATCAGAGACACTGCCACTAGCCCCACTGAACTGCATACCACACTCACAAGTAGGGGAACAAACAGTTAGTGCCACTCACCCCAGCCTCCCCAGTGGCCTTAAGGCACCTCAGATGCTTCACCGCGGCCGGTGCCATTTCTGAGTGAATGTGCCCCAGTAGACACCCATCGAGCATCACCGTCAGAAACACCGGAGGCGGGGCAGGGGGCGGCACCCCCGCCCCCACCGCCGCCAGCCCAAACGGCGCCAGACACCGCAGCACCGCTCGGCCAATCGCGTCGCGGGACTTCACCGAGCCTACCCCCGAACCTAGCCCCGAGGCTAGGGAGGCTGCTCCGGGAGTTCCGGCAGGTGTGGAGGGGGTGTGGGGGACGAGAGCAGAGCCAGGGGTGGAGGGGAGGAGGGCTAAGGAGGAGGAGGGGGCGGAGGGGGAGGGGGAGGCGAGGGGAGGGGGAGTGAGGTCGGTGGTGACAGTGCATGGGGCTGACAGGTGAGTGAGGAGACCGCAGGGGGCCCCATCGGGTGTGTGCACGGGACACACGAACCCCCACGACCTGCCGTGAGATGAGACGGGGTGGGTGGAAAAGAGGGAAGGGGGGTTGAGGTTGGCGGCGACAGTGCATGGGGCTGAGAGGTGGGTGAGCAGGCCACAGGGGGCGCCGTCTGGTGTGTGCACGGGACACACGAACCCCCACGACCTGCAATTATGGGGTGAGACGCAAGGAGGGGACACTGGAAGATGAGAAATTGAGGAGAGAGGATTGCAGAAAATTGCAGAAAATTGCAGCGCTACTCCTTGAGTGGTTGAGAAGACCGTAGAGGGTCCCCACCCCTCCCACCTCCGCCCCCCACCCCACTAGGCGCACTCACTCTTACAACAGCTTGCGCACAGTGGTGGCGCGGAGAGTGGAGAAAAAAACTCCTTAATGCACTGACCAAAAGTGAGGCAGGTACCGATGCCAGTTCAGCTTATCCCCTCAGGCACTCTCACCACACAGCCCTATCCCCCTCTCTCTCCCCCCCCCCTCACCGCACTCACTCTGGCAACAGCTTGCGCACGGTGGTGGTGCGAAGAGTGGAGATGCACGGACCTAAAGTGAGAGAGGAACCGATGCCAGTTCAGCTTATCCGCCACCACCGTGAACCCCGACCTCTGAGACATGTCCAGCCCTCACGAGCTCTATTACACCCCCCTCCCTCTCACTCCCACTCGCACTCCCACCCCCACACTAAAGCACACTCACTCTGGCAGCAGCTTGCGCACAGTGGTGGTCCGAAGAGTGGAGAAGAACGCCCCTCGATGCATGGATCTAAAGTGAGACAGGTAGCGGTGCCAGTTGAGCTTATCCGCCACCACAGTGAACCCCGACCGCTGTTGCATGTCCAGCCCAGACGGGCTCGCGAGATTCCCCGTGTTCAGCATGTACTCGATGTCCTTCCCTATAAACGTCATCCCCAGCCCAGCCCTGACGGGCTTAGCCTTCAGGCACCCTCACCACACCACACAGCCGCCCTATCCCCCTCTCCCCCCGTTCACCCTACTCACTCGGGCAGCAGCTTGCGCACAGTAGTCGTCCGAAGAGTGGAGAAGAACGCTCCTCGATGCACGGAGCGGAAATGCGAGAGGTAGCGGTGCCAGTTGAGCTTATCCGCCACCACAGTGAACCCCGACCTCTGTTGCATGTCCAGCCCAGACGGGCTCGCCAGATTCCCCGTGTTCAGCATGTACTCGATGTCCTTCCCTATAAACGTCATCGAAAGCCCACCCGCCGGCGCCGCCCCTGCCGCCCCGGGCCGGCTGCCCTCGACGAGGCGGCGCAGCCAGTTGGAGGCGCGGAGGTCCGTGGTGGTGGGGTTGTCGACGAGCTCCTGGGCGGCGTGCGCTTGGATCTTGTGCAGGTGTACCTGCAGCTTCTCCTGAGGTGGAGAAGAGTGAAAGGGAAAGGGAAACAAGGGGAGGGGAGGGGAGCGGAGGGGAGGAAAGGGGTGGGTGGCATGCCGCATGCGCGTGTATCTTGTGCCGGTGTAGCTGCAGCTTCTCCTGAGAGGGTGGAGTGCAGGATACGGGGCAGGGAAAGGAAGGGGGGAGAAGTGAGGAGGGGGGCGGCATACGCTTGGATCTTGTGCAGCTGTAGATTCTCCTGATATGGTGGAATGTGGGGTATGGAGAAGGGAAGGTAAGGGGAGGGAACGGAAGGGGCCGGGAGGGAAGGGAAGGGGATGGGAGGGAAGGGAAGGGAAGGGGGGGGGGGGGTTGACAAGGGCAACGGGGAGGAGAAGTGAAACGGAAGCTGCATAAGTATAGCTGGAGCTTCTCCTGTGATGGGGGAATGTGGAATACGGAGAAGGGAAGGGGGCACAAGGGGAGGGGAGGGGAGGGGTGCGTTCCATAGGCAGGCATAGGGAGTGCAGCAGTTACAACTTCTTAGAGAGGGAGCGGACCTTGATGAAGATGTTGAGGATGTGGCCGGGCAGGTAGAGCTCGTGATGCATGAGCCTGTCTTGAGAGTCAACCCAAAGAGAGTGGGAGCATGTGCTGCGCTTGCGTCGTGCATGCAGGCAGGGAAGGAGAGCGGACGGACCTTGATGAAGATGTTGAGGATGTGGCCGTGCAGGTAGAGCTCGTGATGCATGAGATGACTCAGGAAGACAGCAGGAAAAGAAGATTGAGAGAGCATGGAGAGCGCAGGGAGAGAGCAAGAGAGAGAGGGAACGGACCTTGATGAAGATGTTGAGGATGTGGCCTGGCAGGTAGAGCTCGTGATGCATGAGCGTGTCCATTGAGTCCTCCTGTGATAGCCCGTCCACCATCGACCATAGCTTGTGCAGCATAAAGCTGTTAATGGGGGGGGAGAGGGGCACAAGCACAAGAGGGGAGGTGACGTGCATTAGAGCTCGTGATGCATGAGCGTGTGTCTTCTCTGTCCTCCTGGGATAGCCCATCCACCATCGATCGACCACAGCTTGTGCAGCATGAAACTGAGAGGGAGGGGTGGAGGCACGAAGACATCAGAAAGAGGCAGGCACAGGCACAAGGCAAAGAGAGCCGAGCGCAAAAGGGGGGAGATGAGCCCTATAACGAGCCAAGGAGGCGCAGATTGCTCATGGGCTTGCCGAGACGCACTAGGCCCGTTGGGGCATGTGTGGAGGAGGCACGTGGAGGGTACTGTACAGGGAGGCACATGGATGGAAGTGGAGGACATGTGGAGGGAAGGAAGAGCAACTCACACGAGCAGGCGCAGCTTGTCCATGGGTTTGTCGAGATGCACTAGCACCAGGTCCGCTATGATCTGCTGGCCCACCTGTGGGATGGACGAGAGAGGGAGGCGAGGGAGGGAAAAGAAGGTGACAGCATGCATGAGAGGAGGCAGAACTAAGTTTGAGGCGCCTCAAAAGTAGACAGCGTGCAGGAGAGGAGGCAGAACTAAGTTTGAGGCGCCTCAAAAGTAGACAGCGTGCAGGAGAGGAGGCAGCAAAAGGAGGAAGAGAGGCGCAGGAGTGCAAGCAAGGTCCGCGATGGTCTGCAGCCCCACCTGTGGAAGGGGGGGTTGCAGAGGTGGGGAGCAGAGAGGAACAGAGGGAGTCGGAAAGGGGGGAGGAAGAGGATGCGTGGGAAGGAGAAGGCATGGACGAGCACAAGCCCATTATGATTGACTGCCACGCCACTCACATATGCGTCTGGCTTGTAGCTGGGAACGTTGACAGCAGGTCGGAAGGTCTTTCCAAGGAAAGCCAGACACTCCATGCGAGTGAAGAGGCCCAGAGAGCGCGGGTGACTCAACACCACCAGCGCCCTCTCCCTCACAAACTGCGTTCCCAACCCCGCCGCCGCTGCTGCTGCCGGTGGTTTTGTGGCTGCCTCTGCTGCTCCTCCTTCGGTTGGTGCGAGCTGCGTGTCGGTCTCCGGAGGGTCGGCTGCAGCCTGCTGTGCTGTTAGGATGGCCGTCAGATGCTCGTACAGCTCTGCATCTGAGACGTCCACTAGGCACTGGGAGGGAGGGGACGAATACGGAAGGGAGGGAGGGGGGATTACGGAAGGGTGGGAGGCGGGGAGGTAGATGGACAAGAAGCCAGGTAAGCCGAAGGATGAGGATAGACGCTCTGCATCTGAGACGTTCACTAGGCACTGGGGGGGAGGGGGATTACGGACGGAAGGGTGGGAGGGGGGGAGGAGGTAGATGGAACAAGAAGCCAGGTAAGCCGTCGGATGAGGATAGACGCTCTGCATCTGGACTGTCCGTTGTTCCGTGAGCAGTTGATTGGACCAAAACAGGCACAATGATAGGGAATGAATGATACTGGTGGTGCCACGACAAACAAGAAGCGCGTGAGCTTGGGAATTCCGGCACAGCACCCACACGTACCGTTCACCACCGCACTGAAACGTCCATAACAGCCGCAGGAAGCTCACCTTGAGAATGATCCCCACGGGGATGAAATACTCTTGCTTCCTCAGGCTGTAGGGGAGAGTAGATGCAGAGAGGGAGTGTGGGTGGAGGAAGGAAGGAGAGAAAACTGGGGCATCAGTGGCAGAGTGAGTGGAGTGGTCAGGGAGGAGGGATCAGATGGGGGAGTGCATGTGCATGTGCATGTGCAGACTTGCAGTGACTGGTGGGAAGGGGGAATGGTGCGGAAGAAACGGGAAGTGAGGAAGGAGAGGGGAAAGAGAGGCAGGCTGACTGGAGGGGAGGGAGAGGAGAGGGTGGTGATCTGAGTGAGGGGTGGGGTGGGGAGGGAGAGGTGGGAGAGGTGGGAAGGGAGGAGGGCGGGGAGGGAGGGTGGAGGGGAGGTGGAGGGAGAGAGGGTGGAGGGGTGGTGGAGGGGTGGTGGAGGGGTAGTGGAGGGAAGGGTGGTGGAGGGAGGGAGGGTGGACGGAGGGAGGTAGGTTGGAGGGAGGGAGGGAGGGAGGGAGTGAAGGGAAGGCAGGACTCACGAGAAGTTGAAGCATGCGTTGCCGTCGTTGACGTAGACGACCCGGTTGGTCACTGCTGATTGGTCCGTGCGCACACACCTGCATGCACCACATGCACCACATACCAAACACGCATAGTATGGAAGAACACCATGCCATGCCACCATGTCAGTTGAGTCACCATGCCACACCACATAATGCACATAATATCATGATGACGCATGTCATATCACATGCCGCCCTTTGTGATGCATGCACGCACGCACATGCATGCTTCTCCTCGCCACGTGCGCCACCATCTTCACAACAGCATAGCCACCGCACCGCACCCCATACCATGCGCGTTCACACAAAAAGCACCCACGGGCCACAGCCAGCTGCCCACCTTTGAGAATTCTCAAAAGTGGGCCACAGCAAGCTGCCCACCTCACCGAATGGTGGTGGGCATACCATACCATACCATACCCGAGAAGTTGAGCCCTGCCGCTGAGAAAAGGGCTCATTCACTGCTCAGCAGCGTGGGGAACTATTTTACCATGCTCACAACAGCACAGCACACACCACACGCCATACCATGCGCGTTCACATACCACCTGCACCGCATCGCATGCTCACCGGATGGTGGTGGCCATGTCACTGAAGTTGAGCCCCTCCTTTAGCAGTGTGGGGCGCCAGTATGCTCACAACACACAGCATGCATGGTGCACCCCACCTGCACCGCATCGCATGCTCACCGGATGGTGGTGGCCATGTCACTGAAGTTGAGCCCCTTCTTTAGCAGTGTGGGGCGCCGCAGATTCATCACCTGGTGGTGGTGGGGGGGGGAAGTAGGGAGGGAGCGGGAGCAACGGCAAGCTGTGCTCAATACCTGCGCTTGAGTCACGTCACGGCACGAATCCCTAGTTGAAAGCACAGAGCCTATTTAAAAAAACAGCAGGATCGACCATGTGAAAAAAAATAAACGCCCTCTCATAAATGTACCATTCCCCTCACACCACCATTCCCCTCACACCACCATTCCCCTCACACCACCATTCCCCTCACACCACCGTTCCCCTCACACCACCGTTCCCCTCACACCACCGTTCCCCTCACATAGTTGCGGCGGGGAGCAATGAGCAGGCGGATGAGACGCTCGATGCCGTTGCAGATGAAGTAGCTGTGACGGGGAAAGGATGGCATGGCATATGGTGGGTGGGGCATGGCACATGTGCACTTAACATGTAGTGGACGATGAGGGTGGTGGCATTAAGGGGCATGGCAGGATATGACTCCTTTTTGGAAATGATCAAACGGGAATGACTGACAGGGAATGGGAATCCAACGGGCGCCAATGGGCGATTGTAAATTAAGATTAGGGTTGGGCGGGGCATGGGATGGAACTTTGCATGGGGAGAGAGCATACAGTGCTGGCAACGGCTAGGAGAAAGAAAACAGAATCTCCTATTGACATTTTGCTTGCACTATGTCGAAATTCTGAACCACACGGCACCGAACAGAACAGAACAGCCCCGCACAGAACCATTGAGCACAAGGCCCGGCCAAGCTCACCCGCCGAGCTCGATGCTCTCCTCCTTGCGCCGCACGAGCTGCTCCTGAGTGAGGTGGCGCGGGTGGCTCAGCACCACCCCCTCGCTCTCCCCCGCGCTCTCCCCACAAAACCCAGAACCGCACAGCAAACCCAGTTCGACACACAAGGCTTAGTCCAGCTCACCCGCCGAGCTCGATGCTCTCCTCCTTGCGCCGCACGAGCTGCTCCTGCGTGAGGTGGCGCAGATGACATGAACCGGACTGCAGGGGTGCACAAGGGTACAGAGGCATACGCAGGGGTGCACAGGGGTACACATCGCCACGCAGGGATACACAGGGGTGAAGATGAGTACTCAAGTCTCACAAGTTCACAGGAGCTGCTTCTGAGAGGGACTGCATGCGATCGCCTTTTGAGGCGCCTCAACACATTGCACATCAAATTACTTCTTCTGTACTTCAACTTAATCGCACTCGCTCGTGCCACGTCAGCTCAGCACACACACACCTTGACCATGATTGGCACCCTGCCCAGGCTCAGCTGCTGGCGCTGCATGGGACCCTTCGCCACGTCAGCAAGCGCCACGTCATCGTCCTCGTCAAAGTAGGAGACGCAGAGGTCGATGCGGAAGTCGCCCCGGTAGGTGGTGCCCGCCTGGCGACACTGGTGTGGGAGAGACGAAGGGGAAGAGGGCAAAAACGGGGCGAGGAGGGGTGTGGGGGATGGTGGAAAGGAAGTCGATTCGGAAGTCGCCCCTGTAGGTGGTGCCCGCCTGGCGGCACTGGTGTGGAAAGACGAGGGGGAAGGAGGGCGGCGGAGAGCGGAAACGGGGGGAAATGGGGGAAAGGGATGTAAGTGATGCCCGCCTGGCGGCAGTAGCATGGCAGCAAGGGATGAAGGTGGGGTGAAAGGGTGGGAGCTGAAAGGGCAGCGAAGCAGAGCCACAAGGGTTCTGCTGTTACCAAGCCGAACCCTTGTGGCGCGCCAAGCACAGGCACCTATGCGACGAGCAACCCCTTCAGTGTCCACTGGGAACCCACTCCCCTCCCTCCAGGGCCGAATGCTTTACTGGTGTTGTGATGCGGTGTACCTCTGAGGGGTAAACGGGTCGGTGCTGGCCATCCTCGCTAAAAGGCTTTGTGATGCTCGGATTCTCCCACCACACTGCGTAGGGAACGGAAACAAGGAAACCCTAAATCTCAATTGCCACGAGTTGATCACGAAAGCTGAGGGTGTGAGAATGAGGGAGACAACGAGTGAGTTTCCTAATGCCTCGACCTTACTGCGATGGGCTTCTCTCCGAGCTTTGACGTGTCTCGAGCATTCAAGTATACAGTATACACTTAGAAAGGGCGCAACAACTATACAACCTCATTGGAGCTTGACGGGGCACTTCGGACTCCTAAATTAGCATCGAGGTCTTGAGACGTCCCAGCAAACCTACAATTGAGTCTAAGCTTGGCGAGACACCCTCGGATCGCTTACAGTAGAATTTGAGCTTCCTGAACGAGTCGTGCACTTCCACGGGTCGAATCAGGCGAACAGCTTCTGGTAACCCGCGCTCGACGAAATAGTCGAAGGAGTCGATGTGCGGCGCGACGAGGTTCTCGAGGTTCTCCGGCACGCCCTGCCGCACGTCGTCGCCCTCGAACGACACCGCCATGCGCGCGACCCCGCTCGCTGCGCTAAACACACGCGCTCGCTGCGCTAACTTGCGATCGCTGCGCTGCGATAACTCACGTGTGCACTGCGCTAACACACGCGCGAATCAACAGACGAACGCGCAAGCGCGGGAATGAGAGAGGCGAACACGCGCGCGCGAGCGACCTGCGGCGAGGTCTCCGGACACAGCTTGACCGCTTCGCGGGAATGAGATAACGAAATGCCTAAGGTGGCTTCGCGAACACTAACCGCACTACCCGCTTCGCTCGCCGCACACGAGCGAATAACCTAATTCAGCAGAATCGCCTAACGCAGCTCCCGGCGATTATGAACGACGCAGCACGGGAGGCAACTTCCAGGTAACCAGGTAACGATATAGCTGGTGCAACTGCGCCTCGAAGACGGTGCTGATCGACGGGTCGGTACGGAATGTGACTGTAACGAATCCTGACCGCCTAAGGCGTAGATAATCCGCGAGTTTTTCAGTCAAATACGACCCTCAGCAGGTAGTGAAGCTATTCGTCAACCTTAGACCTCCTAAACCTCGACTCTACCTCGGCGGGAAATAATTTCTCCACCGTGATTCTGAAAGGCAACCCCTGAACCTCTACTTCCAGTACCGTCCTCGTTTGAAGACGATAGAGCAACAAATCGAAGAGAAACTAAATCTTGAAATGGTGAGGGAGGCAAAATATATGGACTTGCAGGTCTATAAATGTTCAATTTGTGAAATAGCAATGTTAACCAACAATAGTGAGCTAAATAACTAGTTATTAGTTCCACTACGCGGGATTTTGAGTCTCGGAATTAAAAAACCTAAAAATAAACGCAGAAAGCCTTTCTCCATCTCCTTAGCGGCCTGCAGCGAGAAAGCAAACGTGAATTTCTTCACATTTTAGTTGCTTACAACTGAAACCAAAAGAGTATTTGAACTGATACACGATTGCAGTGCCACATGGGCACGTCTACTTAATACCCATCTGAGCAGCATAAAAAATATCGCCCCATCGCTATCCTCCCTACTCTCCAAAACTTCCACCATTGCTCAGCGTCCTCTCATCTCTGCCTTGCTTGCCTGCCCTTCTGTACTCCCTTCCAGCTCTTGTTGCCATCCTTGGACTTTTCAAGCCCTATGCCATTTCTTGCCATTCCATGCCATGCCATGCCATGCCAAACATGCCAAGCCAATCCATGCCATCCTATCCCAGGCATGCCATGCCACCATGCCATTCCATGGCATGCCATGCCATGCACAGCATGGCACAGCACACAGCATGGCACAGCATACAGCATGGCACAGCACATGAAAGAAGATATAGTTTAAATCAGCACATTGCATTGGCATCAGCGCCATAGGGCTCATCATGTGCCACCAAACGTTGCTGCTCCGCTTTTGTTACTACTGTCAACGAATGTAGTTGCTACACTTGATTATTACCTATGAGCATCCTGCTCTCATGCAACAGGTGGCATCGGGCCATGTGGCTCATCATGTGCCACCAAACAGCGTCTTGCTCTCATGGGACAGAGGGAGGAAAACAGAGAGAGAGAGAGAGAGAGAGAGAGAGAGAGAGAGAGAGAGAGAGAGAGAGAGAGAGAGAGAGAGAGAGAGAGAGAGAGAGAGAGAAAACCCACTGCTTGAGGCAGTGGGTGAGGCCCCGTCACTTGGGAATTGCCTCATGGTCCTTGACCCCACACTGGATCTCCCTTAGAGGGGGACACGTGGGGTGGCAGCGTTGCAAGAGGAGTAGGAGGTTTTTATTTGTGCCGGCAGTTACGTGTGATACCAATACCTTGCATGTCTGTACACCTCGACTATCAATGAAAGGGCCATTAGAGAGAGAGAGAGAGAGAGAGAGAGAGAGAGAGAGAGAGAGAGAGAGAGAGAGAGAGAGAGAGAGAGAGAGAGAGGGAGGAAAACAGAGAGAGAGGTGACAGAGGTAGGAAAACAGAGAGAGTGGTGACAGAGGAGGAAAGAGAGAGATGACAGAGGTAGAAAAACAGAGAGAGGTGACAGAGGTAGGAAAACAGAGAGAGAGGTGATAGAGGCAGGAAAAGAGAGAGAGAGGTGACAGAGGGAGGAAAACGGAGAGAGGTGACAGAGGTAGGAAAACAGAGAAAGAGGTGACAGAGGCAGGAAAAGAGAGAGAGAGGTGACAGAGGCAGGAAAAGAGAGAGAGAGAGGTGACAGAGGGAGGAAAACGGAGAGAGGTGACAGAGGTAGGAAAACAGAGAAAGAGGTGACAGAGGGAGGAATTTCCTAACACGCCACACTTACTTGCACCACCCACTCTCACTACCACCCACTCATGTCCACTCTCTTTCCTAACACGCCACACTTACTTGCACCACTCAATTTCACCACCGAATCCCACCACTCACTTTCACCACCGAATCCCACCACTCACTCCCACCTCTCACTCCATCCCATCACCTCGCCACTCCCAACCCTCCACCATCACCGCTCACACTCACCACTCACTCTCACCGCTCTGTCTCACCACACTCTCGCGATTGTCGCCGCTCTAACCTCACCGCTCTAACCACTCATCCTCACCACCCTCTCTGTTCTCACTGCCACCAGCAGCACCCACACACTGCGCACTGTTGTACCCCTTGCCACTCTCCACACAGTGACACTCACCACTCCCTTACTGCACTCTCACCACTCACTCCCTGTCCACTCTCAGTCCTCAATCTCTACACTCACTTGCACCACTCACTCCAGTTCACCATCTGGACACTCCCACCCCTACATCACTCTCCATTCCCACCACGCACCTTCACCACTCGCTCCAACCCCTCACAATCGCCACACGGTCTCACGACACACTCATGATTCTCACCACTCCAGCCACTCACCCGCACCACCTTCTATACTCTCACTGCCACCAGCATGCACTCTCACTGCCATTCTAACCTCCTACTCTCACAACTCTCTCCCACCACTCACTCACTCTCATGGCTGACACCTCCCTCGCTCTACCTCACTCGCCACTCACGCACTCTTGCTGCTCACTCTCCGCACACACCCAAGCTTACCATTCTCACAACTCAATCCCATACTAATTCTCACCTCTTGGACTCTCACTACTCACCCTAACCACTAGCTCTCACTCACCAGCCTTACAAGCACTCACTCATTCACTCACTCACTCACAACTAAAAATCGGCTGTGGCTATCACCACTTTCACCACTCAACTCCCTCAGTCCCACCTGTGGCTATCACCACTTTCACCCATTACCTAATCACACACTCAATCACACCACTCACACTACCCACCATCACCTCTGATGCAACAGGTGGCATCATGTGCCGTACGGCTCATCATGTGCCGCCCAAGGGGACTCAGCCCCTTTCACCTGCACTCACCCACCCAAGGGGACTCAGCCCCTTTCACTTGCACTCACCCACCCAAGGGGACTCAGCCCCTTTCACTTGCACTCTCCCACCCAAGGGGACTCAGCCCCTTTCACTTGCACTCTCCCACCCAAGGGGACTCAGCCCCTTTCACTTGCACTCTCCCACCCAAGGGGACTCAGCCCCTTTCACTTGCACTCACCCACCCAAGGGAACTCAGCCCCTTTCCCTTCCACTCACCCACCCAACGGGTTTCAGGCCCCTTTCCCTTCCCACTCACCCACCCATGGGGTTTCAACCCCTTTCCCTTCCCGCTCACCCACCCATGGGGTTTCAGGCCCCTTTCCCTTCCCGCTCACCCACCATGGGGTTCAACCCCTTTCCCTTCCCAGTCACCCACCCATGGGGTACCCCTTTCCCTTCCCGCTCACCCACCCATGGGGTTTCAACCCCTTTCCCTTCCACTCACCCACCCATGGGGTTTCAGGCCCCTTTCCCTTCCACTCACCCACCCCAAAGGGGACTCAGCCCCTTTTCCTTCAACTCACTCACCCATCCAAGCGGTTTCAGGCCCCTTTCCCTTCCACTCACCCACCCCAAAGGGGACTCAGCCCCTTTTCCTTCAACTCACTCACCCACCCAAGCGGTTTCAGGCCCCTTTCCCTTCCACTCACCCACCCCAAAGGGGACTCAGCCCCTTTTCCTTCAACTCACTCACCCACCCAAGCGGTTTCAGGCCCCTGTCTCATGCACACCACCCAGCCCATCCCCACCATTACCTGCCAGCAGTAGGAGCAGCAGAGAGCGCACTTTCTTAAGGAAACAGCAACCCCTGAGGATGGGCCTTGTGGGATGAAGTGTGATAGTGGAAAATCGCTTCCAGCCCAAGACTCAAATCCTGCCCCTGACGTAGCTAGAGCTGACGCGAACCAGAGCCGCCGGCCGGTCCGCTCTGACGGTGTCCATGAAGCCTTAAACGCCAGATTGGGAACCTGAGCACTGAGTGCCGTGCCGCACCGATTCCACCCTCCACACCCCGCCCCACAAGACACATCCCCTGAGAATGCTGCCCCTCAGGAAGTGAAGTCCCCACTTGCTCCCATGCTTCCCCCCACCCACCCCACACTTCACCCCCATGCCTCCTTACCTGTACCTACCAGAGCCATGCAGCAGAGCGCCATGATGGTGAGGCTGCTGGGAAGTGGGGAGGGGGTGATTAGGGGAGGGCGGGGAAAAGGGAGATAGGAGGAGGTGTGTGGGAGGGTGGACTCCACTCTCCTGTCCTTGCTCCAGTGCTCCCACCCTCAGGCTGCAAGGGAGAGGGGAAAAAACGGAGAGAGGAGGAAATCAGATAACCATACCTCACCTGTTACTCACCTGTCACCATACCTCACCTGTTACCACACCTCCGCTAGCCTAGACTGCCCTCTAGCCCCACAGCCCCCACTGCTGCTACTGCTGCTGCCTTGGCCGCTTCTGCTGCTGCAACTGCTGCTGCCGATCAGCTACACTGATTCGCTGCTGCTGCTGCTGTAGTCTTCTCTTGATGCCAAGTGACCTGCTGGTGGGCGGAAATGGGAGGTGAGGGAGACGAGGGGAGGGGCAGGAGGAGCGGGTGAGTTGGCGAGAACATAAACAGAAGAGCACTAGAGTGGAAAAAAACGAGAATGCAGAAATGAAGGGAGAGCTGCTGCAGCAAGTGAAGTTGAGAAGGGGAGAGGTGAGCTAAGGCATCTTGAGTCCGCTGCACCTTGAGCTGCATCTTGAGCTAAGGGGAGAGGTAACGCACCTTGAGTTGAGAAGGGGAGAGGTGAGCTAAGGCGTGAGGTAACGCACGGGAGAGGTGAGCACGTGAGAGCTGCTGCAGCAAGGGAGAGGTGAGCACGTGAGAGCTGCTGCAGCAAGGGAGAGGTGAGCACGTGAGAGCTGCTGCAGCAAGGGAGAGGTGAGCACGTGAGAGCTGCTGCAGCAAGGGAGAGGTGAGCACGTGAGAGCTGCTGCAGCAAGGGAGAGGTGAGCACGTGAGAGCTGCTGCAGCAAGGGAGAGGTGAGCACGTGAGAGCTGCTGCAGCAAGGGAGAGGTGAGCACGTGAGAGCTGCTGCAGCAAGGGAGAGGTGAGCACGTGAGAGCTGCTGCAGCAAGGGAGAGGTGAGCACGTGAGAGCTGCTGCAGCAAGGGAGAGGTGAGCACGTGAGAGCTGCTGCAGCAAGGGAGAGGTGAGCACGTGAGAGCTGCTGCAGCAAGGGAGAGGTGAGCACGTGAGAGCTGCTGCAGCAAGGGAGAGGTGAGCACGTGAGAGCTGCTGCAGCAAGGGAGAGGTGAGCACGTGAGAGCTGCTGCAGCAAGGGAGAGGTGAGCACGTGAGAGCTGCTGCAGCAAGGGAGAGGTGAGCACGTGAGAGCTGCTGCAGCAAGGGAGAGGTGAGCACGTGAGAGCTGCTGCAGCAAGGGAGAGGTGAGCACGTGAGAGCTGCTGCAGCAAGGGAGAGGTGAGCACGTGAGAGCTGCTGCAGCAAGGGAGAGGTGAGCACGTGAGAGCTGCTGCAGCAAGGGAGAGGTGAGCACGTGAGAGCTGCTGCAGCAAGGGAGAGGTGAGCACGTGAGAGCTGCTGCAGCAAGGGAGAGGTGAGCACGTGAGAGCTGCTGCAGCAAGGGAGAGGTGAGCACGTGAGAGCTGCTGCAGCAAGGGAGAGGTGAGCACGTGAGAGCTGCTGCAGCAAGGGAGAGGTGAGCACGTGAGAGCTGCTGCAGCAAGGGAGAGGTGAGCACGTGAGAGCTGCTGCAGCAAGGGAGAGGTGAGCACGTGAGAGCTGCTGCAGCAAGGGAGAGGTGAGCACGTGAGAGCTGCTGCAGCAAGGGAGAGGTGAGCACGTGAGAGCTGCTGCAGCAAGGGAGAGGTGAGCACGTGAGAGCTGCTGCAGCAAGGGAGAGGTGAGCACGTGAGAGCTGCTGCAGCAAGGGAGAGGTGAGCACGTGAGAGCTGCTGCAGCAAGGGAGAGGTGAGCTAAGGCGTGAGGTAACGCACCTTGAGGGGCCACACCCATCCCGATACTCTCCCTAGCAGAACCATTTGAGTCCGCTGCAGTGCTGCCTCCTCCCCATCCCCGTGGGTGCCTACAAACCACCAAAGGAGGGGCGTGCAGGAGTGGCGCCGTTGACACCCACGCCCCTCCCCTCCACCTGCAATGGCCCACGGAGAAAGAGTGAGGGACTGGTGGAGAGGCGAGGGGTGAAGCAGGAGGGCGGATGCACAACAAGCAATCGGAAAGACGAGAGGGGAGGGGGTCACTGGTTCAGCCTCAGCTGCAAGCCACATACCAAGGGAAGGTTATACCAGGTGGGGGTTATACCAGGTGGGGGTTATACCAGGAGGGGGTTATACCAGGAGGGGAATATACCGGGGGGGGGTTACGCAAGAAAAAGTGACTGTGGCTTGAAGCCTTAGCTCAACCAGAGGCATGCATTTGAAGAGACGAGATACAGGAGGCACAGCAAAGATGAACATGGAAAGCAAACGAGCTCAAGAGGGAGAACTGGGAGAGGAAGAGCACGGCAGGGACTTAGCTGTGTGAAGGTTGGGTGGAGAGCAGCTGCTGCCTGTGCACTCCATGTCCCCCGCCACTGCCACTCCCGTGTGAGCGACCTGCTGGGATGAGAGGGTTGCAGAGTGGGACAGAGAGAGGAAGGGACGAGGGACGGAGGTGGGGGAGAAGAGGACGGAGGTGTGAAGGGGGAGGAGATGCGTGGGAAGAGAAATGAGGAAAGAAACTTAGACGTTTGAGTAAAGTGAGAGCAATGTGCAGTGGATGAGTGGATTGCTGCTGCAGTGGCAAACCCAAGAGACCTCGTACCAGCTGAACCACACTGAATAAAATATCTGAGGCTTTACCAGAGATTTGTACCTGTTACCTTGGGGAGGGAGGTCCCTTGAGTGTGATAAAGCGCAGCAGCGAACAGAATATGGTGCATGGTGCAAACAAGACACGAAATGCAACACAAGCGCAAGGGCTGGGTTCGGCGTAGAGAGGCGATGAGGGTACTTAGCTGTGGTGGGTTGGTTCTGCTGTTTGTGCACTCCATGTCCCACCCCATACTCTCCCTCCTGTTGCCCTCCTGTTGCCCTCCTGCTGCCCTCCTGCTGCCCTCCTGCTGCTACCCTCCTGCTGCCCCCTTCCTCCCTGCTGCAGCCTCGGTTGCACTGGGCGCTGCGAGGGAGGCGGTGGGAGGGGCGCAGGGAGCAAGGGACAGCTGTGAGCATGGGGAGATGAGCAGGCAGAAGCGTAAAGGTACACAAAGGGAGCAAGAAAGTGAAGTGAGAATAGGGAGAAGACGAGCAGCCGCACGAGTGAAGGGAAGAGGAAACAGCGGCTCACCTTGTTCAGGAGACCCAAGTCCAATACTCTCCCATCCCATCCCAACCGAGTGGTGTGCTGCCGAGTCAGTGAGGGGGGAGAAGGCACTTAACTGGCAGATGAAGAGTCAACGACGCCTGCTGTCTCATATCCCCTCCCCTCCCCTCCCTTCCCCTCCCCTCCACTCCCTTCCCCTCCCCTCCCCTCCTTTCCCCTCCCCTCCCCTCCCTTTCCGTCCTCTCCCCTCCTGCTGCTCCTGCAGAGTGGTCTGGAAGGGGGAGGAGAGGAGGGGAGGCAAGGAGGCGAGTGAGAACAGGAATGGCAAGGGCAGGCTTGAAAAGACAGGAAAGGGCAACGAGAAGGATGAGCATTCACAGACTTCCAGCAGAACGCGAGTGCAGTGCGGAAGAGCAGGCAAAGGGCTCATCTTGAGACGCCACGCCCATCCCCATACTCTCCCTCGTGGCAGCGATTGCAATCCGCTGCAGTGCTGCCTCCCTCCCGTCCCCACCACTCATCTCTGCTGCACGCCAAGTAATCTGGCGGGGGGAGCAGAGCGGAGAGAGGGAAGGAGGCGAGAGAGTGAAGACAGGCAAGAGGGATAGAGAAGGATGAGCGAGAACGAACCGGCAAGGAGGAAGGTAACGTACCTTGAGAGGCCATGCCCAGCCCCATACTCTCCCTCATGGCAGCGATTCCAATATACTGCAGCGCTGTCTCCCTCCCGTCCCTGCACGGCCACAGGGGAGAGGTGAGAGGGAGCGTCGGTGTTGACCCCACGCCCCTCCCCTCCAGCAAGGCACAGAGAGAGCAGTGGTGAGTGGGATTGCAAGGAAAGGCCCCAAGCACAAGTGAGAGAGCAGTCAGTGCCATGCATGGAGGAAGGAAGAAGGGGCCACTGGGGAGGCACGACCACACGCAACAGACCCAAGGGGACCTGCATACCTGAGAGGGATACCTGCACCTGAGAGGGATACCTGCACCTGAGAGGGATACCTGCACCTGAGAGGGATACCTGCACCTGAGAGGGATACCTGCACCTGAGAGGGATACCTGCACCTGAGAGGGATACCTGCACCTGAGAGGGATACCTGCACCTGAGAGGGATACCTGCACCTGAGAGGGATACCTGCACCTGAGAGGGATACCTGCACCTGAGAGGGATACCTGCACCTGAGAGGGATACCTGCACCTGAGAGGGATACCTGCACCTGAGAGGGATACCTGCACCTGAGAGGGATACCTGCACCTGAGAGGGATACCTGCACCTGAGAGGGATACCTGCACCTGAGAGGGATACCTGCACCTGAGAGGGATACCTGCACCTGAAAGGGATACCTGCACCTGAAAGGGATACCTAGACATGAGGGGCAAACCTGACGTGAGAGGGTCTGTGGCATGTGAGTCGGGCCCTACCAGTGGCACTGATTCAAGGAGACGGATGAAAGCACAACCAGCCAAGGCATTGAGAGCAAACGAGGTGGCAGGCAAGGGAGAGGGCGTGGAGGAAGGTACTTAGCTGGTGGCGTGAGAGCAGGTGACAGTTGAAGAAGCACCAGGGCAGCTGAAGCACCACCAGGTGACTCCTCCCAGCAGCCCTCCTCGCAGCCTCCCGTGTGCGTCCCTGCACGGCCACAGGGGAGAAGCGTGAGGGAGCGTTGGTGTTGACCCCACGCCCCTCCCCTCCACCAGCAAGGCACAGACACAGAGCAGCAGTGAGTGCGCATGGAATGGCCAGAAGCACAAGGGAAACACCAGAAGCTGCCAAATCAGGAAGATAGGAGGGGGCCACTGATGGAAGCACGGCCACAAGTCACAGAGCCCAAGGGAACCTGCAGTACCTGAGGGGGATACCTGCACCTGAAAAAATACCTGAAGTAAGGAGGTCTGTGGCATGTGGGCCGTCCCAAGCAGTGGCACTGATTCAAGGAGAAAGGCGAAAGCACGAGCAAGAACAGACTGGCAAGTACAAGTGATGACGTGGAGGAAGGGGCACTTAGCTGGAAGCGAGAGAGGAGGTGGCAGTTGAAGGAGCACGGGCAGCAGGCGTGTCCCTCCCACTGTAGCTCGGCTCTAGCGCTGCTGGGTGGAACGGGGGGGAAGGGGGGTTGGGCGGGAAGTGGGGGGGAGGGTAAGGAAGAGGGGAGGGTGCGCTTAGAAGGGCAGTGAGAGGGAGGGAGGCAGCAGCGGGAAAGAGGATGCATGCATGCAACGTGAGATGGAGCAAGAACGGGAGGAGGGCCACTGGTGCACACACAGTCACAAGCCACACACCCACGGGCTGGTTGGTTGCTACCTGCAGTGAGAGAGGGCTATACCTGAAGGCATCACCTGGGGGGGGCTTTACCTGAGAGTGAGCGGGGTGTGTGGGTTGTACCGTGTGCTGCCAGCAGTGGCCCCAATTTGATGGACGACGGGATGAAGGAAACGCGGAAGCATGGAAAGGGGTGTGATGCGGGATGCAAGGTGGATGCACTTAGCTGACGATGTTACTGCTGTCTGCTGCCACCAGGTGCTTCAGGCATGAGGGCGACCCACGTGCTCGCTTGCTGCCCCACGTCCGCCTGCCATTGCTCCTTGAGGCCGAGTGACCTGCACGGAGAGAAGAGCGGAGGGAACGAGGAGCGAGTAGCATGAGTAATAGGAAGGTGAGGGAGTGGAGAGGCAGTGGTGTTGACCCCCACGCCCCTGCCGTCCACATGCAGTGCACACGAGCAGCACTGGTAAGTGAATTCGCTGGGAGGGGAGGAAGGGCGAATGGCAGGTGAGAGGAGGCACGGTGCGAGGCGGTGGAGGGGAGGGGTCACCAGTGGGGGCACAGCCAGCACAAGCCACAGACCTCAGGGGAAACCTGCCGTAAGGATGCACCTGAGGGAGAAAGGGCGTCTGAACCTGAGGGGGTTCACACCTGAGGGGGCTAAACCTAAGAGGGGATACCTGCAGTAGAAGGTCTGTGGCTTGTGAAGCAAGGCCCAATCAGTGGCGAGAGTTTGAAGGAGAAACAACGGAAGCGTGTGTGAGCAAGCATGACTTGAGTTGAGGGATGAGAAGGTGCTTATCTGAAGCAGACGCGCTGCTGAGGGTGAGATTTGCCACCCTTGTTCCGCGAGCTTCAGATAAATCGCCCGCAAATGGCACTGAGCCAAAAAATGAACCTGCGAAACAGATTTGCGAAATTGATCCGCGCAGATGAGTCACGAATTTGAGACGAGAAACGCGAGATGGATCCGCAAAGACCATTTGCAGACATTGAGATACTGATGACAAGCGAAATTGATCAAGAAACGAATTCGCGAATTCGAATAAACGTAACATCACGAAAGGTGTGGCAATACCTGAGCTGCAAGACGAGGACGAGTGTCGATCCGAGTTCGCACAGCCGCGCTCTCCGATTCGTGGCTCTACAGAATCACGTGCAGCCAAATCGGGGTGAAATGTCGCGTCCACATCGACCTGCCACATGCCGAGCATGCAGGCGCCATGTCAGAAATACCGCTTGACGATTTCGAATCCTAGTTTTGCGAAAACGAAATACACCAGGCAAGACAACTCGATGCGGGAAAAAGACCAAGGACTCGATGCGGATGTGTTCTCAAGTACCTGAGTAGAGAGATTCTAGAGAACATCATCCCGTTGCCATTGCCAGACTAAGAGCTCCGAACTTCCGAGTACGCGTGGCTCTCCAAAATCGCGCACAGCCAAATTGGAGAAGATGTCGCGTCCACAACGAACCTGGCACGTTCCGAAGATGCAGACGCAAGGAAAACACCCCATGTCGATTTCGTATTCTAACTTCGCAAATTACACCAGACAATGAAACTCGGGGCGCGAAAAATAAGCAGGTGCTCTCAGTATTACCTGAGTGAAAAATCCTTCTGCGCAAAACATGCAGAATTTCCACGCTAGATGAAGCTCCTACGATTTCAATCTTGAAAAATCGCTTCAGGAAACGTAAGCCTGAGCTCTCTAAATGTCAAAACGCTGAGCTCTAGAGCTATGGAAGCAGAGTTCTAAGAACGGAGCAAGTGAGCAGAAGAAGCTGGGAGTGAAAAAATGGGAGCAGAAGGCAAAAAAACGCTGTGAAATGCGAGGCTCAGGCGAGAATGACGTTGGAATGAGGCGGAGGGGTTGCGGGAATGCCTCGCCTCTCCTTCCCTCACATCCCAACTAACGCTCTTGGGTTCCCACCACGCAAGATCTACCGTCCAGAATCAATCAGGCGTTCGAAATGACTCTCCGAGTCCAGATCGCAGCCGTAGGTTGGAGTTTCCATTTCGCCAACGCCAACCATACAAGCAGTGTTGAAGAAAAACCCTCGTTCTTGATTGGAATACAGTTCAAACCAGTTCTGTTGGATGGTCCGGTCAGGCTCAGATTTTCCGCATGACATGGATATTTGAGAGTCCACTTCATGGCTGGTCAGGAATCGTTCACGTGGCACGTGAATCCTGGCGGTCACGGAAAGGAACGGAAAATCGCCGACTGTGTACTGCTCGCGTGTCGCGTCGTCGCCTCAGTGGCTACGCGAGTCGAACACCGACCTTTTTCAGCGAGCTTTCGTTGACAAACGCGGGAGTTGCGGGATTCCTCTAGCTGATCGTTTGACTCGGTGACTTTGTGACCGTCGATTGTCATCTCATCTGAAGCCCCACCATCACAGCATAACACTGGGAACGCGGGAAACCCAAGTATTTGAATATGAATCTGCCCTTCCAACCAATGAGAGCGAAGAATGTTCTGTCAGGGAAGCAAACCGTAGCCCAGCAGCTGTGGTTGGTTTGTGATTCGGCAATTCACAGTGAAACAGACGGGGGGACTTTTTGACCGGACTTCGCGAAAACGACGATTTTCCACAGAGTTCGCTAAACGTTGTTACTCTATTTCCATCTGCTTCGGTGATTCGCATCTCTACTTCAACGAACGAACGAACCAAGGGCGTACGGTTTCCTGACAAACTGGGTCGTTCAGGGCGAGCATCCCCCGGCAAACCAGACAACAGCGCGACATGGCTGGAGGGAGGGGTCCTGAGAAACGTCGTTAGTAGTCGATTCGTTTTTCAGCAGCTATCCTCTTCTACAATTATGTTGTTTACCTTTCATACGAAGTGTTCTTGTCTCGACAGCGACAATTGTCTCTTTTGAGGCGTGGTTGACGCGGGCCGCGTAAAACTCCAGAATCCTTCTCCAGCTTGGCAAATCAAAGGACGGCCAAACCACTTTGTTGTGCCGTTGAAGCATTCAGCTCCTCCTGCCTCCTTGGAGGACCATGGTGATCAGATCAAGCTGCCAAATGTCCCTCCCTCGCCCAAACCCAGCCAAGCAAAAGCAAGCGTCACCTCACCAACCGACATTCCACTGTCGCTGATTGGTCCGAGGCATGGCTATCCCAACCAGACGTCACACCACCACCACTCAACAAGGCAACACGACGGACAAACATCCGACCGAACCAGCCCCCGAGGCACCACCACCCTACAAGCCGCATCACCAGGCCTAGTAATGGTAACCAGCCTTTCCACTCACCCACCTTCCCCACGGGAGTTCGTTACGCACAGTGCGTTCTTCGTCGCGCCGACAAGGCAGGCATGCAGCACCACCAGCGCTTGTACACCCCCACGGAACCGGGCCTCCCCCACCCCAAGTCCCATTGGACATTTGGGGTGGCTCTTTCCCAGCCTGGCACTCTCCCAAGCCCACTCGTCTGGGCTGTCTCATCTCATCACCTCTCCCAACCGAACCCATCCCAACGAACCGATGTGGTGCTGGCTGTGATCGTCAAGCTCTACAAGTTCAGTGCAACCATCTCACGTCCCACATCACTGCTCCTTCATTAATATGCACGAACCAGAAACAGATCACATCGCCTATCTTCTCCTCAACGTGATCTTGATTTTCGCCCCCTCACCGGTTCTGCAGAAATGGCTACCCTAGGTCGACTTCCAGGTGTAAGAGAGTTATCAGAATCGTACTACACGGATCTGTCCAAGGCTTCCCCCCATCTGCCTTGTGATCAAACCCTGGACGCGCATTTTTCCTCGCTCCGCGCCCACAATTCCCCCATCCACAAGCGCAAGGAGCGCAGCATCTCCCCTCCTTCCGCCCTCACCGCACTGATTACAGGCGCTTCTGGCGCGCAAACATGCAATGCCGCACCCTTCGCGTCGTCCCTTCAATGTCCGCCTCCTCTCGTTTTCGTCGCGGACTGCCCGCACGATTGTGCCGCCAGCAGCAACTGCGCCGCTGATGACTGGCGGTTTACCGAGTACGCGACGCCGCGGGACGTCTTTCGTCCGCTTCCAGACGACTTCCGCCAACGCTCCGCCGCCGCCGCCGCCATGCGAGAAACCGGCGCAGGCGCAGCAGCAATGACGCCTGAAAGTCTTGAGGTTCGGTCTCTCGCGTCGGAAATTCCCCTCACGTTCTGGGAGGCGCAACAAGCGCAGAAGCAGCAGCGTCCGCACACTGTGCCGCGCACTGGTGTCCCCTACTTTCGCAGCAGCAGCGGTAGCAGCAGAAGGGCGCCAGGGTCGCCGCTGGGAGGGGACGGTAATCCCAAGAACCGCGCTGGGAATGCGTTGGGAAGAGCTAGAGTGCAATTGCAAGGGGCGAGGGGATCGAGGTTGCTGGCAGCGAGAGCGTTGCACCATGGCTCGGATCGTGAACGCAGCAGCACGCGCGGCGGTTTCGATGACGGTGCATTAATCAACGGTGGGGATGCTGCCGCGTCTGCGGCGACTGGCACGGGTTCTCCTCTGCCGAGCCGAAAGTTCCTGGCTAGGACGTTTAGCGGGTCCGTGGAATGGCCGTCTCGGCTGGAGAGCCTGTTCATGCGACCAGGCTCGGGAAAGGGCAAAGCCCTTGGAGACACCAGTGGAAGAGCAGGTTTTTTCATGGGCAGCGGAAGGAGATTACACGGGGATATTGATGAGAATGAGGAGGCAGAAACGGCGGGGGTTCAACGCAGCAGAAATGAAATTATGAAGGGGGTTAGGGGAAGAATTTTGCCACAGTATGTTGACGAGTGTGAAGAGGGGTTTGATGGATCAGCAGATGGTGACCTGGAGGTTCCTCAGATAGTCACTTGTTTTGGGAGATCTAGATGATCACCATCCGTATAAGTGGCTGTTCAGTCTGAGAATTTCGACTAATAGTATATTGCATAATATATTCACTTTATTTTTTACTTGTATCATATGCTAGGTGTACTATATTCACATTCGTACCAATCACGCATGCGCTGTTACGGGTACCAATAGCTTGCCTTTTTTAACATCAAATGTGTGGAAACACCACGCAACACCCTGAACTGTGCGAGTAGAAATAGTGGTCTACTCTGCCCGCCCAGCAATAAATCCAGGACGCGTCGTGCCTCTAGGTCTGGGTGTAACTGTACGTGCACTGCCGTCGACGAAACAAATGCTCTTCGCGGAAATCAGTGAGATTGCACACTGTCCAGAACTTACCTTTGCGAACCATCACGAACCGTCAGTACATGTGACGCCGTAACCAGGCCGGGGGTACCATACCACCATTCCGGGCCTAGATAGCTCGCCTGCGGCCATATCTAGGTTCTCCTTCCCCAGCAGTAGCTGCAAACAGCACATCCCCCTTTTCCGAGTCTTCCGAGCACAGTATACACGCACCACAGCACAGCACCCACCCCATCCATCCACACACACTCACTCACACACACACTGACATACAGGCAGCCTGCCTTTTCATGAGTTACTGTAGGTTCCTCAGTTTGAGTTAGGGCGAGTCAGAAATTAGGTTCGTGTGTGGTTGTTGAGGCTTTTGTCCGTACCAGCCGTTGCAGTTGGGAGTGTAGTGTCGGCGGATATTGCGTCGCGCCGCAAGTTGCGCATGTGTAGTACCATGCGTGTTGCATACCTTCATGATAGCTTCGCGGTAGGATAAATTGTCTAGTTTCCGAGTCTCGGTTGCTTTTCGATGGTTTTGACCTCGTGGCGCCTATGTAGGTCTGTTAGCCAACGGCCGCAATCTTCCCTATCATAGCTTCTTGGCCAATGCGAAACCCTAGAAGCGATTCATAGCCTCCGTCGATTAATAATTTTATTGGTTTTCTCAGCGCGTGCTCTAATTCTCACTTCAGTAAAGGACCGTTCGTTGTTCAGGTTAGAGACCATGCACTCTCGAGTCGACTAAAAATTCCGCTCATTGCTCATGTAGACCATGGTGGACCCGTCCACCGTTTTAGAAGAGTTTTTAGTCGACTGAAACCCCAGTTAAGGCCCGCTCGTTGTTCATTTTAGGCCATGGCGGACCCGACGACGGTTCTAGAGGAGGAGTTCGACGAGAACTACGAGCCGACACAGGAAGGTGAGCTCTTACAGATACGGTATACTCGCTATTGAGTCGCGCAAAAAGGCTACTGTTCTGGGCGAGGAGCCATACGAGAGGTTTGAGCTGACGCGGGATAAGAGGTAGTCAATCTAGGGAGATATCCATTTTTGTATTTTTTCTTCCTTCCCCGCAGCAACCTCCCTTGCAGCAACCTCCCCTGCAGCATCCACCCCCCGGCAGCCTCCCTCCCTCGCAGCACGGATTATGTTTACTTTTCAATCGTGAAGGCGCTACGGCTCACACGGAACCGTAGATGCACCATTGGCAAACGGCTCCTGTGCCTCCGTCTGCCGTCGCACTCCCTCCCTTGCTCTCTCGCTCTCTTCCTGTCTCGCTCCGTCGCGCGCTTTTACGGCGTTCAAGCAGCCGTAAGCCGAATTATCACGCGCCAATGCCGGCTGATCGTTGGATCTTTACTTCTTAGTCATTATTGCGCAGCGCGTTCTGGTGGCACTTAGATGAGTGGCTCTTAGACGCATGGCGCTTGAGTTCTTGGCGCGTAGGCGTACGTCGCGACAATCTATACCCGTCTGCGGCCCTTTCCACCCATTTTCCCCCCCGCGTCCTGTCCCTGCGCGTCCCCGCACTTCCCCGCGTGTCCGTGCGCGTCCCTGCGCGTCCCTGCGCGTCCCTGCGCATCCCTGCGCGTCCCTGCGCCAACTCCACGGCTGCGCTGTCTGCGGCTCATTTCTCGTTGCCGCTGTCTCACCATCTAGCAGATTCTTGAGTCGACTCATAAACTACGCATGTCGAATGTCATCAGTCAGTCAGCTGCTGGTAGCCCGCGCATACCCGCATCACGCGTTCTCTAGTACTACGCGGAATGGCGGGAAGGAGCCGGAGGAGCGGAGGAGCAGCTGCTGTGGGCGGGACGAGATACCACCACTGGCATCCCAATCCCTCTTCCCCCCCTTCCCTCCGTCCTCTCCCCTCCCCCCCCCTCTCCGCTTCTGATTGTTAGACATTCTCGAGTACGCGCAATGGCTGGGAATGGAGCTACCGGAGGAGGAGGAGCTGCTGTGGGTGGCGCGACAGGGGCTCAAGGCACCGCTGCCGCCCAACTGGAAACCATGGTGCGTCGTTTGGGGCGTGTGTGTGTGTCATGCGCACGCTTGGTGTGCGTGCGTAGTGACATGCGCACGTTTAGTGTGCGCGCTTGCAGCTTTCGTGTAGCGTTAGACTCACGCATTGCCGGATGGCTGTGGTTGGTGATCTGCAAGGCAAAGGAGTGGCACGCGTGTGTGTGTGACATTGAGTGTCTGGGAGTGGGGGTGGGAGAGGGAGGTGTGTTTGTGTGACTGTATGTGTTTGCGATCTGTGTCAGTGTGTGCATGCGGTTGTGTTGTCATCTGCCCTATTTCGAACCCCTCACACACAAACCAGCTGCCACCAACTGCGTGGATGATGGTGTGATAACGTCCTTATTTTCCACCTCGAATCCCCGCTCTCTCCAACCATCCTCGTCCCCGCCCTCGTCTCATACCCCTCCCGTGCCACTCTCCCTCCCCACTCCCCTCCCCTGCCTTCGCCAGTCGCACGGACGATGACGAGATATATTACTTCAATTTCCAGACGGGCGAGAGCGTGTGGGATCACCCCTGCGACGACCACTATAGGTGAATCAACGGCTGTGATTGTGACACGTGGAATGACGAGTAGTCTTAGACGCGTGATTCCAGGAACCACATACCCCGCTGCTGCTCTTCTCCTTTGACCGTGCTGGTAGGGCAATGCCTGATAGACTTTATTGATCTCCTATTCTTTCTGCAAATCCCCCCATCCCCCGCTCTCTCTCACTCCCATCCACTCACTCTTACCCTCCTCTTATTTTTCCCGGGGCTCTGATCACGAAGGACAAGAACTAGCTCAGAGCCAGGTCTGCTATTCTCAGAGCTTATCCCCCTTCCTTCCCCCTTCCCCCACCCTCTCCCCTCCGCCCGCCCCCCCCACCTCCTCTCGCCCTCAGAGCCCTGTACACGGATGAGAAGAACAAGCTCAAGGCGGCAAAGGCTGCTGCAGCAGCAGCCACCAGTGGCAGCAGCAGTCGGAGGGGGGCGGGGGTTGAGGAGGCGCGGGGAAGACGCGAAGAGGAGGGCAGGCGGGGGGGGCAGGGGGGTGCTCGTGGGGGAGGGGGAGGGGGAGGAGGCGGAGGAACAGGGGGGAGAGGCGAGGGAGGGGGGAGGGGCGAGGGAGGTGGGAGAGGGGAGGGAGGGGGGCGAGGAGAGCCAGGGGGGCGGGGAGAGGGAGGAGGAGGAGGGGTAGGAAACGGGTCAGCAGCAGCAGCAGCAGGGGGAGGGGGAGGGGGGATGAGGGATGGAGCGGCGGTGAAGGGGGGGGTACGGGATGGGCTGGTACGGCAGGCGTCGCTGCCCCCACAGCCCAAGGAGGAGCATCGTAACAACCTGTTCCGCCAGGGCTCACTGCAACCCCAGTCCATGCTACAGGTGGGATGGGTGGGAGAGGTGCAGTGCTTGCTGCAAGTGGGGTGGGCGGGCAATTCATGCTGCAGGTGGGGCGGTGCTTTTCCCATCCCAGTGGGTCGGTTGTTCTCAATCGCATGCTCTTCTCCCATCTCCCAAACCCTTCACACCCTCCCCATTGCCCATCTCTTCCCCCGTGCCCATCCCTTCCCCCGTGCCCATCCCTTCCCCCTTGGCCATCCCTTCCCCTTTGCCCATCCCTTCCCCCATAGCTCTCCCACCCTCAGCGGAGGCGCAAGGTCGCACCAAAGGGCTCAAGAGACGCCTCCCTGTTTTAGTCGCCTCAAACAAGGCCTTGATTGCCCTCCACCCCGCTCCCCCCTTCCCCCCCCCCCCCCCCCCCTCCCCCCCGCCCCCTCTATTTCCCTGCCCCCTTGCCCATCCCTTCCCTCATGTGACGCTCCCACCCTCAGCGGAGGCGCAAGGTGGTTCCCAAGGGCTCAAGAGACGCCTCCCTTCTTTAGTCGACTCAGAAAAGTCTGTACCCTCCCCTTTGCCCTTCCCTTCCCCCCGCACATCCCACCCTCAGCGGAGGCGCAAGGTGGTTCCCAAGGGCTCAAGAGACGCCTCCCTTCGTTAGTCGACTCAGAAAAGTCTGTACCCTCCCCTTTGCCCTTCCCTTCCCCCCGCACATCCCACCCTCAGCGGAGGCGCAAGGTGGTTCCCAAGGGCTCAAGAGACGCCTCCCTTCGTTAGTCGACTCAGAAAAGTCTGTACCCTCCCCTTTGCCCTTCCCTTCCCCCCGCACATCCCACCCTCAGCGGAGGCGCAAGGTGGTTCCCAAGGGCTCAAGAGACGCCTCTCCGGATTCTCCAAACGCAGGTGCATATGTGTAGGGGGAGGAGTGCTGGGGGGGAGGTGGGTGGGGGGAGGGTGAGCAGAGGATTGGGCTAGCATGAGGAGAGTGCTGGGGTAGTGTGGGTGGGGGGGAGGGCTGGGGAGGGTGGGGGGGAGGGCTGGGGAGGGTGGGGGGGAGGGCTGGGGAGGGTGGGGGGGAGGCTGGGCTGCAGAAACCCAACATGAGAGAAAAGCAGGGAGTTGCTGTTTCGCTCTTGAGTCGACTCTGCTTTTGAGTTGACTCAAAAGCAAAAGCAGGGAGCTGCTGTTTCTCCTCCTCACACCAGCCCCACCCTCGCCCTTCCCGCCCATTCATGCATGCAGGAGTGCCTCAGGGGCGAGGGCGTCTCTCCATCACAGACCGCTCAGAGGATGCTAGAGGAACCAACCCCAACCTTGCTGTTCCCTGCCCCCTCCTCCCCCCGCCCATTCATGCAAGCAGGAGTGCCTCAGGGGCGAGGGCGCCTCTCCATCACAGACAGCTCAGAGGACGATAGAGGCATGGCGCGCGCTGCTGCTGCTTCCCAGCAGCAAATGAGACTCCAACAGCAGCAGCAACAGCAGCAGTTTCAGCAGCAGCAGCAAAGACAGGCTAGACAGCAGCAGCAGCAGCAGCAGGGGGGGGAGCAAGGGCTAGGGGGTAACCAGCAGAGCAGGAGACCACCCGCAGGGTCGGGAGCAGGGGGAGGGGCAGGTGGAGGTTCGGGTGCTTCCGATAGGGGAGCAGGAGGTGGAGGTTCGGCTGCTGGAGGGTCGGCGGCAGGTTCGGCAGGAGGTTCGGGGCAGGAGGTAGAGCTGCTGCATCAGGTCACGTGGTCTCCCGAGCTTGGGCAGGGTCGGCGGTCCCCCATGGCTAGCTCTCTGGCTCGGGCGGGGTCTATGGGTGCTGCTATCAAGGGAAAGCCCACAGTTCTGGAAGAAACGGATGGTGAGCAGTGCTGAGTGGTGCAGGGTGGTGATGAATGGTGCACGTGTTTGGTAGGTAATGGTGGATGCTGGTTGAGGGGTTGTGTGATGGTGTGAGAGTGATGGATGGCTGTATACATAGATGGGCGGACGGACATATAAGTGCTTAGCTCTGTGCGCTTTTAAAGCTTCAAAATACGACATGCCTTTACCTAATGTCCCCCTTGTCTTGTCTCATGCACCCGTCCGTGTGTTCCCCTTTTCTAGCAGAGGAATGGGAAACGTCTGATGACGAAACGGGCACCAGACCCCCTTCATCAGCTGCTGCTGCTGCTGCTGCTGCTGCTGCATCAGCATCAGCACCAGGTGCAGCAGCAGCATCTGGAATTCCAGTTTCCCAATCCCCCGGTGTTGTGCCTAGTGCTGCTGGAGGGGGGGGACAGGGGGCAGGCGCAGGAGCAGGGGGAGGAGGGGGAGGGGGAACAGGGGGAGGTGGGGGTGGTGGTCGGGGGGGCGGTAGAGGAGGAGCCGAGGGTTACCACCAACAGCAGCAACAACAGCAGCAGCAGAAGCATGGAATGGTGCCTCGGAGGGCGGGTGGAACGCCGAACCAGAACCAGGAGGTTCGGCGAGGGGGGGGAGGAGGGGCAGGGGGTGTTGGCGGCGGTAGTGCGGAGGGTGGGGGCAGGGGGGAAGCAGGTAGCAACAGCAGAAGACCAGGGAGTTCTGATAGGGTGGGAGGGGAAGCTGGGGTGGTGGGAGCAGGAGTGAGTGGTGTGGGTGCTGTTGGTAAGGGAGGAGCAGAGGGACGGGAGGGCCGGGAGGGGAGGGAGAGGAGGGAAGAGCGAGGAGAAGGAGTCGGGGGGAGGCAGGAGGGGGAGGGGAAGGAGAGGCGGAGGTCTTTGGAGGGGCGGGGGAGTGGCACGGGGGGGGAGAGGGCAGGGGAGAGATCCGCGGAGAGGGGGGATCCGAGGGATGGGCGGGGGGGAGAGGGGGCGGGGAGAGGAGGGCCGAAGAGAACTAGCAGCACAGATGCCCAGGGGGGAGTGGGTAACGGCCAGGGCAGTGGTCAGGGCATGCAGGGTTACTCAAGAGGAGGAGGGGGTGAGGCTAGTCAAGATCCGCAGCAGAGAGGTGAGTGATGCACAAAATGCCATGCCATCCTCCCACCATGCCACTCTCCGCCTTGCCCTCTCTGCCCATTCCATCCTCATTCTCGCACGATCGATTCTCTCCCTGTCTCCACGTCCCCCACCATCTGCCCAACCCTTCATCACTCTCACTTCCCGGCCTTGTTTCAGGCGCCCGGGCAACACAATCCGCTGCAGGCATAGCCAGACAGGTGCGTGTTAGAATAGAAGGAACACAGCCTTATGTAGCAGGCAGGCATGTTGTTTCAGTCAGCTGGGCACTGCCCCCGTGGCTTGTCCTTGCACAGTCCTTCTGCAGGCATAGCCAGACAGGTGCGTGTTAGAATAGAAGGAACACAGCCTTGCGCAACAGGCAGGCTGTGTCATTGTCAGTTTTTGCACTGTCCCCGTGGCTTGTCCTTGCCCAGTCCTTCATGTAAGGCTTTTGAGACTCCCATAGGGACGCCTCAAAACTCACAACTTAAGACATCTCAAAGCAAGCCTTGAACGGCAGTCTGGCTGTGCCAGTTGTTGCGAGAGGGGGTCTTATTCTTTGTTTTCCTCTCTCCCTTCACCACCCAGGGTTCCTGGGCCAAACCAGCAGAGGACACAAAGCAGCAGCAGCAGGGAAGGGGCGCTGCTGCAGCAGCAGCTGCTAGTGCTGGTGGTGGTTCGGGCGCTGGTCCTCCTGCTGGGGCCGGTGTGGCTGGGGCAGGCGTATCTGGTGTAGGTGGTGCTGGTGGTGCTCGCAAGGCGTCTGGGCTGGCTGATGGGCGGCTTGCAGGAGGGGCGCAAGGGGGAGGCGTAGTGCAAGGGACAGTGCAGGCGGGTGGCTCTGGTGGTTTGCTGGCGGCTGCAGCGGTGGAGAGACAGAAACGGGAAGGGGAGGAGGTGGCGGGTAAAGGAGGGCCAGCTAAGGTGGGTGTGCGGGTGGGAGGTGGATGGAGCGACAGAGAGTAGGAGGGCGAGATGGAACATACTTGTGACTGTTTCTTCTGTTGTTCACCTTGCTGCTCACCTCTCCACTCTCCATTACCGCCGCCCCTTACCCTCCGTGTGTATGAAGATTTGTTTTGAGTCGTGTGTTCTCAAAACAAATCTTCATACACGTTGAGGCCGAGATGGAACATACTTGTGACTGCTTCTTTTGTTGTTCACCTTGCTGCTCACCTCTCCACTCTCCATTACCGCCGCCCCTTACCCTCCATCTCCCCTGCCTCTCACCCCCTGTGTGCTGGCAGGAGCGTGAGCCTCTTGGTCAGGAACCCAAGGATAAAGACGCTGATGCTGAGGTATGGAGGAGTGTGGCTGGTTATAGAGTGGTGTCATGGGGTATGGCTGTGGGTAGGTTCATGTGGAGCAGGGAATATGTGCGAGCATGGGCATAGCTCGGTTAGAGGCAGAGGTATACGTATACCATAACTCGCCCTGTCTCCTAGGTGACTTTTGAGTCGACTCAGAAGTCAATATGTGTGAGCATGGGCGTAGCTTGGTTAGAGGAAGAGGTATACGATAACTCGCCCTGTCTCCTCCCCTCCCTGCCCATTCTTCAGGACGACGAGGTGGCTCGCCTTCGAGAGGCAGCAGCAGCAGCCCAGAGGCGAATAGCGCGGTACGAGGCGGAGTGTGACGGGCCCTCACTCGCCCTGTCTGCCCTTCCCCCTCCCCTTCCCCCTCCCACCCCCTCACCAGGACGACGAGGTGGCTCGCCTTCGAGAGTCAGCAGCAGCAGCCCAGAGGCGAATAGCGCGGTACGAGGTGGAGTGTGACGGGCCCTCACTCGCCCTGTCTGCTCTTCCCCCTCCCCTTCCCCCTCCCCTTCCCCCTCCCCTTCCCCCTCCCACCCCCTCACCAGGACGACGAGGTGATTTGCCTTTGGGAGGCAGCAGCAGCGGCGCAGAGGTGAATAGCACGGTACAAGGCGGAGTGTGAGACCCATCCTCCTGACTCTCCCTCACTCTCTTGCCCTCTCTGTCCCTTACCCTGCAGGACGATGAGGTGACTCGCTTAAGGGAGGCAGCAGCAGCGGCGCAGCGTCGAATAGCGCGGTACGAGGCGGAGTGTGAGACGGTCCTTCACTCGCCCTGACTCTCTTCCCTCTCCCCCCTCTCACCCCACCCACAGGACGATGAGGTGACTCGCCTTCGGGAGGCAGCAGCAGCGGCGCAGCGTCGAATAGCGCGGTACGAGGCGGAGTGTGACGGGCGGCTGGCAAAACTCAAGGCGGAGAGGGAGGCGCTGGTGAGGCGGCGAGAGGTGGAGATCACACGGCTGGCGGAGCAGCTTGGCACGGTGAGTGCTGCGATGCAACGTGCAACTGCCTCCGGTGCTTGCTGAGGTGAGGCATCGGAACCTTCCTGTCTTTTGAGACATCTCAAAAGTGAACGTGCAACTGCCTCCGGTGCTTGCTGAGGTGAGGCATCGGAACCTTCCTGTCTTTTGAGACATCTCAAAAGTCAACGAGCAACTGCCTCCGGTGCTTGCTGCTGAGGTGAGGCAGCAGCATTGAGGTGAGCTGAGGTGATGCATCGGCCCCATCCTGTCCGTCTGTATGCAACATCGAGTCCACTCAAGGTTGGAGTTGGACTCAACCAGCCCAGCCCGTATGACGCCTGTTGAGTGAGAGTCAATCATCGGATCGGCCCTTCCGCTGCCACACCCCCTTGTCTTGCCCCTCCTGACCAGCCTTTTGACGCAGGGGCGCTGACACAAGCGCGCAGCGTGGTAGTGGACCAAGGGAGAGGCAGCAAGATAGCGAGGCAGTGAGGCTTATATGTATCAACCCCCTTGTCTTGCCCCTCTCGACCGGCCTTTTGACGCGGGGGCGCTGACACAAGCGCGCAGCGTGGTAGTGGACCAAGGGAGAGGCAGCAAGATAGCGAGGCAGTGAGGCTTATATGTATCAACCCCCTTGTCTTGCCCCTCTCGACCGGCCTTTTGACGCGGGGGCGCTGACACAAGCGCGCAGCGTGGCAGTGGACCAAGGGAGAGCGCTCAGCAAGAGGGAACGTGATGCAGCCGTGGCAGCAGGCAAGGAGCAGGTGGTGGAGCGGGAGAGGCAGTGAGATAGCGAGGCAGTGAGGCTCATATGTATCAACCCCTTTGTCTTGCCCCTTCCACACAGCCCTTTGACGGGGGGGCACTCACCCAAGCGCGCAGCGTGGCAGTGGACGAGGGGCGAGCGCTCATCACACGGGAGAGAGAGATGCAGCCGTGACAGCAGCCAAGGAGGAGGTGGAGCGGGAGAGACAGCGGGCCATCGCTGTGCTGCAGCGGTGCCTCATATATGAACCCTTCCCCTTCCACTCCCCCTGTTATACCCTCCCAACCAGCCCTTTGATGCGGGGGCACTCACCCAACCCCGCAGTGTAGCAGTGGACGAGGGGCGGGCGCTCATCACGAGAGAACGTGATGCAGCGGTGGCAGCAGCCAAGGAGGTGGAGCGAGAGAGGCAGCGAGGCAGAGAGAGAGCAGTGACTCAGTCCTTTCATTGACCCCTGCCCTTCCACCTCTCCCCTCTCCCCTGTCCCCCCTTCTCAACCAGCCCTTTGACGCGGGGGCACTCACCCAAGCGCGCAGTGTAGCAGTGGACGAGGGGCGAGCGCTCATAACACGGGAGAGAGATGCAGCCGTGGCAGCAGCCAAGGAGGAGGTGGAGCGGGAGAGACAGCGGGTCATCGCTGTGCTGCGAGAGGAAGCTTCCCTGAAGGTGGCGTTGGAGCGGCGGCACCTGCAGGTGGATCCTCAGGTGGTGGCGCTGGTGAATCTGGAGGAGGTGGCCCGGCAGCAGGAGTTTCTGAATCGGTGGCGTGCAGCACTGGAGCAGGAGAATGTGAGTGCGGTGGGGGGATGGAAGGTGGGAGGTGACGGAATGGGGATTGGGAGGTGGAGAATGAATGGGGGAGTTGGGAGTGGAAGGTGGAAATCAAAGGTGGGACTGTGAGGTACCTCACAAGCATGCAGGTGGGTGGGTCGAGGTGGAGCGAGTGTGATGGGGGCACCATGCAGGTGGGTCGAGGTGGAGCGAGTGTGATGGGGGCACCATGCAGGTGGGTCGAGGTGGAGCGAGTGTGATGGGGGCACCATGCAGGTGGGTCGAGGTGGAGCGAGTGTGATGGGGGCACCATGCAGGTGGGTCGAGGTGGAGCGAGTGTGATGGGGGCACCATGCAGGTGGGTCGAGGTGGAGCGAGTGTGATGGGGGCACCATGCAGGTGGGTCGAGGTGGAGCGAGTGTGATGGGGGCACCATGCAGGTGGGTCGAGGTGGAGCGAGTGTGATGGGGGCACCATGCAGGTGGGTCGAGCAAGCCATAAACTCTTCCCCTCTCCCCCTTTCTCCTCTCTCTTCCCCCCCCCAGCCACAAGTCCTAGCGCGATGGAAGGCGGCAGCAACGGAGGAAGAGCAGCGAATGCTGGAGCTGGCACGGAGAGAAGCAGCAGCGCGGGTGGAGCGAATAGTAGAGCAGGAGGAGCGGCGGGAGCGAGAATCAGCCCTCAAGGGCATCCGAGAGCGGGTTCGGGCAAAGCTAGGGGAAGAGGAGAGGCGGATCGTTGCCCAGGAACGGGCAGAAATGGCTTCCCGTGTTGCCGAAGCTGTCGCGGAGGAGCGGGAACGGCTCGTGGAGGCTCGGCGGAAGGAGGTGTTGGATCGGGCGGAGAGGGAGGCTGGGGAGGAGGCGGAGAAGAGGAGACAGGCGAGGTTGCTGGAGGCTTGGAGGAGGGTAGAGGCTGAGGTGGAGGGGGTGCAGGAGGAGGGGTGGGAGAGTGTGGTGGGGAGGGCGAGGGGAGTTGCAGAGGAGGCAGGGATTTCAATGGATGGAGAAAAGGGGAAATTGCTAGAGATTGTGCGGTGGTCGCTGGAGGAGGAGAGGAAAGAGTTGAGTGAACAGAGGGTGGCTGAGGTGGTGGAAGCGTTAAAGGAGGAAGAGAGGGAGGTTGTAGCGCGGATGAAGAAGGAGAAGGGGGTGAATGGAGAGGTGGTGGGTGCTGATGGGGTTGGCGGTGCTGTGAGCGCTGCTCTGAAGGCCCGGGCAGAGGAGGAAGCTGCTGGGAAGCTGGAGAGGTTGAGGAAGGAAGCGGAGGAGAGAGTGAGGGAGCAGGTGAGAGGAGAGGAGGCTGCGTTGCTGGCCAGAAGGAGAGGGGAGATGGAGCAGAGGGCTGAAGCGTTGGGCAGAGGCGGGAAGGGTGCGGTGATTCAGCTGGAGAAGGATTTCCTGGAAGGGGAGTTAGGGGAGAAGATCGCACTTATGAGGAAAGAAGCGGAGGAGAGGGAGGTGCGGGAAAGGGAGAGGCTTAAAGCGAGTATAGAGAGGCGGCTGGAGGAGGTTGTGGAGGGGGAGGAGAGGGCGATGGAAGGGGTGGTGGAGGAGAGGAAGAAGGAGATGAGGGAGAGGGCCAGGCGGGCTGTTCAGGAGGAAGAGAAGAAGCTTCTAGAGGAGATGCGAGCACAGGTTCGGAAGAAGGTGGAGGATAGGTTTGGCGCCGAGGCTGAGAGCTGGGCAGGTTCGGTGAGGGAGGAGTTGATGGAGCAGGCGAAGAGGGAGGTGGAAGAGGAGGTTGAGGAGTGGCGGAGGAAGGAACTGGCTGGTGCTGGGGTGCAGGGGAGTGGGAGGAAGGGTAGGAAGAGGGGAGGGAAGAAGGGGAAGGAGGACGGGGGAGAGGAGGAGGATGAAGATGGGGAGGAGGAGGAAGATGAGGAGTTGGAGGAGGAAAGGGAGATGAGGAGGCAAGAAATGATGGAGGAATTAGAGGAGGAGGTTGAGACAGAGAAGCAGAGGCGGTGGGAGGAGATGGAGGAGGATCTCATCAGCCAATGGGAGGCCAAGAAAGAGGAGCGGCTCGCTGAGCTGGCACGAAAAGTGGACGCTGACGTGGCGGAGGGGTATGAGAAGTTGAGAAGGGAGAAGGAGGAGGAGATTGAGCGGAAGATTTGGGAGCAGAAGGTCGCTGAGGTGGACGGGCAGATTGGAAAATTGCTCGAGGAGGAACGGGCAGTTCGGCTCCAAGCTGCCCGAAAAGTCATGGATGCTTCGTTAAGAAAGCAAATCGCGAGTGAGAGGGAGGAGAGTCTGGGGCAGATGAGGAAGGAATGGGATGAAATGGAACCAGAGCAGCAGGAGGCTTGGGTGGTGCAGCAGAGAGAGGAGAAGGGGCGGAGGATGGAAGAAGAGATGAAGAGGCGGGTAGAGGAGGAAGTAAGGGATTACAGAGAGAGAATGCTGGCGACAGTTGCCGCAGAGGAGAGGGAGGTGCGGTCGAGAGAGAGCAACAAGAGAGACCTGGTGAGGATTGAGAGAGAGTACAAGCGGCAGAGGCAGGAAATGGAGTTGAGGGCCTCACATGCTCTAGAGGCGTTTAGAACGGACCTGAGCGTGAGGCTGGAGCGGGAGAAGCTGAGACTGAGACGGGAAGCGAAGCACGCTCTAGAGAGGTATGAAATTGAGCTGGATATTAAGGTGGAGAAAAAGGTGGAGTCTATGAGGGTGGACCTTCAGATTAGGCTAGAAGCTATGCGGAGGGAGATGGAGGTGACTCTGCGGAAGAAGGTGGAGGAGGAGCGGGTGAGACGGCTGGAGATTCTGAGTCGCGAGTTGAAGGCGGAAGAGAGGGAGATGAGGCGGGGGTGGAGGGAGCTTATGGCGCAGGAGGAAGCCAAGGTGAGAAGGCAGTACGAGCAGAGAAGGAATCTGTTGAGTAATGCGCTAGAGAGTGAGTCGAGTGGTGTGGAGGGGAGAGGGGGCGGTGTGGGGGGAGAGGATGGGAAGCAGCGAGGCGGGAGGGGTGCGAACCGGAACCCGCACCAGCAGGTTGGGTTCGGCGGGTTAGGTTCGGGCGGGGTGCGGGGGATGGGAGGGGGGATGGGTGGGGGCGGAGGGGGGATGTTTGGCGGGATGGGGGGCGGGATGGGGGGAATGGGCGGGATGGGGGGGATGAGGTTGATGGATGGGAGTGGGGGGAGTGGAGGGGGATTCAGGCTTCTAGAGGTGGCTAATGAGAAGGTGGGTGGGGGTGGGGAGGGTATGGGAGGGAGAGGAGGAGCGGGAGGAGCGAGAGGGAGAGTGGGCGGCGGAGGAGGGATGGGAGGGATGGGAGGGGGCGTAGGGGGAATGGGTGGGGGTAATATGGGCGGGTCTTGGCTGGAAGAGCTGAGGAGTGGCGGGGAATCAGATGTGAGTCTGAGTCATGGGTTGAGTGCTAGTAGGGAGTTTAAACCGGGGACAGGGGAGGACAGAGGGAGGAGAGGCAGAGGGAAGGCAGTGAGGCGGAGAGGGGAGGGTGGGGATGGGGAGGAGGGAGAGGAGGAGGAGGAGGAGGAAGAGGGAGAAGGTGAGGAGGAGGAAGAGGAGGAGGGGGAGGGGTTGGATCTGGGACAGGGGCGAGGGGGGCTAGGAGGGATGGTGGAGGAGGGAGGGTCCATGTCTGAAGAGCCTGAGCAGCTGGAGGGGCAACACAACCGGCAGCAGCAGCAGCAGCAGCGTCATCAAGAGAAAGCCAACACAGCAGGAGCGGCAGCAGCAGGCGGGGCAGCAGTAGGAGTGGCAGGGGCAGAGGCAGGGGCAGGGGCAGCGGCGGCGGTGGCAGCGGGTGGTGAAGTGGCTGCGAGTGCCGCGAGTGGGCTTGGGAGTGCCGAGCCCGATCGATCCGACGAGGCTGATACCAAGAAGGACGTGGACTCGCTCCCCCCTGAGGCCACAGGGGGAGCGGGTGCCACATGGGGCGCAGGGGGGGAGCGGGGAGAGCGGGGGGAGAGGGGGGAGCGGGGAGAGGTAGGGGCGGATGGGGCTGGCGGGCTGGATGGTGGGGGAAGAGACGGAGGGGGAGGGGGAAAGGCGGGGGGAGAAGCAGCAGGGGGCGGCACAGCAGCGGGAGGGGCGGAGGGGCAGGGAACAGCAGTAGCAGTGGCCTTGGGGCCGCATCCATTGGGATCTCCTGACGATTCGGGAAGCAACTTCGGGGAAAGTTCCTCAGAGCTCCCGAGGTTGACGCTGGGGGGGGCGGGCGGGGAGGGGGAGGCGGCGGGGCTGGCGGGGGACTGGATGGGGCGGGGATGGGCGAAGCCGGGGCAGAGGCGGTCGCGGAATCGCAACAGCGGGAAGGCGGCACGGCAGCCGAATGATGTCGCGGATTATTACTCCGAGTGGAGCGAGTCGGGCTCTGACCTGGTGAGCTCTTCAGCTCCTCTCGACCGTTATCCACTCCACTCACCTCCTCTCAACGCCTTGCAACGCCCTCTAAACCCCTCTCTACCCCTCTCGACGTTGGACCTGTGTCTGTGTACCCTGCAGGAGCTAGCGGACAGGGAGTTCAGGGCAGGGGGCGGCAGGAAGGGCATGGACAACGGGGACGAGCTCTTTGACGAGGAAGGCGTACCCTTCAGGTGGGTTGACAGGTGCCCTTTAGGTGGGTTGTCAGGTGCCCTTTAGGTGGGTTGTCAGGTGCCCTTTAGGTGGGTTGTCAGGTTCTGTTCAGGTGAGTCGTCATGAGCCTTTCAGGTGATTTGATGACCCTCAAATGAGTTTATGTGTGCCCTTCTGATGAGGCGTTGGATTTCACGGTGCTACGAAATAGAGCATTGGCCTGGAGTGGAGTTGAGACTCATGCCAATTTCCTCCCCCGTTGTATCACCCTTCGCACTTTCGAGACGTCTCAAAAGATTTCACGGTGCTACAAGAGAGAGCAGCAGTTTAAAGTGGAGATTTTGAGAATTCTCAAAAACTCCGAGAATTCTCAAAAACTCCCTGAAAGATTTCACAGTGGTGCTACAAGAGAGAGCAGCAGTTTAAAGTGGAGACTCATTCCACCTCTACTGTATCACACATCTCACGCAATTCCTCCCCCCGCCCTCCCCCACCGGTGAGCGCGCGTCCATGGTGGAGCAAGCGAAGTCATTTGCAGCGGAGCAGCAGAAGTATCTCAAGGAGCGCCAGCCAGGCTGTCATTGAAGCTGTTCCACACTGCCCTTCTTGTATCCCAACTCCAAGGCACGACCGGCTGATTATCCCCCTACTGCCTGCCCTGTTCTCGCCCTGTGGTGTGCTGTGCCCTACCAGTGAGCGGGCATCCATGGTGGAGCAAGCAAAGCTGTTTGCAGCGGAGCAACAGAAGTATCTCAAGGAGCGCCAGGCTGTCATCGAGGCCGCCCGGCAGGACTGGCAGCGCCAGATGGCTGCCGCCCAGGAGGTCTCAGATGAGGACGACAGACGCCGCCGCATCCAGCACCTGACGGATCTTAAAGCCACGTTAGACCAGCATGTTAGGGAGCTTAATGATGATGCCAGGCATGTCAGTCAACTCAAGAAGAATCTGCTGAGTTTTTCCAGAAATGGGGCGAATAGTGGCGCAGGGAGTGGGCCTGGTGCGGGGAGTGGTGGTGGGAGTGGGGATTTTGGGAGGGGTGGGAGGGGAGGGAGAGGGGAAGGAGGGAGGAGGGACGGGGGAGTGGGAGGGAGGGGAGGGGCGGGGGGAAGAGGGGAGGGGGGAGTGGGGATTCCGCCAGGTGGCGGCGTGCGATTGGATCAGAATGGGCCGCTGTTGAATTTCCCGCCGGATGCGATTATGTCCCGAGCCTCGTCGTTTGCTTCGGCGAGCATGGGTCGGGAGAGCTTCGATATTGATGAGATGATGGGCGGGCTAGGGCTGGAAGGGCCCTGGTCCAGACCAAGTCCCCGAAGCAGCCTCGGAGGCACGGGGGACATGATGGGAGGAGGTTCGGGTGGAGCAGGAGTGGGGGCAGGTGCGAGAGGAGGGGGGATGGGGGGAGGAGCAGGGGGGGGAAGTGGAGGCATGGGGATGGGAATGGGGATGGGTATGAGGGGCGGCAGTGGTGGTGCCAGCAGTGGTATGGGGGGGAGGGGATTCGGTGGGGGGGTGGGAGGGGGAATGGGTGGTGGGGGGATGGGTCGAGGAGGCGGGATGGGGGGAGGCGGGATGGGAGGGGGAGGGCTTGGAGGCCGGGACTCGTGGTTTGATGAGGTGTATGGTTCGAGCTCTGCTGTTACATCCCCCACTCTCTCCCCGCCCGGCATTGCTGGCAGAAATATTTTCCAAGGGGAGTTTGATCTGGGGGAGGGGAGTGGCGGAGGGGGGAGCGGCGGGGGGAGGATGGGGGGAGGAGGAATGGGAATGGGGGGAGGCGGAGGGTTGGGAGGAGGTGGTGGGAGGAGGGGAGGGGGGATGGAGGAGGGAGGGGCGAGGAGGGGCGGGGCCGGGGGAGGAGGGGGAGGGGGAGGGGGGATGGAGGTGGAGGGTAGTGGAGCGGAGTTCAAGTTTGGTAATCTGCTGCCTGGAGCTCAAGCCCTGCCCGATCCCCTGTGAGCTTCTTGCATTGCCCCTGTGAGCTTCTTGCATTCGTATAGTTCCCCTTGCAATCGTACTACCGTATAGTTCCGGCTAAAAGACCCGCCGGTAAGAAGGTCCCCCGGGACTCTTGAATGGGTAGGGGGACTCTTATTGTGGCAGATTTTGTGAGGACCCCCCCTTTGCCTCTAATCATCATAAGACCCCCCCTTTTCTGTATACAATAGTTATTATTGCTATTGTGCATCAGTTTTTACTGGCACAAGTTCGAATTCTAACACGTTTTTTGTGTCAGACTCGAATTCTGACACAGATCTGACGTGCCGCTCGCGCAAAATTTGCGCGAATTCGGTACGAATATAAGACCCCCCCGCCCCAAATTGAGCTGTACACTCTAAATAACAGATTGATTGATGATAAATAAGTGTACCCCGGGTCTTAAAAATTTGCAACCACCAAGATGTCCACCCTAGCATTTTTTGAAGCATTTGTAGAGAGTCCCCCGGGTCTTCTAGCCGGAACTATACGGTACTTTTGTGGAATGGCTTTTGAGGCGCCTCAACAATCGTACTATTTTTGTGGAATGGCATTTACTGATGTTGTATCATTACACCCACTCTTTTCCCTTCTCCCCTCTCCACCCCTTTCCACCGCTCTCTACTACTGCAGGCGCAGGAATAGGGAAGCGGCTCGAGCAGCAGGCAGTGGCAGCGGCGGCGGCGGTGGTGGTGGGGGTGGCGGGGCAGGTGGCAGCTTGTTTTCTCTTGACGACTCTCCCACAGGCCGTGACATGGACGCGCGGGGTGATATGAGGGCTGACGGAAGGGTGGAGGGGAGGATGGGCCGGGATATGGAGGGGAGGGAAGGGCGTGAGGTGGAGGGTCGAGGAGGGAGGGAGGCGGGAGGGAGAGCAACGGCGGCGGCGCATCGGTTGTCAAAGCTGCAAGATGAATCGGGTGTTGGGAGTGGCAGCGGCAGGGAGCAGGTGAGATATTTTGTGGGCGGGTGGGCAGGTGAGCAGGTGAGATATTTTGTGGGCGGGTGGGCAGGTGAGCAGGTGAGATATTTTGTGGGCGGGTGGGCAGGTGAGCAGATGAGCGGTTGAGCAGGCGAGGGTAGGGAGTGGCAGCTGCAGAGAGCAGGTGAGTGAAACATTGATTTTTTTTGTCGTGTGTGTGTGCATGTGGGGGTGGGCGGGGGTGTGTGTGCATGCATGCTCTGGTGGGGTTGGAAAGGTTGGGGTGTATGTGTGCTGCCGTTTGTGTGTGGGCCTGCTGCTGTGTTTCTTGTAGGCAGGTGGGGTGGGGAAGCTCAGGGCTGGTGATGGGTTCAAAATCCAATTACCGATATTCCCCCACCCGCCCCCATTGCTTCAGGTGTCTCGGCAAAGAGGAGCACACAGTGGATCGGCTCAGCAGCAGCAGCAGGGCCGCCGCTCCTCAATGGACGTCTGACCTCTCACATCAAACGCCTCAAATGAACTAACACCGATGCTCAATGATTTCTAGAGAGCTCTTTGAAATGCCGCTGTTTGCTGCAACACAATTATTTGTTCATTTACCTTTGCATTGCTTGGCAAAGCAGCCGGCAATGGCTTCTAATTATGGATGTAAGTGCCCTCTCACTCACTGTTTCCAGTATGTGAAATAAGTGTTTTATTCTGTTTAATTCCGTAAGCATAAGTGTAGTGCGAACTTTCTGATATAATCAATCTAGCGTCGGAACTATGAATAGCTGGACATTTCGAAACTATACACGAGCCAATCAAGCACTGCGTTCAGGCGCTGCGAAAAAAGGGACTGTCACCACCGGCTTTCGCGGGCTTTCGAGAAACGGCACGAGTGTCTCGTCGTCGGCTTCGCATGTCGCAAGGGGAAGTGCCCATCAATCACGCGCAGCCAATGGTACATTCTGCTCGCATGTGCGCTGCGCATTTCACAAATCGGCGACTCGAATTTTCTCTCAACTCCCGCGCACCGCCTGGTCACACATCAAATTTTTGAATCTGCCAGACGATGAGTCGACGTCACACGCACTGCCTCTCCCCTACCCGCATGGAGTTATCTGTTCTCTTCAAATAACCTGCTTCACAAAATTACCAACATTAGCGCTTTACCGTATCTCAATCCACGCGAAGCCTCTTGCACACAATTCTTCATATCAGGCCTTCACGATTCTTTGAATCCAGAGTTTTTTTAATCGATCAAGCCATTACGCATTTGCGACTATGGCAACCACGCCTCTCTCCCCGTCGGCCTTTCTTGGCGTGCAGCTTAGCTCGCGACTTCCCGCAGCGTGTGACTCGACGGGGGACATATCTCTGTCAGGCAGCGGTGCTGCTCGGCCCGCCAGCACGACCACGATGGCGGTAATGGGCCCCTCGTGGCCGCATTCCGATTCGTCATTCGACTCGTCGCAACACTGGCTGGCGAATCCTAGCGATTCGCAAAACGTACCCCCGGCGACGCCCGATTTTCATCGCCCTCATCGCTCGCTCGCCTCCCCGCCAAACGCGGCCAGCGCTCCTGCTGAGACAGACGTGGCTGGTTCCCTTCGGGCGAACCGGCTTTTGAGGATTCCGCCAGTCGCGCCGCAACGCACGCTTCCCGGTCTAACCCTCACTCCTAAGAAGGCGAATAAGAAAGCCCTGGTTCACCGCGGACCGGATGGGTCGGTCCCAGTGCAGATTAACGCGGGAAAGGCGCCGGTTTTCACGGCGGAGAAGGCGCGGAAGCTCCGGGAGATGCTGAAGGAATCGGAGACGCATCACGACACGATGTACCACTCGGGCATCGCATCCCGACTCGCGCAATAGTCTTTACTTGCGCTATTTTCCCGACTGGATCGCTGAGGATGCTTGCACTGTGACTACCGTACCGGGATATGCAAGCAATTCGACGTTCTCTCCCTACGGCTTCATTTTTCTTGAAGTCTGAATTCCGTCCGGCCTGCGCTGTGGTTGTCAAAGCCCGGCTTCCAACCTTCCCTTTCGCCCAGACAAAAAGACTCGCGGCATTCACGTGTTTTGAAAATGAGTTGACGGACCTATGCGGTTGACTGTGGTCAGTGCGGTGGTTCAGCCCAGCTCAAACCAACCAGTGGGTGATTTTGCGCCTTGTGCAGCCAAAACAACCCTCAATTTTGCCCTTTGTAAGGTTAATAATATATTGTTGTATTGCGCTACACCATCATACTGGATATACAGCATGTGGTATTCTCCCAACAGACTGGTTGCAGGAAATGTAGACAGAGTGAAACATGTGCTTGTTTATTAAATCTACACCGCAAACTTTGTGCGCTTGGACTGTACCTTTCATGCGAGCCGTTTATTATCGAATACTCCGGAAGCACCCGCAGAAGGCTCGCGCATTCGACATTTCCCAAGAAGGCACGACCCCGCCATGTCAACCCCTCAGCTGCTGCCGCCACAGACATCCCACAACCAACCAACCTCCCTCCTTGCATCCTGTCTTATGCGTTCCTCATTCCGTCACATCCATCCGTCCATTTCTCCCATGGTTGAGTGCCAACTCCCCTCGACACGCCACGCCAATTGGTAGAAAAAAAACCGACAGGGCAGACGGAACGGAAACCATTCTGCTGAGCTGAGTGGGTGTTGGGAAGCTTACACAAGCAGCTAGTGTCGGCTAACTCGCAGCAGCTAGTGTCTTAGGTTGGTGCGAGCCTCGACCGACGCTAGCGTGGCGGCTAACACGACGCCGTCGTGACTACTTGCGCTGTACTCAGTGGAATCCACGACGATTCGGTGAGGCGGAGATTTACCGACCCTCCTTGTAGTACTCCGCACCGAGCTCGTTTCACTCTTCTACAGCATGGCGGCGTTTGCGCAAGACGCGGCGGCGTCAGTCGCGGCGGCGGGTGTGGCCCCATCTACCGGGTCAGAATCTCTCTCTCGCTCCATAGTCTAGCCGAAACACGCGCGCCGACTTGACGCATGTACATGCACGCGTCTGCTGTCACACACCGACGTGACGCCGCCGTCTCCTCGTTTTCCCCTGTTCCCGGTTTTCCTGATTCCCCGTTCTCCGTTTCTCCGTTTCTCCGCTTCCCCCTTTGCGCATGTGTTTCACGATCGCAGGGCAGAGGCCATTCAACCCGCGCGTCGGTTCTCCAAGGCGCCTGACTACTCGCTCATCACGCCCATCCTCTACGCGCCGCTCTTCCCACTAAGTACTTTCTTGCCACCCGTCCTCCTTTTTTCTCGAGCTTGACCCGAACACTGCGAACAGCCCGAACATCCCGCACAGCCCGCACCCACCTAGTTCATGTTCTCCCGAAGTCTCTGCATCCACCCGCGCCATACACCAAGTCGCAAGTTCCGTCAGCAAGAAATCTTTCTTATTTGCTACCCGCGCTCCGTCTCTCATGCGCCGCCCTCCCGCTCTTGCCTCCCCACTGACTCCCCCTGCCTTTCCCCTCGGCTCTGTTTCTCCCTCCTCCCTCCGGCAGTACGCATCACGCTGCGCCACAAGCCCAAGCTGAGGGACCGTCTCTTCGTGACTGCTGTGGCCAGCGCGTTCCTGCACGGCGCATACATGAAGTAAGTGGCAGTGCAATGGTGTTGGGTGCACTGTGATTGGTTCGCGGTGCAGTGTGGTTGTCAGGGTTCGGTGCAGTGGTGTTGGGTATGGTGCGATAGTGTTGGGTACGGTGTGAAGGTGATGGATATGGTGCAATGGTCTTGGGTGCGGTGCGACGGTGTTGGGTGTTGGTTGTTGCTGTGCAATGGCTGTGGCCATTGTTGAGTGCTGTAGTGAAGAATTGCTGATGCTGCATACATTGGATTTGTGGTGGTGAGTTCAATTCACGGTAACACCTGATGATGTGTCCATTCTCCCTGCGCCTTTTCACATGTCCCCTCTCCCTTCAGCTACCGATTCTATAATGCAGAGAGTTACCAGCAATCACAAAGAACCTGAGGATGGACGCAACACAAGTACTGGAATGCACACATCTGGCCGTTCGGTCTACTGTATTTATGCAACGGAGGGCTCTATAGCTCCTGCACATACCATCGTCAATCATTCATTACCATTACCCTGTGCGTTTGGAGCTTGGGAAAGATGAAATGCAGCCCTTAGCTGATGGCCTCAAATTATCCCTCCATCTGCCCAACAAACTTGTTGCTATTGTGTTTCTATACATCGAATTATTGCATATCATACAAGAATTACATGCTTTAAGTGCCCTTACCTAGAGGAGAGGAACTGTAAAGCTTATAATTAGCAAAAAAAACGTATTTCTACTACTCACTGTACAAACCTTCAGCAAATTCACCAGCGAGTTGAATGGCTCCCGTTGTAGAAACTAGCGACAGGTGAGTCCTTTGAATCGAAACAGCTGCCCATGTTGCACATACTGCTGCAGCGGCTCCAGTTCCTGCAGTTGTCGAAACTGCTCCCGCTACAGTCACTCCGCATCTCCCCCTCCATCTCGCCCACAAAATTCCACCACCCATCGACATCCCCCACCGCGCTCCTCGTGGATAAAAGTCTCCCCGTTTCCGCTGACCGATGTTCCCTAGCGCTTCTAGCACCTCCTGCTTCTCGCGCCTCCGGAAACCCAAACGACAAACGTTCACGCCGCGTCCCCCGCTCAGCGATTTCCACAGGCTCAGCGGCAACAGCATACCTCTCTTCGATAGCCCTCCCTCTCCACGATTCCTCAACTTGCTGCGCTCGCGCGGTAGCTTGTCCAAGCGGCTCAACTACACTACTAAGATCGCCGTCCGCGTTCTCCGCCGATCTTGCCGCCGGCAATCCTCGCAATACAGCATTCTGCTGATCAGGTGCTTGCGGTAAATGCTGCGCGCCGAAAATCTCCTCTGCGATGGACAGAATCTCCATAGAGGGAGAGAGCTTTAAGGCGGAGTTACGGCGCTTGACGCGTCGTGGGGGCCTGCTGACGTGAAAGTTGACGTTGACGTCCGCCGCCAGAGCGTGGAGTTCTTGTAACGCAACGACGCCGCAAATATCTTTTGAGTCGACTCGAAAATTGTCGTTGACGTCCGCTGCCAGAGCGTGCAGTTCTCTCATCGCAGCGACGCCGCCAGTGTCGGAAGCCATGTCTCGCAAGAAACTCACGAATGTTTCTTCAAAAACTTCGCTCAGTGATCGTCAACTGTTGAGGCGCCTCAAAAAGCGAAAAACTCACGTCAGTGATCGTCGTGTTCGGTTCTTGAAGTGATCCTACAAGGGCCTGGAATCGGAGAATGTGAAGAGTATATGCGAAGCTCGGTTTTAGTCAGTGGGAGCTTGTCTGTTCGAAAGATAATCCTTGTACGGACACGCTGCTTCGGGACCGTAGGAAGCGCGGAGATCCGGATGAAAAGAGTTTTCGCGTTTTCGCAGCAGAACCCGCGATGTACAGTCGTACTGTAAAAGTCGACCAGCGATCAGCTGCGCAACAAGCGGTGATTCGCTGAAATTCCCCTTTCTCGCTGCGACCACGACAGCCAGGATGCGGTGTTGTCGCCAAGAACGGAACGTACGGGCACGCAACAAGGGAGGCGCGTGCGAGTGTTGGACCAGCACGGCGCTAATACCGTACTTGCGTTGCTGCTGCGACTTGTGAAGGGGAGAGACTGATGCCGCTTCAAACGGAGGCGCGTGCGAGCGTTGATCAAGCGCGGCGCTATTAGACCGTACTTGCAGCGGGCCTGCCGCGACTTGTGAAGGGACTGGACTGATGCTTTCGGCTAGAGGGCGGTGGACTGGTGGATTTACGCACTTCGTCTCCAACGGCAGTCGCAGGTCTGCGAGTACGTACGTGTATTACCTAACAGGGGAGGTGCTGCGCTGGCCGCGTAATGGCGTGCTGCACTTCACTGTTATTTTGTGCGCCTGCCAATGCACACACGGACGAGGCTGCGGTACTGTATTGAAGCGCTGATGTTACCAACTGCAGCGTCACAGTATCGTGAAACATTTGTTGTATTCGCGAGAGACGCATCGAAGCAAGCTGTAGATGGAGGTTCGCTTCGCTGTTTGTGGTTGATTGAACGGAGTGATCATCGCTTGATCGAACCGTCACCGAGTCGCCACGCCAACGATTGGAGGATGCTTGGAGATCCGGGACGAGAAACAGCCGCGTTTGAGGCGAAATCCCGTCCCAAGCAAAGAAAGTTCGCGAGCGGAAGTGACGGATAAAGTCCCAACCAACCATCGAGGTCTGAGTGGCTTCAAAAGGACCTAAGAGCCAGCCTCTTTCTCTCCAGTGCTAGAGCTCCTTTAGTCCTGGCGGGGTCGATGCCATTTCTCTTGTGCTGCTGCCACTGCTGCCGCACCTGCCGATGCTGTATGTGGCCTGGTTTCAGATCACAGTACAGTAAGGAGATATTGTAGTCCAGCCAGGATTCTATGCGCTCATTCACCGAGAGTCTAGAACTGGCTGACCCTCAAGCCTAGAACTGGCTGACCCTCAAGCGAGGTGTAGTTGAGTGAGTGACGGAGCAGCTTGTGCGCAGGGTGTCGTTTTCTTGCGCGCAGCGCGGAAGCGACCACATATTTGTACGTGAAGTGTATCGTCCTTCATGATGACATAAAAAGCGGAATTGGTGCTGCAGTATATGGAGAGCAATTTGGCGAAGAGACGGGGAGGGAAGAGTTGTTGGGAGGGACAAAAATGCATCGCACACATTGTCACCACAGAAATAAAACTCACGCAAAAAATATACACCGAGTGAGATTCGACTTCCGTCGGCGAAGGTCCGTTATGAAAGGTTCATTCTGGTGCGCAGTGGTTGAAAACGGTGAGCTTCGAATACCGGATGGAAAGCCTGGATGGTCAGACTTCACATGATGCAGACTCCTCCCTAGGACAACCTGCGATATCGGATGTTCAAAACCGCTAATGGCCAGGCCATTCATCAAACTGCTGCACTTCAAGAACCAGTTGAGTTGCATTCATGTTTCCGCCAATCAGGAGCAAAATCCAACACAATTTGCGGTGCGTCTCCACCGATCCGCAGATAAATCATTGACCCGTCCCCACAAACCAAGGAATGGTCAAACACCGTTATGCATAACCCCGATGATAAGTTGCGGATACTTAGTCATGGGGTCATCAATATATCTGGAAGACATGTTGGTGGGTATCTCCATAAACTACTGAAATCATCCCTTTTCTGGTGATATAACTGCTATTCAATCCTACATTGAAGCATCTGAGGATGAATTATATCTCATTGGTATCACATATTCATTAGGACATAGCTCAAAGTTTGTATACATATTATTATACTATTAATCAAACAGTCCATCCTAAGGTGACTCTTACTCTCCCATTTCATATCCCTAAGGGCGTGATACATTTCCTCCGGGCAGACCCTCAGATTAGAGAATGTATCACGCCCTAAGTGATGCACCTCAAATGGGCTTGTGCCAAAGTTCAAGCAGGAAATCTCAATGGTATCCCGGTTTGTGCATCGAACAAGCGGTTCAAACACTGAACCCGCTCTGAAGCGGGTATGAGCAGAAGAGCCACTTCCAAGTCCACGCCCGTCAAAGGAACTAGCGGGCAAGAAACTGCTGCCATCGAGACTTGTTATGGGGCTGCTGAAGCAGGAATTGGGGAGGCTGCCACAATCACTCCGGCTACAGTCACTCAGCATCTCGCTCTCCATCTCACCAACGAAATCCCACCATCCATCCACGTTGTTTATGGCGCTCCTATCAATGGTGGATTCGGCTTCCACTCTCGCCCCCATCTCCGCTTGTTGTACCCTAAACCCGTCAGCCCCAGATGCTATTTGACTGCGTGAATCCTCTAATACCAAAGCAGGATTCATGAGTTCCTCGGCCCTTCTTTCCGAAAGCCCTCCTCTTCGTGCACGCATACCTTCCGTTCCATGGCCACGGTGCCCAAGCACTTCCAGATCGCGTACTCCCTCCGCCGTGCTTCCAGCAGGTCTTGCGAAAGTAGTTACATTCCGCTGGGAATTTTCATCAGACGAATTCGCATGAATCTGCCGACCAAACAGCTGTTCAGCGATAGCGAGAATCTCCGTTGAGGTGGAACTGCGACGCTGACTGGGGAAAACGGCACCGCGTTGTGGGGCGCTCGAAGGTGCGAGGTAGGAATCCCCGTTTTGGTTCATTCTCCGGCCGCTAAGAGCAGTGGAATGTGGTGACATCTCGCCGTTCGTCGTAGCAGCTCGGCGCCGCGCAGAACGAGACGCGACGCTTCCAGGTTGCACGTTGTCGACAGAAGTCGAGGTTGGAATAGGTAGAACCGACGACGGCCGCAGAGGCACACTCGTCGCAGAGCGACGAACGCGGCGCTGATGGCGGGGCGTGATCAGATTCATAGTGACGTCAGCATCGACACGGGCCGGAACACCATGTGCGACGGCGGAGGCCGCAGGCGAAGAAGGTCCGTCCACTAGTGCAGTATTCATCGCAGAGTAGCACTGGTGGCGATGACGGTAGTCGTCTCGAAAGGGAAAGTAAATCGGGTGTTCGTGTTAGAAAAAGAACGGCGCAATCCGTCTAGATGCCGTGTGAGGAAGAATCCTTGCCGTGTGACGACTGCAAGGTGAGGGCGGAAGCGATGCTAGCTGGTGGATCCGGAAGAAGTAGGCCTTCGGAAGCAACCAATGAGGGGCTGTGGCTGTTTCGACGGACTCCGAATGCCACAGGTCTTGAAGAGCTCCTTGCACGACGGAGAAGCTAGGTCTCAACGGCGCTTCAGACTCGAAGCACGAGGAAGCGATTGAGAAGCTGCGTTTCTGATGCTAGCAAAGTCGCAAAGAGGCGCCTGTCTGAGCTGAAGTGGGGCTCCTTTTCTGGAGAAAGGGTGGGCGGATGTGGGCGTGCGTGTGCTCGTGGGGATGGAGCAAAGAGATTCAGATCTTAGCGGACTATGGACAGGCGATTGATTGAGATTACGTTGTAAGTATGGAGAGAGCGAATACGGAGCATATTTACGTTCAGTAGGAGGCGTCGGGGTACTGGACGTCTGAAAGGTCGCAGGAAGGATCGTATCTCGTCGACTCAGCGTTCCCTCATCTTGGTAAATACGCTGCCACGTGGCATCCATATTGCTGCAGCTTCTCGGCGCCGCTTTTTCAGGGAAAGCCGAATCACGAGTTACGCGATTCGGGTGCTGCCATCTAACCTAGAGGCGTCAGTTTCTTGCGGGCCCTCGCTTTTTGGTTCAGCTTGTGGTGCAAGTAGCCTGGGGGTTCACGTGGCATAAATTAATGACAAGAAGAGGCTGATAGGGTGATCTGATGTCCATTGATCCGTGTTTCTGCCCCATGTGAGGTGATCATGGGAGAAAGCACGCGCCACATACTGCGAGAGCAGTGCTGCAGTGCTGTCGCTGTTAGGAACGAGTATCACATGGGCCGGCGAACTTGGGAACCACGTGGAACTGGACGCAACAGGGGCTTTGCCTCGGGCCCGCGAAAGGTAACAAAAAGGCGATTGTCCGTGTGCAAAGAGGAGCAGAACGGGAAAGGCAAGCCCTAGCACGCGCTCCGTAAGTTGCGGCGGGATCATGGCGCCAGTTCCACGCTCAACAGTTAGGGGAAGTGGATGGAAGACTAGTGTGAAGAAGGGGTGCAAGGGTATGGAGGTTTTCCAGTCCTATGCGAGATTATCCTGGTGGATTTCTGAAAATGTGTGAACCCTGGAGTCGTCTAACCTAAATAAACTGTTAACGCTAAAATATTCAGCTCTACTGAAATGGGGGTGGTTTTTCAATTACTTTCATTGTTCCCAGACTTGCTGAGCCTGCCTGAGAATAAACAAGAAAGGAATATATACAGAATACCCCAAACAGGTATCTTCGCCGAGTGACTTCGACTAACAGGTAAAAAGTGTACAGTGCACCTCCAAACAAATTGACACGAGTGCTGCAGGGATGCTGCTGGCTGAAGAGAACACCCAAACAGCCAAACTAGGGGCAACTTTCAGCCAAACTAGGGGCAATAGGACATTGCCGTAGCCCACTCCCTTGCGGCTCTTTTAACACATTATTCGTCATGACAAACTGAAGGATTGACAGCTGTTGTTTGATTGGTTCGTGTTCGTCGCTACTTCTTAACGGACCAATTGCGTATCGTATCGTGAAGTCAATTGGCCAATCAAAAAACACAATAGGGCGACTCCTTCTTTTAGTGACAAGGCAAGGCACATGATTGGTTGTGTAATAACGAGAGTTAGTCAGCTGGTTATACTTCAACTACACTGCAGCTCCTAAACTCATGTCACACACAGGCCCTCACTCAGGCATTTTTCTGATGTAGCTAGGGATGTTGAATGCACCCAACAGTGAGCAAATCCGTTGTTTCACCAGACTACTCTTCACATTTTATCATATTCCACATTTTTCAAAGCAAAGCATAGACAGAGACATGAGCATTATAATTAATCAGCACTAGAAAGACAAGTGGCACGCAATATATCCTACTCATAATTACACTGCTGGTGGCTAGGACTTTTCTGGATGCTTAGCAGCAAGCACTTGCTTCCTGCTGCGATGCTGCCACAAGGATTCAAAAGGCGTTCACTTCCATGAAGTGAACAGAACAAATAATAGGCCCCAACAAGGGAGCAAGAAAACTCAACCCGCAGCTCCCCTTGCCGGCACCATAAGAGTTGCACGGGAGCAGCTTTGCTCTCTCAATGCACTATTCTTAGCTCGATTTTTACACCAGAAACCCATTACAACGGATGTCGCGCCTCCTTCGCGGCAGGATTTGACGATTGCTCCCAATACTCCACGCCAGCAGCAGCGATCAGCGCAGCCAACGTGAAAGCCTGTGCGTGCAACCTGCGAGAAACAGGGAAACCAAAACGCGGTGGACTTGCTTGAGTAAGACGACTCAGCTGGCAGTCGAGAGTCAGATACGGCTGACGGTCAGCCGTCACATTGACAACCGCTTCCGTGCCTCTAGCTAAAACGTTCATAGCAAACCAAACACGACAGCGCGCATCAAAACCTACGACGCACCCCAAATCGTTGCAGCTGGGAAACCCGTTTCCGGAACTCTGGCGTCGGCAAGCCCAGTGCCCCAAAGAGGTTACAGCATTGGAAAGAAATGTACGCGCACGGATGAGATTCGATGCTCACCTCGCGTGGATGATCTTGACGCTCATTCTCTCCCCCGGTTTCCGCATGTTGTACAGCACCGACCCGGCGATGCCGCTGGCCCACAGTCCTCCGACCGTGCGTAGCTTATTCTCCACCACCCACTTGCGCGCCTCGGCGATCGAGAAGGAACTCGACGGAGCGGCCTTTGCCTCGTCTGCCATGGCGGATTTCGGCGTTCTTCGATTTCAGAGCTTTCGACGCGGTTTTGAACACGCGATGGACTGGCAACCCAACTCGTTTCCTGACTCGGTGACAAAGTCAATGCTGACTCGTGGAGCAAGCCGCAACTCGTTCGGTTGTCCAGTCGAACAATGATTTCGCTTGATGGAGTGATGGAAAGAGTCTTCTCTAGGTAAGATCGACTGCGAGAGTGGTCGAGGTGGTGGAAACGGTGTGAGCGATTGCGATCAAGATGAGTGGTAACGGCGTTGTAAACCAGTAGAGGAAGCTCGTGTTTGTCGGAAGGCTCTGAAAATGGGAATTCGATGGGTGGGGAAGAATGAGAAGAAAGGCCTACTGGATCGCTTTATATGCTTGAAGCCACTCTGGACTGAAAGGCAAAGCACCCACGAAAGAGGAAGTAAAGTGGGTGCAGCGGAAGCACGCGAGTTTGGGGGAGGGGGTGGAGGTAGGTTTTGGAATGAAATGGTAGGTGCGTGGATAGAGGAGAGATAGGTTGGGGGGGCATGGGGAGGCGGGGAGGAGATTGAGGCGGCTCGTTGTTGTTGTTTACTCGAAATGGCGACGCGATGATGGGAAATGTACAGCAAGGAAAATCAGAACGCTTGTGGATTGGCTTCAGTGTGGTGGCAGGTTGGTCGTAAGGGAAAGTGCGTGGCTAGGGATGGCTTGCTGACGTCTTCGCATAGTTCGCCTGGCTTCGCAAGGTTTTTGCGAATGCCCTGGGCAGAGCCGATGCCCCCAAGAAGAAACTGCTCGCGAAGTTACCGAGGCCTCCGCTGGACACCAAGCCAATAAACGGGCTGCAAGGGCCAGCAGGTCAGCACCAGCGTGGATTTGGCCAATACAAATTGCGAGAGCCTACCAGCACGATGACATTTCTGGCGAAATTTCGCATTCCCGGGCTGGCAGGAAGTGTTGCTATCATTGCACCCTTCAGGAACTGTACATAGTGTATACGCATAACATGTTTGAGAATAAATATCGCATATACTAAGAATAATCCCGTGCTCATAAACAATAACTGACACTTAGCCTTACATACGGTACAAGCCCGACTCTACCTCAGTTGGAACAACAAGCAGGACTATGCTAACTACACACACTGGGGTTGTGATGTCTAATGTACCCAGAATAAGTCGCAGGTGCAACTGTTTACCAAGAGAAACCATCAAAAGAGGATGCAGGAGCAGCCGCAGCCACACCAGCAGCAGGAGCGGGCTGATGAGCACCAGGAGCCTGTCCCGTCCGCATTAAGGATGCAAATGGATCCATAGATGACCCTCCTCCTGCTCCTGCAGTAGCAGGCGCTAATCCAAAGTTCCCACCACCCTGTGAAGCACCAGGAGCAAGCCCAGAGGCAGCACCACCACCACCTCCAAGGAAACCAAAATCGATAGAAGCAGAAATCCCCCCACCGCCAGCGGCTGAATGCTTTTGATTATGACCTCCCATGCCCCCCACTGCTCCTCCTCCTCCCCCTCCTCCCACACCTCCGCCTCCTGCTGCCCCTTCCCCCCACCCGAAACCAGCCCCAAAGAGGTCAGCAGACACACTCACGCCCCCTCCAGGCATGGCACCTCCGAACCCACCGGCAGGTCCGGCCAGACCAGGCGAGGTGGTTTGGGCAGGGAGAGGTGCGCCGAACGGATCGGTGGGTTGAGGAGGAGTGGAGGGGGAGAAGGCGGAGGGTTGGGGGGAGAGATCTGGTGCATGTGCAAATGGGGTGGCTGGAGAGGGGGGGCAGGCAGGGCGATGGGGGAACGGAAAGAGCGGGGGCAGGGTGGGGAATGGGGGGGGGGGGGGGGGGGGGGGAGCAGAGAGAATTGAAATCGGAAAACGATAAGACAGTATGCCACTGAGCTGCATGGCATGGCTGCTGGTGGGACAGGCACCTGGAGGGTTACACCCAGTCAAAAGCAGTGCGCACGTTCAGGCAAACAAAAAAACCAACAAACAAACAAACAAGAAAATCGGGACAGCAAAGACAAGTGTTCACCTGCAGGATTCTGCTGCTGAGGGGACTGGAAAGGGGCAGCAGCGGTGCCAGGAGGGGCAAAATAACCGCCAGGGAGAGCAGCAGCCAATGGATCCATGGAGAATGGCTGCAGGGGTGCGAGTGGGGGAGAGGGGGAGGAAAGGAAAGAGGAAAGAGGAAAGGTTTGACAAGAAGCTTCGGCATTTGAGCAGGCAGTGGAAGGGGGCAAAATAACCGCCAGGGAGAGCAGCAGCCATTGGATCCATGGAGAATGGCTGCAGGGGTGCGAGTGGGGGAGAGGGGGAGGAAAGGAAAGAGGAAAGGTTTGACAAGAAGCTTCGGCATTTGAGCAGGCAGTGGAAGGGGGCAAAATAACCGCCAGGGAGAGCAGCAGCCATTGGATCCATGGAGAATGGCTGCAGGGGTGCGAGTGGGGGAGAGGGGGAGGAAAGGAAAGAGGAAAGGTTTGACAAGAAGCTTCGGCATTTGAGCAGGCAGTGGAAGGGGGCAAAATAACCGCCAGGGAGAGCAGCAGCCATTGGATCCATGGAGAATGGCTACAGCGGAGCGGGTGGGGAGAGGGGGAACGGAAAGGAAAACGAGGCAATGAGGTGAAGCAAAGCCAAGGCGTTGTAAGCAGGCCGTGAGTCCGTGGGCGCATGGCAGAGGAAAAACAATCAGAGCACTGTGATAAGAAAAAGCCACCCGAGTTTTGAAAGCAGGTCAATAAACCAGGCGGAGGCATCAAAAGGGGCCATTGATGACAAGCTGCAAGGAAGAATTAGGGACGATACACGAACGTGAGGTTCCCCCAGGGGCCCTCACTGATGGGAAAGAGCAACACGGATGGGGCAGGGCTGAGATGCCAGAAACCACGGCGAACTGAAACGAAAGGTAGAGATGGGAGGAGGAAAAGTTACCTGAGAACCAGTAGCAGAAGCAGCAGGAGCCGAAGTGTCCTCCTCCTCGTCATCGTCATCAAAGGCAAAGGGATTGGTCGACTTGGCTGCTGCTGGCGCTGCTGCTTCGGTTGTAATCGCACCGCTACCATCGCCAGTAGCACCAGGGGCAGCAGCAGCAGCACCAAAAGCAGGGGCGTTGAGACCACCACCCACAGCACCAGGGGCACCGGGAAAAGGAGGAGGGGCGGCTGTTGTGGTGGAGAGGAATTGATCATAGGCAGACGGCATGGCTTGTCCTGTAGCGGGTCCTCCCATCTGGTAGGGCGGCAAGTCCATGGCTTGGGGCGGCAGTCCCAACGCGGACATTTGAGGCTGGGGGGGGACCGGGTCAGAACAGTGTAGAGAGAGGTAACAAATGGGGAGTGAGAGGAAAAGAAAGGTGCAGTTATGTCTGCAAGGAAAATGAGAACGGTATCAGGGTGCGGAACCCATCCCCACCCCTCTCCACCTGCCCTGCCCATAAGCCCCACCTGCAGATGCAGCACAACAGCGCACTTTCATCCTCGATATAGAAAAAGCTTGGTCTTGGTCTAATAGTCTTGGTCTAGTATCCTCTAATAGTCTTGGTCTAGTATCCTCTAATAGTCTTGGTCTAGTATCCTCTAATAGTCTTGGTCTAGTATCCTCTAATAGTCTTGGTCTAGTATCCTCTAAAAGTCTTGGTCTAGTATCCTCTAATAGTCTTGGTCTAGTATCCTCTAATAGTCTTGGTCTAGTATCCTCTAAAAGTCTTGGTCTAGTATCCTCTAATAGTCTTGGTCTAGTATCCTCTAATAGTCTTGGTCTAGTATCCTCTAAAAGTCTTGGTCTAGTATCCTCTAATAGTCTTGGTCTAGTATCCTCTAATAGTCTTGGTCTAGTATCCTCTAATAGTCTTGGTCTAGTATCCTCTAATAGTCTTGGTCTAGTATCCTCTAATAGTCTTGGTCTAGTATCCTCTAATAGTCTTGGTCTAGTATCCTCTAATAGTCTTGGTCTAGTATCCTTCAATAGTCTTGGTCCCCCCACCCTTTTCCCAAACACCCCCACCACATCCTCCTACACCATGCCCCACCCCAGGCCATACCTGCCCGTATGCCCCATGCGCAGATGCTGCAGCAGCCACTGTTACAGGTGATCCTACTGCAAGTGTTCTTGTATCCGTTTCTCACACCCTTCCCCCCCACGCCCATTCCCACCTTCCTCTCCTCCACTCCACCATTTGATACTCCTTGCCTTGCCCCAGCACAATCCATACCTGCCCATATGCCCCATAAGCAGAAGCTGCAGCAGCCACTGTTCCTGGCGATCCAAAAGCGAGTGTGCTTGTATCGGTGACAGCAGGGGCAGGGGCGGGAGGGGCGGCATAACCCCCAAGATAAGGCAGGTCGTTCTTTACTGTGGGCGCTGGGAGGAGGTTGGTGAAAAAGTCCTGATAAAGGGAGGGGCGGGGCGGGAAGAGGAGGGGGCAAGAGGAACAGGGAGCGGAGGGCCAAGGGGGGGCAGGAAAGAAGAGGAAGTGGGTGGGAGAGAGGGGGGTGTGGGGCTGCGTGGAGGAGGTGAAAGTTGTCTTGACATCAAGAGCGGGGAGGAGGTGGCGCGGAAGCGGGGAGGGGGGTGTGGGGTGGAGGGCGAAGGGGCAAGGTGTGGGATGGGGAGGGGGCAAGGAGGAGGGGAGTCAACGAATACAAGGATTGAATAGGGAGTAAGCGCAGAAGCAGGGAGGGGACTGGGGAGTGGGGGCGGGGGAGTGGGGGAGAGGGAGGTAGGGGGCAGAGGAGAGCGATAGGTAGGTGTAGGAGAAAGTAAGAAGGAAGTAAGATAGTGGCATGAGTGCCGAGCAGATGCGTTGGGTACCTCTGGGGATGCGCTGAGTACCTCGGGAATGGCTGCTCGTGCTGCAGACGCCTTATGTGCTGCTGATGGTGCTGCTGATGGTGCTGCTGTAGGGGCAGCTGCACTTGCTCCTGCTGCTGCTGTACCTGCTGCTCCACCTCCTGCTGCTGCTGATGGTGCTGGAGCAGCAGAGGCAGGGGCCTCTGTTATCCCCGGCTGCTGCTGCTGAAGTGCTGGCTGTGCTGTCTCGTCACCGAAAGCATTCCAAGTCTGGACGGGCAAAGGGAATCGCATGAGAGTTGACAGTTTCAATTGACTCAGTTGGCTTGAAAGAGAAAAAAAAAGGGGGAAAAAGAAACCAGGTGCTGTCAAGAGAAAAGGAAGGGAAAAAATAAAAAAATGATAGGAATAATTGAATGACCTCATACCATTTCTGCAGATGGCGCTGCTGTAGCAGCACCAGCGGAAGCAGCGGGTGTTTCCTCGACGCCACCTGCCGCTGCTGCTCCTGCTTGTGCAGAAGCGGTTTCAGGTGAAACGCCAGGTGCAGCAGCAGAAGTGGGCTGGCTTCCTGCGCCAACAGCAGCAGGAGGAACATCAGCGGCTGGAGCAGGAGCAGCAGCAGCAGGAGCGGCGTCAAACGCAGCCCACGATGCAAAGCCTCCCGCCTCTCCTGCTGCTTCTGATGCAGAAGCATCTGCTGCTGCTGCTGCTGCAGGTGCTTGTGCTGGTGCTGCAGCTACCACAGCAGCATCAGCAGCATCGTTTTCTCCAAAGAAACCGCCTTGCTGCCCGGGCTGCTGTGCCGGTCCCTGAGGCAGCTGTGCCTGCTCCAACCCCCCAGCAGCAGGAGCGGACACAGCAGCAGCAGTTGCAGCAGGCACAGCACCAGCACCGGTCTCAGCATGCAGGAAACCAGAGCCCCAGCCCATAGCAGCACCACCCTGGGCCTGCTGCTGATCTGGAACCAACCCCGCACCAGCGTTCTGCACCGCGCCAAACTCCACACCACCAGGCTGACCGCCATACCCCTGCCCGTCAAACGGCTGCCCTGCAAACGGCTGCCCTCCAGCTGCCCCAGGCTGACCGCCACCAAAAGCCTGACCTCCCATAGGCAGCGGTCCCCCGTACTGCTGGCCGGGAAGCGCCTCGCCTCCAAAGGCCTGATCCCCGAACAGCTGGGCTCCACCAGGAAACTGAGCCCCGTACGGAGGCCCGGCCGCAGCAGCGCCCATACCTGCAGGGTCCAAACCTCCCATACCTGCAGCGCCCATACCTTGGCCAGGGTCGGGCACAACGGGGGCAGGCGCGAGGAGATCTGCCAGCCCAAATGGGTCTGCTGCTGCTGCTGCTGCTGGTGCAGCGGATGCGCCGGCAGTGCTTGGTGCAGGAGAGGGGCCGTCAAAGGAGAAGTCTATGAGGCTGGCCGTGGTGACGGCGGCACTGGGGGGAGCGGTCCTGGTGGAGGGGTTGAGCTTGCTCTCGGGCGTTGGCGGGTAAGCGTCTGCAGCCTTGCGCGATGCCGCCTGGTGGAGGGAAGAGTTGTAGGGGTAGGGGCAGGGGCAGGGAAAGGGCAGGGGCAAGGGGCAGGGGCAGGGAAAGGGCAGGGGCAGGGACAGGAATAGGTGCAGGGGCAGTGGCAGAGAGACAGTCACGGAAACAGTCAAAACTTGAAAACGGGAACTTCAGGGAAAGTGTGAGTGCATGTGTGCAAGAGCGTGCGTGCATGCGTGTGCCTGTGAGAGAGAGAGGAAGAGAAAGTAAGAGAGAATGACCAGGAGAGGTGACGGAGAAGCCTGCTCAGGCAACTAACAGAGAAAGCAATAGAGGCTGCATCAGCATGACTTCTGGACCCAGGGCTCTATATTTTAGGGTCCTCAAGAATACACACAAGCCACTTACAGAAGAAGCAATGGAACCAGGGCTTCCAGGCGCTCCTCCCTGCTCCTCTCCCTGTCCCGCACGCCTCCCATTCACACCATTCCCCACCGCGCCCTCCTCCCCTTCTGCATACACCTTCAGCTCCACATCTCGCCCCAGCACCTGACTCACAGGCACACTCACAGCCTGCACGCCCTGCCCTCCTCCTCCCCCTCTACTCCCCCCCCCTGCTCCGCTGCCCCCGCTCGGCCTAGACTGCCCGCCTGCACTGCCGCTACTACTCCCGCTCTTCCTCATGCCATCCCTCTCTCTCCCCCTCTCCCTCTCCCTGTCTCTCTCCCTGTCGCTGCCTCTGCTACCTCTATCACTGTTATTGGAACCTGAAGGGGACGAGGACCGGCCCCCTTGGCCGTCCCTCCGGTGCTCTCCCTTCAAAGAGTCCTCCCGTCTCTCCCTACTGCCCCCGCCGCTGCTGCTATGCCTACTGCCTGCCGCCCCCCCACTCCCGCTGCCGCCACCGCCGCTGCTGCCACCGCCGCCACTGTTGCTGCTGCTGCTGCTGCTGCCGCGGGATTTGAACCCCAGAAACGACGACAGCCCGCCCTTGTGCTTCCGCTTCTCCTCAGGCTGCTGCTGCTGCGGCTGCCTATCATTCCCATACCCCGCGCCTCTGCCCGGCCCTCTGCTCGCCCCACTAGCACCACCGTACCCATCGGCGGAAGCCCGCATGGCTCTGGAGTCCGAAGACAAACGGCTGTGATCGTTGTGCTGGGACGAGGAGACGGGCTGCGGGGAGGAGGCGGAGGCTGGGGGGAGGTCGGCAGAACGGGAGGGGGAAGGGGACTGCGCGCGCGCAGGTGGCGCAGCAGCAGCGTTCGGGTCTCTGCTGGCCACGTATCGCCTCTCCACGTAGACTGAACGCACGAACTCCCTCAGCCGATTGGGATCACTGAGGAAAGGAAAAGGGTAGTAGTGGGGAGAAGTGGAAGGGTTGAAATCTAGCGGGAGAAAAAAGCAGACAAGAGCAGCAAAGAGCAGCAAGGAGGAAGAGTAAGGGGATGGGAAGGGCAACAGGCGGACTCACTTAGGATCTGGCGGCTCCACCCTGCTGGCATTCGCGAGAAAGAACTCCCGCGCTTTCTGATCACACGCACATATTTGGAGGCACGCAGGCGAGACACATGGGCACGCAGGCGACACACATGGGCACGCAGGCGACACACATGGGCACGCAGGCGACGTGAGGCAAGCACAAAGAAGAGAGAGGAGGCGAATCAGGTTCAAAACCGTCGTTCGGTTGGGGTCGGTGGGCCATGAAAATGGACCTAAGGCTATAAAATACCACTGAATATGGTTACTCGCCTCGCAGAAGCATTAGGCTAACAGATTTCTCAGATCGCCAGCGACCTCTCACCTGATTGCCGCCTTGCTGCAGAGCCGCCACCTCCTCAGGGGTGAACTTGGCCATCGACACGGACTTGAGGCGATGCGTGGGTAACGGCAGTATCTGGTTACCACATACCTGTGTAACAACTCGCCCACCCCTCACCTGGTTGCCGCCTTGCTGTAGCGCTGCCACCTCCTCAGGAGTGAACTTGGCCATTGACACGGACTTGAGGCGGTGCGTGTACTCGCGGCTGGCAACGGGGAAAACGGGGGGCAGGGAGGGGAGAGAAGTGCGGGTAATGTAGATTGTTTGAATGATGTAGTGAGAATTTGTAAATCGAGCCATGGAACCAGGATCATTACAATGCGCTCACACGAGGGATCGAATCACTCTGTGGAGTGAGCCACTGTGAAGAAATGACGTTTGCGTTGATTCCAAAGGAGCGGAAATGTTTAAAGCGAGGTCTGTGAAGTGAAGTTGAAAGTCGAAAGGTGAAGGTTGGCGAAGAAAGAAAAGAAAGACTCACTGAATTCCGCTGCACGCGACGCAGACAAACGTTGCGAAATTCGTGCACACATATTGAGGGCCCTGCGGGAACCGAGGCAACACACGGATATCGTACGGACATTAACGATCCAAATGAAGAGGAGACGACTGATCGAAAAGAGTGAACATGTTGCAAATAATTGATCAAACGATTTTGTGATCGCACAGCCCGCAAGGGATTAACGCTTAAACGCGGGGAAGCGTAGACTGGATACTATTATGTCCTGAACGACAACGCATTCGCCGCAGGAGCTTGAAAAGAAGTGGCTCAACGAATCGCGTCTGACTAACCTCAAACACGAGCCTCGTTTTAATAAAGCAAACGCTTTTTTATGAAAAGAACAGATCTACCTTGTTCCCCGCTCGTCATGACTTCTAAAAGCATAGCTGGCGATGCTAGTTAAAACCTGGTGAAATGCATTACCGGATTGTTGCAGTTTATGCACTTTTTATTTTCGGGCAGCTTCATCAACCCCCGGATAATTTTCTCGTGCTTCTCATCGTCCTTCTTGCTCATCGTGCCAGCGGGAAACCAAAAACAGTCTTAACTATCTGCTCCAGATGGATAGTAATCTGCGATGCTTATTCAGGGTCTGCAAGGAGGGCTTGCAGATAGGATTGGAAAAGCGCGTCCTGAGCAGGAATCTACATTAAATCGGAGCTTATGACTTGTAACGAGCAAAGGCACGTGAATGTCAAGGGGACGACATGGCGGGTCTCTAATTGCAAGTCATGCTACGAGGTGATGACGACATGACCGAATGTTGAAGGAAACTGCTTGCTTTCAGGGGAAGGATGGACTGATGAGGAGGAGCCGAGGGAGGCGTGTGGGAGAAAGGAACTTGGAAGCAGGAACTCAGAAGTTGTAGCTCCCAAGGGTGGTGTTCCCAAGTTCCCAGGAGTATGGCTCTTCTGGAGCCTGTCGGGAAGTCTGGACACTGCTGTTCCCAAGGTTTCCTGGCGGGCTTTCGGTGCCAAGGCGGGAAACCAGGTGATAATATCGAATTCGAGCACGAATTGTTTGGAGATGCAGAACGATGCTATTGGGGAATAGAGAGTGCCCATAAAGGAATTCAGTCAGTAACAATGGCGGATATGCCCTTACGGAGGATGCGGGAAGTTGAAAGCACGACTGGAGATTCGAGTTTCGTAACCCGCAAATAGGGTGATTTGGGCTGGACAACGCGTTTCCCCCTCTCGAAACCCCGAGATCAAAACCCGGCGTGAAGATTTGCATCCGAGTAGTAGAAACATTTTCCACTCAAGTCGGAATTATGATACATTTGCAGGAGCAACTCCGCTCAGCTCCGGAAGGGAACTAGAATTTCGAAACGAGAACGGTTTTCACACCAAACAAGCCCCTTATCTGATTCCTGACCCGACCTCGTCGGACCTCCGAACCGAACAGGCATCTCTCCACCAGACTTGCAATCAGAGACCCTCCTCGGGTTCTCCGCCTCGTTCCGTCCCGCGTTATGCGCTGAGATCCTCTTGAGCAAACCCGTAAGTTCGGACTAGTGCTGTCGCCTGGGAGCGACGGGCGGTATCGAGTGCGATGAAGAAGGGAATCCACCCCGCCTTGCAGTGGCTCAGCCTCGTCACGCCGCAGGGCCGCCTTGTGCGCGTGCTGTCCGCGCAGGTGTTCAAATCCGACCGTCCGTTCTACATCCGCGATCCGGGCAAGAAGGCGGAGACGGAGGGGCAGATCGCAAAGTTTAACAAGCGGTACAACATCCAGGCAAAGGACGCGAAAGAAGCGAAAGAAACGAAGGAGGCGAAGGAGTAGAGCTGGCGCAGCTACGCAGGTATTTCACCAGCAGTTGTACTTATCCTGTTTTCTGAACTGGACGATTTTTTTTACTAACACCTCAAGTTCAAGAAGTGGTACATTATCCAGGCGAAGTAGGCGAAGGAGTAGTGCTGGCGCTGTTCTGCAGGTGGGCTAGGTTTCCGAACGGGAGGGTCGGATTGCGAAGTTCGACATGCGGTGTAACTAGTAGGCGAAGGCAGGCGAAGCATTCCGCTTCGTTTTTGCGGATTTCAAGAAACCTCGAAATACCCCTTTGCACTAATTTGATTTCACTTCTTTCTTTACGACGACCCCTTTTCAGCCGGCAGGTGGATGGCAGCCGCCACGTCAGCATGCGGCGGAATGACGTCAGCGCGTGGCGGCCCGCCAACGAATTCACCAGCTGCTGCGAGGAGGGGGATGGCGCGGGGAGAGGGGGGACGCATGACTCGGGGGCAGATTCTTACAGGGGTGATGCGTGGTGCAATGGGGTTGGAATGGGTGGTAAGGAGGGAGATGAAGGTCGCATGAGTGGTAGAGCACGAGAGGGAGGTAGGGATGGGGAATATTCATACGAGATCGATTGGGTTTCTGATAGGACCAGAGGGCTTAGGTTATCAGACTCGCCGGGAGATTCAGGGAGTACAGAAAACTGTGTTAGAAACAGTATAGAGACAAGATGTAGTGTAGCTACTCATGCTATAGCGGGGACAAGCGAGGGGGGAGCAGTTCGCCATGCAGCATGCAGTTCGCCTGAGATCAGGGTTTGTGTAACAGGGTTACAACAATCTCACGATCGTCCGCCTATAGGGATGCAAGCACCGTCTCAAGAAGGACCGCAGCGGAGTAGGATACAGGAGCATGCTCCCTTGCATCAGCCACAGGGAATCTATTCTGCCCTGCCCTCTCTACCGCCCTCAAAACATTCGTACGGAGAGACGGCCTTTGAGGCGCCTCTAGAGCAGCAGGAGTATGCTTCAGTGGGGGCAAGTTCTGAGGGGTCTGCAGCAGGCCCGCAGGGGTGTGCTTGGCAGAGGCAGCAAGAAGGGTACTCTGCCCTGCCGTTGCACTCTCAACCGGAGTTTGAGCGTTCCTATGGGGAGACAGAGACGGCTTTTGAGGCGCCTAGAGAGCAGCAGCAGCGTGCTTCAGGGGGGACGAGTTTTGACACTGTGGAGAGTGCTGATGGCGGTGGCGCTCCAATGGCAGCGCGCCACGTGGCGGAGCTGTCGCCGTCCCTCCACAGGCACCCGGAGGGATGGGATGCGGCGCTGATGCGAACTCTAGAGGCGGATCCTCTAGGGGTGCATGGTGGGGGGATGATCAGTGCAGGGGTGGATGGGGGAGGAATGAATGGCGCATGGGTGAACTGTGCAGTGTTGAATGGAGCAGGGATGCATGGTGGAGGGGTGGACGGTGGTGGAATGAATGGTGGTTGCATGCAAGGTGCATCGCCCCCCCACACCTCTCCTGCAGAGCTCCTTTCGTGTGCGTCCACCTCCTGTCTCCTCCACCTCCGCAGCCTCTCCCCCACTCCCACTCCCACCCACCCATCCCATCCCGGCCTTTCCTTATCACATCCGCCCGTGGTTCCCGCTCTCTCCCTCACCACCACCACTGCGCCAGCGCCAGCGCCGCTAACTCCCCCTCTGCCCTGCTGCCTCGCTGCCGCATGCCCAACTCACACCCCCTCTCATTCCGCCCCCTCCTATTCCGCCCGCTCTCATTCCGCCCCTCCAGTTGCACCGCCCCACCATGTGTCGCACAATGCCTGTCAGTGCAGCAGCACGCACCATCCATGTCCGCATCCTTGCCAGTCCCACGCCCTTCAATCCCATACCTGTCATTCCCATACCCTTCAACCCCACACCTTGCAACCCCACACATGTCACGCCCATTCCTGTCAATCCCGTGCCAACCAATCCCATTCCTGTGTCGCCCATCCCTGTGTTGAGACATCTCAACAGTCTCATCAAGGCAACCATAGTGTGAGCCCATGCCACTCACTTCCCTGCCCTAAATTCCTTTGCCCTTGCCCTGAATCCTTTCGCCCTTGTCCTGGTTCCCCTCGTCCCACTTTTGAGGCACCTCAAAGGCCTGGCTCCCCTCGTCCTGTCCACAAGCTGTCTCCTGCCGCTTACCCTACTCCCTCTCACGTCTCCTCTTCTCGAACCTCTTTTTCCTCCTCTCGAGCCTCTTTTTCCTCCTCTCCTCGCCCTCCCCTCTCCTCACCCCTCCTGCCCGTCCCCTCTCCTGCTGTTTCCTCTGCACCGGGCTCGCAGCAGCCTTCCTCTCGTTACAGTCACACCATCTCTGCCGCTGACAACCATAGACATTCCAATAATCGACATGACGATTTGCATCGCTGTTGCCAGCATTGCACTCACTGCACATGCTGTCAGCACCAGCGGCACCAGCAGCACCACCACCAGCAGCAGCAGCAGCAGCAGCAGGGACTATCCCAGCCGCCCTCCTCCTCCTCCTCCTCCTCCTCCTCCTCCTCCTCCTCCTCCTCCTCCTCCTCCTCCTCCTCCTCCTCCTCCTCCTCCTCCTCCTCCTCCTCCTCCTCCTCCTCCTCCTCCTTCTCGTCCTCCTCATCCATCTCACTCCCCAGTGTGGCCTATCGTGCCATCAGCCCTGCGGACATGGGTGATCTCAAGGCCCTCCATGAAGCCACTTTCCCCATCGCGTAAGACCTCCCACACACTCTGCACACCTTGAACTCTCACTCACTCGCCAACTCACTCACCAACTCGTCAACTCATTCTGTCACTTGCTCGTAGCGTAAGTTGCTCGCACGTTTATGTGTCCACCCATATACACGTGGCGGGACACATAAACGTGCGAGCCAACTTACTGAGGTGACTTTTGAGTCGACTCATAAGTCACCTCTTTTGAGTCGACTCCAAAGTCGCACGTTTATGTGTCCACCCATAAACACGTGGCGGGACACATAAACGTGCGAGCAACTTACGCTACGAGACATGGCGGATAAGGCACGTTTACGTGTAAGACATGGCGGGTCTCATCGCGTAAGACTCTTCCTGTCGCAAAATAAACAGACAGAAATCGTGTGACAGACATCACCTCGCCCTAAGCTCTCCTTCCCTCCTCCGCTCGCCCCCTTTCCTCGCCTCCTCCTTCCCTTCCCATCGGGTACGAGTCAGAGTTCTATTCCAACGTGGTGCACCATCGGGGCATCATCTCGTGGGGCGCGGTGGACCTAAACTCACCTCCCTATATGCTCTCCTTGGCGCCCCCATCTCCCCCCCCCCCCCTCTTCCATCAGGTACGAGTCGGAGTTCTATTCCAGCATGGTGCATCACAGGGGCATCATCTCATGGGGTGCGGTGGACCCTTGCCAGCAGCAAGCTACCCCGTTCATACCCAATCTGCCCCGCACCCCCTTCCCTTTCTCCCCCCCATCTCCCCCTCCCCCCTATTCCATCAGGTACGAGTCGGAGTTCTACTCCAACGTGGTGCACCACCGGGGCATCATCTCGTGGGGTGCGGTGGACCATTGCCAGCCGGACCGGCTGGTGGGCTTCATCACTGCGCGCCTCGTGCCGCCTGCCGAGGCGCAGGTGTGTGCAGGGCGCATGGCGTATCAGGTTTACGGATGTGTGCATGGGTGGTGGTGGGTGCATCACAGGGGCATCATCTCATGGGGTGCGGTGGACCCTTGCCAGCCGGGTTCATCACTGCGCGCCTCGTTCCGCCTGCAGAGGCGCAGGCGCAGTGTGGCACGGGGGGGATGGAGAAAAAGGGGGAGAGAGAGGAGGGGGGGGTGGGGATGGTGCATGGGGTGCATGTGTGGGCCATAATCTCATGGGGCGCAGTGGGCCCGTACAAGCCTGACCGGGGTGGGGTTCATCACTGCATGCCTGGTTCCGCCTGGAAAGGCACAGGTGCAGTGTGGAAAGAAGGGGGGGGGAGTGCAGCATGGGGGTATGCAGCATGGGGGTGTGCAGCCTACTCTGTTCCTGAGTCAATTCAGAAACTTGCTGTGTTGTCTGCATCCCCCCCTCTCTCTCTACTTGCCTTCACCTCCCCCACTCGCTTCTCCCTCATACACTTCTCCCTCACACGCTCTCCCTCACACTCACCTCCCTCCCTCCCGCCATCTCCCTCTCAAAGGGCGAACGTGCTTCCTCTGACTCCTCCGTCGCCCCACCACACCCCACCACTCTCACTCCTCTACATCCACACACTCGCCTCCCCCACACTCGTCTCTCCTGCACTTGTCTCTCCCCCTCCCATCATCACCCTCTCCCTACTCAGGGCGCGGACGTGCTTCCTCTGACTCCTCCATCGCCCCACCACACTCCACCACCCTCGCTCGTCTACATTCTCACGCTCGGTGTTTCCAAGCGCTACCGCAAGGCTGGCGTGGGTAAGCATAGCCTTTCTTTTGAGGCGCCTCAAAGGGTAAGCATAGCCTTTCTTTTGAGGCGCCTCAAAGGATAAGCATAGCCTTTCTTTTGAGGCGCCTCAAAGGGTAAGCATAGCCTTTCTTCTGAGGCGCCTCAAAAGGTAAGCATAGCCTTTGTTCAGATTCTCTCTTTTTGAGGCGCCTCAAGAATTGATCCGGTGTACCTCTCCTCGTCCCCTTCCACTCGCAGCATCCCACTTGGTGCATCTCTTATCTGCTTCTCTCCACGCCTCCTCTCTCTGCCTGCTACTTCAAAAGCTTTTGTCACCCCTCCCCTCCCATCCTACCACCTGCCCCTCTTCTCTTCCCCACAGCATCACACCTGGTGCATCTCCTACTCTCCCATGCCGCCTCCCTCCCCCACTGTGCGGCCGTCTACCTGCACGTGGTCGCATACAACGCCGCAGCCATCCGCTTCTATCGCTCGCTGCGCTTCTGCTTCCGCCGCCGCCTCTCGCGCTTCTACTATCTCGAAGGGGGCGAGTACGATGCGCTGCTCTTTGCGCGTTACGTCAACGGCTGGTCACCGCCCGACTCCAGGTGCAGCTCTCTGGGTTATGCTGGGTGGGTGGGTGGCTGGCTGGCTGGCTGGCTGGCTGGCTGGCTGGCTGGCTGGCTGGCTTTGTTGTTTGTTTGTGGCTAAAATCGATCATGAGTGCCTTGTGCATGTGCTTGCTTACACTTGTTGCACCTTCACACAAACTCGAACACGCACACCCGCTCGCCCATCCAAACCTTCCCTCACATTCACATGCACACACACATACTCCCCAGATTCTCTGCACCTTTTTTTTCAGGTGCGGTGAATGTATCAAAAGTTAACCTGGTTCTCACTTCTTTCTCCTTTTGCCATCCCGCTCCACTTTCAACCCAGGTCCCAGTTGCAAGGGCCTACTCTACAGCTACTGCAGCCTGCATTCACAGCAGCTTCTGCTGCAGTGTCTGCCGCCATGTCCCTAGTGTGCGTTCGCCCACCCGCTTCCCTTCTCCGAGCTGCAATGCATTCTGCATGGATTTGCAAGTGTCTTGAGTTTTTCAGATCAACTTTCTTCTCTAGAGATGCATCTAGGCTTGCGTAAAATGCACTGTAGAATGTATAAATTGTTGGTCAATGCATCGTCTAAGGACGCGTTGAAAGTGCAAATTTCGCGGGATCGCGAGCATAAATCGAGCCCCGCAATCGAGTGGGCAGTTCGATTGGCGAAACATGAAGACCGATACGTTGTAACGATCGCACCTGAGCTTTGTGGTGGATGTTCCAGGGCCGAAATTACTGCCCTGCATGCGATTCGCACCCAAAACATATACGTCGTCCATACACACCTGCGACACTCGCAGCCAGCAGGGCAACCACCCTGGCGATGTGATGTTTACAGATTTCGCCAAATGTGGACAATTTGGGCGACAGCGATTCCTAGCTCTGCGAAATTTCAGAAAGTCGCAGGCATCAGAATCAATCGCGCCAGGTAGGCTCGGTTCGAGAGCATCAATGACGCTTTGATGCCTCTCACTGATCTCCCGTGATCAGTGATCAGTCCCATTCACACACTGCACAAATTCTGGCAAAAAACCGTACTGTAGCAAGGTTACAGCACAGTAAAGAGGGTTACAGATCCGCACATCGATCGCCACCCACGATCGATCGTCTTCTTTCAACGCGTCCTAAAGAACAGCCGAGTCTGTTCGTGGGGAAGTAGATTCATTGTGGTCGGGGGTAGTCAACGTCAAGCGTCCTGCCAGCAGGATGACGAAATGCCAATCGGGAACGCGGCCGCCAATCACGCCGTTGTGCTGGTCCCTTCTGTTCGCGTCAACGATCTCTGGAGAGGTCCGCGCGGGCGACCGTGCACTGCTGACAGGGCAAGGCTCCAGCGAGGCTGGAATTTGAACCCTGCTAAACCAGCTTTCAAATGTTTGAGGGAAAGTATATCCCAGCTCCATAGTTTCAAAAATCTCTCAAATTTAGTCCTAAATCGACTCAAAAAGTACAGCTTTCTAGAAGTTTGCTGACGCAAGGCCCAGATTATGTTTCAAAACTGGTCTTGCGGGGCAAAAATTCGGCACGTGTCCTATTTCGTATTAGCAAGTTCTGACGGGGGCAAAAAACATAAAACCCTTAGGGGAACCAGGACACACGTTCGGGAGGGACCAACCCTAAACACGGGGACCCGCTTGGTGTTTAGGGTTGATCCCTTCCGCAAATGTGCCCTAGTTGCCGAGGGGTTTTATTATTTTTTGCCCCGTCGAAAAGTTTTCCAAGCAAATTTGGACACGTGTCGAAAATTTCGCTCGCAGGACCAGTTTTGAACATACTTTGGGCCTCGCGTGAGCAAAATTTTAGAAAGTGGTACTTTTTGAGTGAAACTGGGGCTAAATTTGGGAGAAATCTGAAAGTATAGATATGGAATATAGTCTCCCAATGTTTGAACCTTTCTCTGCAAGCGTGGGGGCAGCCCTGACAGGTGTGAGACGAGTTTGACAAACTAGACAGAATAATTGGACCAATTTGACAAACCCCAAACCACCTCCTCTCGTTCGAGCACCACACCCGAACCTGAGCTGGTTACTCAAGGACCAAACCCGAACCTGAGCTGATACCCGAGCCTAAATGCTGATGCGCCAGTCGAACATGGCCATAAAGTTATCCTCATTTCTTCGCTTTCTCATCAATTTCTCCCACAAAGAATCCATTGTTCCCGCAATCGCCACCCCTCTATTTCTCCCTCTCTTCTTGCTATAAACTCTTCATTTCCTTAGTACCTCGAAGATTCTAGGTGTGTAGTAACAAGGGATTTCTCGCACACGCTACTGCTCAAAGACAACTGCAATGGCCGGACCTTCATTTTCCCTGCAGACTTCCAGCGCCTCCGTGGCACTGCTGCTTGTGACGCTGCTCGCTCAGCTGCCCGAAACCACCCGCGCCATGCCAGTGAGCGACTTGATATCAAAGTTGAAGCCAATGAACGTTCATTCCGGCCTCATGGACGGTTTGTTCGCGTTGTCCGGCATGAAAGACATCTCAGGCGTGACGATACTCATGCCGCAACAAGACGCCATCAGAATCGCGGCTGCTGTCTATGCATCACATGACAGCAACACGCGCAAGTACAGCCAAGCGATAAATGACGCGCTCACGCTTATGATGGAAGACGGCAACTCACAGGTTGTGCGGCAGTGGACTGAGAAAAAGAGCTTCTCCCCTGCTGCAGCGGGAGTATTGGCGAATATATGGAAGTTCCAAATCGTGAAAGAATACATCCCTCCCTCCGTCGCGACGCAGAAGGTGAGCCTCTGAAATGTATGCCGAAATTCATCATGACTGGACCGCAGTGGACCGCAATGCGCCACTGTGGACCGCCGTGACTGACATCTTGTATTTTCATGCATCTGGAAGTTCCCTTTGCCATTCGTAGCGATGCAGAAAGTGAGTGTTTTTCTAAGACAGCTTATTGCGAAAAAGACGTCCTTCTGAGGCGTCTCAGAAGTCTTTTTGAGGGAGGGAGGGAGGGAGGGAGGGAGGGAGGGAGGGAGGGAGGGAGGAAGGGAGGGAGGGAGGGAGGGAGGGAGGGAGGGAGGGAGGGAGGGAGGGAGGGAGGGAGGGAGGGAGGGAGGGAGGGAGGGAGGGAGGGAGGGAGGGAGGGAGGGAGGGAGGGGAGGGAGGGAGGGAGGGAGGGAGGGAGGGAGGGAGGGAGGGAGGGAGGGAGGGAGGGAGGGAGGGAGGGAGGGAGGGAGGGAGGGAGGGAGGGAGGGAGGGAGGGAGGGAGGGAGGGAGGAAGGGAGGGAGGGAGGGAGTGATGAGATTTTGAGAAATGTCACAGATTTCCAGTCACGCCACATCGCACGGTATTAGCGGGGGCGATTTTTCTCAGATTCATAGACATGGAACTCCATTCCATCCCTCCTCCTGTCTCTGTCTCTGCCTCTGCCTCCGTCCTCATCGCTCTCTCTCATCCCCCCGCCATCCTACTGGCAGTATTCCTCCGGCGGCCCATGGGAGCTTCCCACTTTGGAGGGACAGCCGCTATGGATGAATCACACTCTGCATAAATACTACATGACATCTCAATGGAATATTTCTGGCGCGTCTCCTCAGCAGCAGGCCAGCTTGCCGCTGACAAAATTCATGGGCCATGTGATGCTTGATGGGAGCCCATTGGCATACACGTTGGTGGACGGTGAAGACATGTTGCTGGATGTTCCTGAAAGCGAGGTCGTGGTGTATACGAGCAGATCGGTGCTTCTTCCCTATAACACGGATACTCTTGTCGCAAAAGCGGGTACGTACACATGTACGCACGCACACAACACATTGACACCCAAATACACATACACCGGATGCATTTTCTTAGTCCAAACAAGCCACCCGTGTTCTTCATGCATCCTGCCACTTCATGATTCCACACGATGCCCTAACATGTCGCTCTTTCGTTCTCCCTATCTGCAGCTGGAGGCACTGCCGCTTCCCTCTCCCACCTGCTTGCCTCCATTGGCCTCGCCCTCACAGCCCTCATGCTGCTGTGACTTGGAATGTTTACTGAATCATCACCAAAATTGCGTGGTCCCCAATCTGTCCCGAAACCATTCAGTCCCAGAACAGACACAAATCCGTCCCGAAACTATCTTGAAAGACACTTTCGGGACATTTTCGTGTTCAGGGGGTTTGCGCTACATTTCAAGACGTGCCAAATATGACTTGTGCCGTAATTTGCCCAGGCCTGAGAAGGTTGGAACTACAACGCGATCAGCAGACGCAGGTTCGATGCCCGTCGATGTCAGTTCCATTGCGTTGGGTCTAGATTTTGTTCATGATTTTCGTTCGTGTTGAACACTTCTGGAATATTTCATTACGAAATATAAGTACACCACAATGTTGGTGGTAATCATAATTCCACAATGTTACCAGTAGTTGTTTGTTACAAAAACTGGCACTCAAAACTGTTGTGATCAGAAGTTGATAGTAACCCAGGATCTGCTCTGGTAGGTTCGCACACAGTAGGTAGTGTTGGTGGGCCCGTGACCTCAATAGCAGAGTGAATATAAAATGCTTGAGATGATAAGACCATGCAAATACAACGATATATATATGAGTACAAGGGAATTCGAAATGACCTAACCAGCCATCTACTCTAAGGGGTACATTCCCTTATTCACGTGCATCCCAACCGTTCGGCGCGTACAGTTTTGAAATTGTTCCCGCCAAAACCATTCTTCTTGCAGTTGCTCGATACCGTCATCGCCCGGATAGAAGACATATATGTCTTATCTTATACATTAGAAAAAAAGCTTGCTGTGTCTTGTAATTGGGACAGTTTAGGGTGTCTTATAATTCTTATAAATGGACAAAAAACCGTTTAGAAGATACCCCCTAGTCATAAGATTGCCCCTAATCCCTATACTGGCTTAACTTGTACACACCGACAGTTGTCTTATAATCAGGAACACCCATCTATAAGAAACACCCGTTTTAACGACACCCCATGTCTTCAATTCGACACTGTCTTATATCCGGGCGATGACGGTACCGTTTGCTTTCGACGGTTCAGATGTGCTGTAACCGACCGACGCTTTGACTCGATTCCAACTGTCTGACTCTTCGCGTTCGTTCCCGATATTGCGCGTGCTTTGCTACGGTGAGGAGTGCTTAGTAATATCAAGTATTACTATTCGTAACACCCCCCTTCACTCCTGGACGTAGCTTAGCTTGACCTGCCTGACCACGCCGCTGAGTTCGGAGCAGTGCTGATACTGCTGGCGTGGCAGTCGCTTCGTGAGGAAATCTGCTGCCATGTCGCCTGTTGGGCAGTAGGTCAAGTTGACCTTGCCTTTGTCTATTTCGTCCTTCACGAAGAAGTACCTCAGCGCAATGTGCTTGGTGTGGTTAACGAAGCCAGGTTTGTTCGCGATGCGAATCGCACTCTGGTTGTCGCAGTGGAGACGAAATGTCGGCGAGGCATGAATTTTTGCCTCTTGCAGGAGTTCCTGCAGATAGAGGCCTTCGCGAACTGCTGCTGTTGCTGCGATGAATTCCGCTTCTGCTGATGACAGGGCAACCAACTCCTGCTTCTGCGAGTTCCAGGAG